AAGCCTAAATAGTACTAAAGAAGCTTTTTCTATTAAAGTATCTTTCTATTTAGTTAATAAAGATATTAAATATATTAGTATTAACCTAGTAGATAAAAATAATACTATTAGCTATTTCTTTAAACTTACTAGATAGTATATCTTAGAAAAAGCCTAAATAGTACTTAAGAAGCTTTTTTTATTAAAGTATCTTTCTATTTAAAAGCTAAAAGTATATCTACTATAAAATAGAACTAATATTTAATAAAGATATAATATACTAAAAAGAAAGGTATTAGTATATTCTTTAATAGCTTCTTCTTATATATTTATCTAATAAAGAGGTTAGATATATTAGTATTAACTTTACTAATAAAGAGAATACTCTTTATTACTACTTTATACTTTCTAAGAAGTATACTATAATAGAGTTTTAAATAGTAGTAAAGAAGCTTTTTATAAAGAGTATATCTTTTCTTTTAGCTTTAGCTATAATAAGAATAGTACTTAACTTAGTAATTATACTTATTTTACTTTAGCTTTAACTATAATAAGAATAGTATTTAACTTAGTAGTTATAATTACTCTACTAGTAATAAACTTTAAAAGTAATAAGTTAAAAGAAAAGTTTAAATAGTATTAAAGAAGCTTCTTATAAAGAGCGTATCTCTTTTTTATTAAATAGAAGTATGTTTATTTATATAGTAAGTTAAATAACTTATTATTAAAATACTAATAGTAATAAATATAGGCTTTAACTAGATCTTTAGTATCTTTTAACTACTTAGTAAAGTATTTTAGGATATTAATAGTAGTATTAAGAGTTACTACCTAATTAAGCTTAAGATAGTAGTAGTACTTAAAGTCTTACTTAATAATAGAGACTTTATATAGTATAAAGATACTTCTACTAATATACTTACTAGGCTATAATAGTTAAGAAATATACTATTTATAGTATAATTTAATATATAATAGTTATAAACGTTTTTATATACTTATTATAAAATAAAGTATAAATTTACTTACCTATTTAATAATAAACTATAGTTATTTTATACTAAGTTTATATAAATTTACCTTATATTTTATACTGTATTATAGTGTAAAACGTAGTCTTTCTTCTATATTTTTTACCTAATAAAGCTGCGGGGTAAATTACCTAATTTTGTACCTTAGTGTTTGTTAGTGTGTAAGGGTAGTGTTTTGTATAGAGTTTGGTGGCGTTGAGATATCCGAGAACATGTCGAAGACGCACAACGCTGTAATTCTAGACATGCTGTACTCTGAGAAATACAAGGAGTCGAAATCGCTCAGGCACGTGTTCTCAATTGGGATTCTGCAACTGATGTGAACATGATGCCGTCGACGGTATTCGAATATCAGCTCATTCAAATGAACCAGGCCTCAAGGCACAAAAGTATTTAACAAGTACATGAACACAACCAACTCGCATCAAGGTGTTGACAGGTACATGGAGGGATGGCGAGGGTGACGCGAAGAAATCTTGGCGCGCCAAACCACTAGCGGCTCGCTTAGCTCGGAGAGCGATTTTGGATTCCACACACGAGTGCTTCGTCCTCACGGCACTCAATCGATCTCTACACCACACAACACCGTCGCCATGGGTAGGGTTATTCGCAACCAACGTAAGGGTCGCGGCTCTATCTTCACGGCCAACACCCGCTTGAACAAGGCCCCCGCCCAGTTCCGTGTCATCGACTACGTACGTCCGCCGCCCGCCGCACCGCGACAAGGGAGACTGGGAATCGAGGGCTAACTGGCACAGGCTGAGCGCAATGGCTACATTCGGGGTGTCGTAAAGGAGATTGTCCACGATTCCGGTCGTGGTGAGTACCCGGTGCAGAAGGTGCAATTTTGGGCGCTGGACTGACGCAACCACAGGCGCTCCTCTCGCCAGGGTCACTTTCCGCAACGTACAAGCCCCCACTCCAATCGCCAACTGAACGCGACGCTCACAGACTCTGCAGCCATACCGATTCAAGCACAACACCGAGACTTTCATCGCCAACGAGGGCATGTACACTGGCCAGGTCAGTTTGGGCAGCACGGGCACATGACGGAGCACTGGGGCTGACTGTGGAAAAGTTCATCTACGCCGGAAAGAACGCCGCCCTCACCATCGGCAACATCCTCCCCCTCCACGCTGTTCCCGAGGGAACCGTCCTCACCAACGTCGAGGACAAGAACGGCGACCGTGGTGCGCTCGGACGTACCTCCGGTAACTACGTGACGGTCATCGGCCACAACCCTGATGAGGGCAAGACCCGTGTCAAGCTCCCATCTGGCGCCAAGAAGGTCCTCCCCAGCTCGTGCCGTGGTATGGTCGGTATCGTCGCCGGTGGCGGCCGAACAGACAAGCCTCTCCTCAAGGCCTCGCGTGCTAAGCATAAGGTGCGCTCTCTGCTTGAATTTACATGACCAACCGCTGACACGCCCTAGTTCGCTGCCAAGCGCAACAGCTGGCCCAGGACTCGTGGTGTTGCCATGAACCCCGTCGACCATCCCCACGGTGGTGGTAACCACCAGCATATCGGTAAAGCCTCGACCATCTCCCGATACGCCGTACAGGGACAAAAGGCCGGTCTCATCGCCGCCAGGAGGACGGGTCTGCTCCGTGGTACCCAGAAGGTCAAGGATTAGAGTGTTTGATATGGTGGCGTCGATGTGGGTTATGGACAATGATGCGGTCGGTTATTCTCTCCAGGCCTTTCCATGCTGGAGGCCGGGCGTTATTACGAAACTTCTCGGCAAGCTAGGCTTTTCACGGCTTGCATGCATGATGGGTTCATAGGGAATGTGATTCCGAAAAATGCATCTGGTCTGCACCTGGAAACGTGATATGATTCAATCAACTATTCCAATCCATGCAGTTCCTGATGATCTTGTGAGCTGTGCATGTGTTATTTGTAACCAGCCCTTGAAGCAGAGTTGACATTACAAACTGGATGACCAGACTAAGCTCCACCCATATCAACATCCCCGTCCCTGTCAGCACCCTCTTCGCCCTCACTACTCTCTCCGACGTCACCCGTCTCCGCCTCACCACCGCCCTCTTTTCTCGCCGCAAAGTCCATATCCAGAACCCGGTAGTGCTTCCTATCGCTACCCAGCACCACAATCACCCGCCTGCCTTTCCGCCCGTTGACCACGAGTTTCAGCGGCGTGAACCGGCCCTCGAAGACGTGCCGAGTGTGCTTTTCGATGATTTGCGGTGTGATGTGTGTTTTTGCGCGGGAGCTCGGGGGTGGAGGGGCGCCGTGGGGGAGTGTGTGCGGCGGGTGGGGGGTGGGAGTGTATGATATTAGTGGCGTGGGTGCGGATGTTGATGATGGTGTTGGTGTTGACGTGTAGGGTAAAGCGAGGATGAGATTTGAGTCTGGGGACGAGCAGTGCAGGAGTACGAGGATGGTGGTATCGTCTGCGAATTTCGCATCGATGATCTTTGTGTCTTGCGGGAAAGTGAGCGTCGAGGTGGAGTGGCTGTGGAGGTCTTTCGGAAGAGAGGTCAGGCGGGGGGTGTGGGTTAGGCGGTGGATGTGGAGGGTGTCTGGGGAGGAGGGGGAGCAGAGGGCGATGTAGGTTGATATTGCGGGGCGGGAGAGCTGTTTGTGTGTCAGTTTAGTTAGGGGGAGGAGGGAGGTGGAGATGTACCTCGGACAGCATACGCATGTCGGCTATTAGGTCTTCTGTGTCGTGTGTTTCCTCGAGGACGATGCCACAGTCCATCTGTGTGTTAGTTTCCTGCCACTGGCTCACCTGCTTCAGCAACTTTGTCACGCCCTCTCCCAGGTGCCCGGCGACAAACTCCAGACATAGTGCCTCTTCTTTAAATCCCGCGCCCTCTTTTGACAGCTCGATGGCTTTCCGTGTGTCCTCGTAACTCGCTACCTCTTGGCCTCTCTGTTCGGAGCTCAACTGCGCTTCAGGCCTTAGGTGCGGCGAGAGACTGGATTTTGTAAGCCCGTAGCGAATGTACTCGAGCACCATGCCGATATCAACGCCCGGGTCCCGCATCTCCATCTCAGCGCGTGACTGCGACTCTGGCTCCGTGGCTTCGTAGTCGATGCAGAAGCGCAGCCACTTGCTGAAAGCGTGGAACTGGCGCTTCTCATCGGCAGCGTAGAGGAGGACGGTGTGAGCTAGAAGACGCATGCTTTTCAGTGTTTCGACGAGGGCGGTAAAGTCTGTAATCGGGCAGCTGAAGATCCAGTCTCGATCGTGGAATTGTGCCAGGCCGCGGAGTCGCGAGATGACTATGGCGCAGCGGTCGATTGCCGGGATGAGATTCTCGTGCACGAGAGCAAGGAGCGTGGTGAGACTGGATGTAACGATGTTGTCCCATCGCTTGTGGCCCTGCTCAGCAAGTTCGTCGACGAGCCATTCGCGGACCAAGGGGGGACAATTGCCCGTGCATGCTATGTGGAAGAGATTCGTCACAAGATCGCCTTGGCCTTTCTCCTCGAGCGTCTCTGAGATGTTCATCATGAATTTCGAGGGCAGGTCTTGTGCGTGCTTGAAGAAAGTGCGTATACGCTGCAGACACTGCGTCATGTACAGCATCAGGTTCTGCAGCTGCGATGTCTTCGAGGCGATGAGGTGCAGATAGATGCCCGCGCTCGGTATGAAATTCAGTGTCAGCGGAACAAAGGCGATGTGTTTCTGCCTTGTCCTAGTAGCAGTCTGCACGAGCAAACCGTGCGTGCAGCTATACGGATGATTCGCATGCAACATCGGCGTTGTTTCGACATTCCACGCAGTCGGCAACCTCACACTGACCGTCTCAAGCGAATCGTAAATCGACGGATGTACTGTTCCCTGGTCGGAACACCGTATGAACATGTCCACCGAATTATGATCTTTCAGATGATGCGAATGCAACAGCGCGTCAACCTCAGCCTGACTCCCAAATGCCCCCGAATCTGCTTTTGCGACGCGCATGAACGGCATCGCAGGCGGTAGCGGAATGGCAGGAAGTTTCGGCAGGAGGGTCTCCATATCCATCATGGCAAGCTGATCAGGCAGATCGGGCGCGATGTCCAAGTTCTGCAAATCCGGCTGTCGCTGCAAAAAGTCCTCGAGCGTGGCGTCGTTCTTAAAATCGTCCCAACCCTCAGTCGTCGGTGTATCAAAATCGACGTTCGTCTTCCCACTCCCTATCCTTCTCTTGACCCCCTCAACATCAATGAAGTTTACCCCCCAGCCCATACACTTCACTCTGGCCTGTACGGTATCATCCCCCACACCGAGTGTCAATCCCCCAAGCCCCACTTTGCCCGTCTCCACACTGACCAGATCAGTTGACCCGTCACTCCAGCTAATTGCGATTCTCTTCCCGTTCTCCTCCCACTGCATCGCATCGACTGCTACATCCTCGCTCTTTCTCTTCACGCCAAAAGCTCTTTGGCCGTTGATTCGATACACGTCCAGGTTCTCCTCATCTGTAACAACGGCAACCAGGTCCATAGTCGGGCAGTAGGAGATCAGATTGGCATGGACGGGATGCAGCAAGATTTTCTCTGCTTGCTGGAGCAGTCGGGGTCCTTTAGGGGCCTCCATGATGGGTACTTGGAAGTGTGGATAGGAAGTGGTGATGTTGATGGTCGAGGGTTTGCTGCAATGTGTGGGGCGCGTGTCTAGCGTGGTCGCGCAGTCACGTTTTACAATTGAATAGATGGAAAGTATTGTAACTGTCAAGGTAAAAGAGTGAACACTACATCAGGCCCAGCCTGTCGCAAGAGCAGATATTCAACAAGCCCGCATATACACTTACAAGTGCTCGCCTCACTCATCTATTCTAAGTCTCAACGAGAATCTCATATATCATTTCCCCAGCGCCCCGCCTTGTATATCGCCCTGGGTATACGCTTTCATGCTGACATCATGCAAGTACAAGGTTTTTCGCTTCCTAGGCGCCTTCTTCCATGTACTACCGAGCACACCCTCCTTCTGAACGCCAATAGATAACAATATCGATCCCAATCCTCAAATGCGGACTCTGCAAACAAACGAAACGTAATCCGCGTAGCCAGCCATGCGGAATCTCCTTTGTTATGTGGTATGATCCGGAACGCCTCCTTGCCTCCCACCTTCTCATCTCTTCTGCTGATGCAAAGACTTCTTTAGTCGCGCAGCACTCACCGAAGTGATGCAACGCGTTTCGGCTCCACTATTTCCTTCTTTACTCTCACGTCTCTCGACTTGCCAACGTTTGCGCGCCCGTTGAGTCTTGTCTGCCGATCGAAGCTCGTCCTCTTGCCCTCAGGCTCCATCTCATCTTCACTTTCCGCCAAGTCTCCCAGTTCGAACTGGTTCTCCACGTCGTAGTCGTGCATCAGCCCCCTCCTGTCTCCACTGTTCCGTGCCGCATGGAACGGGCTCCTTAACTCCTCGCTTCTCCGTGCTTGCATGCTGCGTCGTGTGTGAAATTCGGAGAGAGGGTCAGACGGCAGACCATCGGCGTACGAGTCGCAGGCGTTCCTGATTTGAGAGTCTTCGCGCGAGAGATTGAGAAGGTAGACACCGGAGAAGATAGTAAGGAAGCCGCAGAGGAGCGAGATCGTGTTCACGGAGGATGTTGTGTTGAAGCCCTGGAAGAGCAGACAGGATGCAATGAGGGTGCAGGTGGTGAACGTCACATAGTAGAGAGGATTGACACTATTCCAGTGTCAGTGTTTCTCTTCGAATTGGATCTGGATACGCACATGTTTGTCGAAAACTGGCTCAGAGCCTTGTTGAAGTAGTTCATCTGCGTGAGGATGCAGCCTACGATCATGATAACAAAGACATATGTCGAGGGGTGCGTGAACTGGTTGTTCCCGGCAAACGTCATCTTCAGCGCTATGCCAAAGGCTTTGATAGCCATAATCGAGACGGAGCCGGTCGTCGAACAGATGGAGAGGTAGATCAGTGGATTCTTTCGGCCATACTTTGGCGCAATCTTATAGATCATGAACATGGAGAAGACGGCCACAAAGGCGCAGTAGAAGAGGAAGCCTGGATTCGTCTCAAGTCAGTTCATCTGGAGTTCTGCGCAGGAAGGCTCAATGGTGAACATACCAGGTTGGATCGCAAGATTCAAGATCTCGTCTACAGACGAAACTTCCTTGTCTGGCGGCGCATGCAGTACAATGACAACCGATCCGATGAGGCATATCGCGCAGCCAATTCTTCCCAGCACGCCTAGCTGTTCGTCCAAGAAATACGATCCCAGAACCGCGCTGTATATGAATTAGCGCATGCTTCTCGCTGCTCTCCAATGCCACGAACCCAATAAGCACCGAAAGTGCTCCCAACGGCGTTACGAGAATTGCGGGCGCAAACGCGTATGCTGCAAAGTTGAATATCTCGCCGAGTACCACTGTGTCCAGTCAGCTGTCTGCTCCCTTGCGCTGCCGTGTGTGCGCTCACTCGTCGTTATCCCAGCCCACCAAGTAGGGTTCTGCAGGTACGAGAAGCCCTCTCCGTCGAAGCCATGTTTTTCAGCGGACGCAATCAGACCCTATTCGAACACGTCGTCAGTCTTGTTGTTCGGCGGAATTGCACATCGATCGCGGAGGGGACCAAGGCCGCGGACGGGGAGCGACGAACCTTCTTCGTTATGACGAAACTCGCGCCTGTGAACAATGTGTTAGCGATATGCGCGACCAAGCTGTTCGCAAGAATTCTTACCAATAGCAAGTGACGAGGACACAGCCAGCATCAAGCCAATGTATCTATCTCGAGTATGAGTGCCATTCTGGTTCGTCTGGCTCCTTGCGCAGCGGCGACGTACTTGTCTTCCATCGTATCGCACAAAGGTCTCGGCGACCAATTTCACGTCTCTCCTTTCAAGTACGAGGCCTACAGCGCTGAGTGATATAGCTGTGGTAGGAGGGGGTGCGCTTCGTTGCTGTCGGCAGCGACCTCGGTATCGATAACGTGTGATGGGCGTACGTGTCGCCTCGATGATGCGGCGATGAAGCGGAGGTGAGGGTCGTAGGGTCTTGCTGTGGCGCTGGCAAGCACGACGAGGGAGTGCAGCGTTTCGTGTTTCACCAAACGCCGTGCGTGCAAGGGCGAGGAGGGTCACAAGAGGGTCGAACGAGTGTGGGGGTGACGTTGGGACGGCTGCTCAACGAGGGATGGCACAGCGACAACAGCTCAATGTAGCGAACGCAGGGCAACAAAGGAGAGAGTGGCGAAGATGGTAAGATCAACGAATTCAAGTCACTGTATCACGGTTTCATCTACAAAGCAGGGGATACCGAACGGTTTCGTCAGCTCAGCCTCAACGCCTGCAGATCAAGATCGAGACTGCCAAGGACGCGTAACCCTCACACTGTACCTTACACAATTTGGACAAGGGTAGGCTGTCTGACACATGCACACGGATGCGACTCAAACTCGAGTGTACGAGTACGATGTGTTGAATTAGGCTAATGTAGATGATGATGGCTAAAATACAAAAACATCCAACTGCGATCAGCAGCTAGGTGTCTACGCAGATACGAAGCTGCTGGGATAAACAGCCATGCCGCGCAAAAATAGCCCCAACGGCCCACCATCGATGACGTGATGCTCACGGGTACCTCATCCTAATCCCCACATAGAACAATCGGGTATTCAACGCCAAAGATGAGTGAAACTCTGCGTTCCATGTCGCCCGACAACGCCTTTTGAAACCGCTTTTGCCGAAAAGCATGTGCTGTGAACCATGCTTTTCGCAGTTCATCTGCCTTTGCCCCACAAAAAAAAAGACAAAACAAAAGAAGAAAAGATGCATGTCTCAACCACTAGGGTCGGCAGCCTCTTGATGAGGATGATGGGTATACAATTGCTCACCTTGGTTGTCATCATAGCCTTGGTCCATGATGGCGACGGAGTTGGTTTTGCGAGAGTGTGATCATATGTTAGTATTTTTGGCGAGATTGTGACCTATGGTTAGCAGCTATTTCATCGACATAAGGGCGAGTTGGAAATGCGTGGCCCTTGACCGGCGTCATCTCACTGGACGCTGATGGTGAATTATAGATACTGTTAATGGGTCTTGGGGGGCGTAGGGAAGACGGTCGAAGAATTGGAGTCGAAAATAATGGAACGGACAGGCTAGTGGTTAGTATCCGTCGGAGCTCTGAAGACTCGGAGGACGGGGGTGTCACACTCTGGGCCGTTTGGGGTCTGGCAAGAAGTGTTAGCACCAAAGAATCGCTTTCGTAGTGACAGATAAAACATACCTATGGAGTCGAGTGCATCGTCTGCCTCATTGCCAACCTCGTCAATAGACCTCTTCTGCCTTTGAGGCGATGAGTTTTTCGAATCAGTCAACGAGGTTGCAACAGGATCTGCAGTCGAAGACGCCACGGCCGCAGACTGCTCAACCACACCGTCGTCCTCGCCAGCATGAGCCGTGACGCCGTCCAGAGTAGGGACTGCATTCTCAGCCATGGTCACGATGAAATCCTCGTTGGTGGTCCAGTCGTGTGAGTCGTCGAGGTCCAGGAAGTCTTCCACACCAGTAAAGTCATCGGCAACAGTGTTAGGGTCGGCAATCCCTTGGTCGTAGTCCTCGACACCGCCGTCAAGATCTACGTTAACTTGCTGGTCAAGTATTTGATACTCATAACCAGTGGAGTCCTGGTTAGCGTTGCCCTCGACCTCCGGTTGGATAGACAACTCTTCTGTGCCCTGTTCCTGAAAGTCTTGAAATGTTTCTTCTTGACCGTATGTTTGGTCATACTCCGGGTATTCATCCTGTTCGTACGTGTTGTCATCTTGTTCCTGGTGTATCGACGCTGAATCGTCTTGGTCGTTGATATTGAGGGCAACGCCATCGTCGTTTTCATCGTCGTAGCCATCAGGACGAACAGGTTCCGCAAGAAAAGCGTCGTCTTCGGCGACGGCAGGCTCATCACCTTGTACCGTTGATGATGACGGAGACTGTTCCTTGGTAGGCGATGGTTCGGCTTCCGCGACATCTTCGAGACCTTCGTCATCACTGTAATCAATGAGATCCTCCTCTTCGCGCGTTTGCAATTCCGTTGCGGGAATACTTTCACTACGGGTATTGGCCACGTCACTCTCCTGTTCTTCGATTACCTCTTCCTGGCCAACTGATGCGTCAATAGGTTCATTTGGAAGAAAGTCAGTGTTAGTAGAGTTTTGGGAAGCAGGGTCATCATCAGGGACGTCCTGCTGTTCTTGTTGTTCTTCTTGAGTGTTGTTTTCTGCATCTGCACTGTCATCATGATCAAGGTGTTGCTCATCATCAACGGGATGCTCTACTTCGACGTCGTTGTGTGCCTCAACAGATGCTTGGTCTTCGGGTTCGCCGTCGATCTGTTCTTGGTGGACTACATCATCTGCCGGCTGCGTAACAGTCGGCTGTTCCTCACTGACATCGTTCTCTTCTTGCTCTTCACTTTCCCAATCGGCAAATTCTCGCTCAGTGGAGGCGCCAGAGGAAAGCTTGGTAAAGTGAGTCTCACCTGCAGCGATAGCAGTGCTCAGCCCTGAGAAGCCACTTCCCTGCTCAGCATACTTCGCAACGTCAGCGAGCAGCGTAGCGAAGCGTGGGCGGAATTGTAATGAAACATAGAAAGACTCTGGCTCACTATCGTCGTCTTGCGCATGAAGTGTGTGATACAGGTCGACTAGGCGTTCCAGGGAAACAGCAACGCACGCAGTGTTGTCCTCATAGAGCTCCATGTTGTGCAGATGATCAAACCGAAACCCAATCTCTGTTTCGTTCGAGACATCGTCGCCGAGCGCAGACCTGCAGGCCTGGAAGAGATCTGAGATTCTCGATCCGGCAAGCGCAAGGTCTTCGAGCAACCAATCGCCACTGTTATCAGCATCGTACTGCTTGAAAAGCCATAGATCATTGCCACCGTAGTTGACTGTGACAGGTCGCAGTTCAGATGAACCGTTCTCTTCAGGCACATGTGTGGTAGTAGATTCAACAACGTCAACGTCATCTTGCGCAACACCGGGGTAGTCGCTATGATTGTCCTCAGCTTCATCACCAGGAAGTTCTGGTTCTTGTAGTAGGATCCCACCGTCATCGCTGTCTTGATGAGCAAACTCTTCATCATCGGCCTTTGATTGGGGTTCATGATGACTGTTTGGCGACTCATGATGGTCAGATTTTACGGCGACTGCATCTTGTTCTGTCGTGTCCTGGTGTGCACCATACTCGTTACTTTCTCCATCACGGACGTCATCGGCAGGAGTAGGGACGTGCAGGTCTTCCTCGAGCGAATCTTGTAACACGGCCGGAGTTTCATCTTGGACATCAGTTCCCTCATGATACTCCGTGCCTTGATCATCCTGAAGTGGTTGCTCCTCGTCGTCGTCGGAATAGTCAATCAAATCTTCGTCAACAGGTGGGGGCGTTTGCGCTTGTGTCGTGACAGGGTCGCTCATTGCTACCACTTCATCATCGCCATACTCGATGTCATCAGGCTCAATCAAGTCATCGTTGTCGGCCATAAAGTCGTCCTGATCGGCAGGATATGTTTGCAGCTCTGGTCCGCCATCCGTTGCCGCATCTTGTATCGACACATCGTCATCGTCGTTGTGGTAGGCGGAAGGCGCAGGTTCCAAGTCTAGTTCGATATCTCCGTCGCCAAAGTCGAAGCCATTATCAGAATGTACATCCATGTCGTCGTCGGCGGCGGAGATGTCGATGCCCGGCACAGCTTGCGTGGCGGTAGTCATTTTGTGCGTCGTAGTGCAAGGAATGTTTGCAAAAGTTGGATGACTGATAGTGGGGGGCAAAGTAAAGGAGCGTGTCGAGCGCGTCGCGAATCACGGGAGGCGAACGAACACTCGAGTTCTACTGATCAGTACGCAGCGCGGATATCGAGAGCTAGAAGCGCATAATCCAGCGTCCGACTGTTACGCGAGCGAGGGTGAAGGAGAGCGTATGAATGAGACAAAGCACTCTGTATGCGTCGCGCCAAGAATGGTGGGAGCCTGCGCGAGAATGCAGGCGGCGAATGCAGTCACTAAAATCGTGGGTAGAAGTCGAGGGTCCGAGAAATCACACTTTGGAAATCACAGTTCGACGGCAGTGTCCGGAGGGCAGGCGAGAGAGTTGAATGTTGTACGGTGCAGTTGTTGTCATGTCATTTAGAGGGGAGGATTGTTTGGTAAGAGCACCACGCTAGGCAAATCACCAATCACGTGAAACTGTCCACAAGGGTCCACGGTTGTCACTTTGAATCTACAGAAAGGCAATCTGAACAGCTTGTCTGACCCGTGCCATATTGTGTTCTGGGTAGTTTCACTTCCATATAATCACCTCGCCCCACGTATCACGGAAAGAAGCGTACGGACATCGCTGCTCGAGTACCTCTCCGAGAACCCCCTCCACATACTCCCCTCGAACACTATCCCAGCTTCGAGAGCCAGGCCGCCATACAAAAACACACATCTTCGACTCGTATATTGAGAGTCTACCAGTGCAGATAATTGATTGCCAGCCATCATGGTCAGAGACAACGTTCCTGAAGGCTTCGTGTCCTCCCAGAAAGCTGACGAAGAGCTAGGTGGTCCTCGCGGCGTCGATATGCACACGAGGCGGCAAGGCCGTCCTCTCGCGCCAGTTCCGGGAGATCCAGCGATCGCGCATTGAAGCTCTCCTCGCGTCCTTCCCCAAGCTTGCCGACAGCGGGACCCAGCACACGACGTGCGAACAGGACAACGTGCGCTACGTATACCAGCCCTTGGACGAGCTGTACATGGTGTTGATCACCAACCTGCAATCGAACATCCTGCAAGACATCAACACGCTGCATTTGTTCGCCCAGGTCGTGTCGTCGATATGCAAGTCCATGGACGAGCGCGAGATCTTGAAGAATGCGTTTGAGCTTCTTACGGCCTTTGACGAAATCGTCACACTGGGATACAGGGAGAACTTGACCATGAGCCAGATCAAGACGTTCCTGGACATGGAGTCTCACGAGGAGCGCATCCAGGAAATTATTGCGCGGAACAAGGAGCTCGAGGCTTCAGAAGAGCGCAAACGCCGCGCCAAGCAGCTCGAGATGCAGCGCAAGGAGATGTCGAGATCCGCACGCGCAGGCCAAGGAGGAATGGGCGGAGGGATGGGTAGCGGAGGGGGGGGCATGGCCGGCGGCATGGGTCGCCAGTCATCGTATCCGACCTACACACCCAGCGTACCCACCACTACCGTCACAGACACGTACGACAGCTACGAGGAGAAGAAGAAAGCAACGAGCAAGCCGCTGGCTCTGGGCAAGAAGGGCATGCAGCTGGGCAAGAAGAGCAAGACGACCAACATGTTCGACCAGGTAGCCGGGGATATGCCACCAGAGAGCGAGCCTCTTGTTACGCCCAAGCCATCTGCTCCGGCGGCTGCTGCACCATCAAGCGCTCGCCAGTCCACTTCGACCGACCGCGACGCTGTGCACATCACCACCAACGAATCCATCTCCGCCCGTTTCGACCGCGAGGGTCTCCTCAAGTCCTTCGAGGTCAAGGGTGAGATGCAGCTCAAGATCTCCGACCCTTCTCTTACACAGGTCAAGCTCGACCTCGCATCTGGTGACACTCGTGGCGCCCAGCTGATGACGCACCCTAAGGTCGACAAGCCCGTGTTCAGAAGCTCAAAGGTCCTCCAGCTGGCCGATACAACCAAAGGATTCCCTGCGAACATGGGCATTGGTGTCATGAAGTGGAAGCTTGCACCAAGGCCCGAGGACGTGTCTGACCCACCTATCACGTTCAGGGTATGGGTGGAGGAATCGGGCAGTACATTCAACATCACCGTCGAGTACGAGCTCACCGGCGGCAGCCCATTGAAGGATGTGACGGTCACTATTCCCTTCGAGACAGATGAGCCGACCGTCTCTTCTTTCGACGCAGTGTACGAAGTCAGCGGCGACAGCATTGAGTGGAACATTGGCGCTGTCGACGAGGCAAACAGCTCTGGTAGCTTTGAGTTTGAGGCCCAAGCTGGCAGCGATACAGAATTCTTCCCCATGCGGGTGCGGTTTACCAAATCCACGCCTTTCGTGGACCTCGATGTAAGTTTATTTACGCTTGTACTTCCTAACACTCTCGCTAATTCTGTCAAGGTCTCCACCGTAACCCTCTTCTCCATGAATCAAGAGATCAGCTTCTCCAAGGAAGTCAAGTCCGTCGCCGACGTGTACGAGATTGTATAGATACGGTTCGAGCTGAGCCTTGCGCGGGGGTGACACGCTTGGTACTCGCTTGCACGCTTCAGATAGATTAAAGAGCACGAAAATCCAATCCTACATGCATGATGACCACCAATCTACCAATCTTCATCCGGCAACGGCGTCCGAGAAGCTCTTTCCATCTCGTCCTCATGCTGTTGCGTCCACTCATACACTGGACCTACACAGCACATCGCTATAACAATAGGGCTTTCATCCCCTTCTACCCACTGCCTTGTATCCCTCTCCTCGAGTTGTTGGTAATACCACTGGTTTACCTCTCGGCGTGTTTTGTCAATTGCTTCTTTTTCTTTTTCCTCTTCCTCTTCCCTTCTGTCGTCCTCCCTCATAATATCCTCCCTCTTTCGTAACTCCTCCTCGTCATCATAGTCCGGGATAGGCATCGCAGCAGCCCTCTCCATCTCCATCATCTGTCTCGTAGTGAAATTGGGATATGCGCTGCTGGGCGTGCAACACGCGATGCTTAGTGGTATGTTGGACCAGTCATTTCCATCTGGCCCTAGATCTACTCCCGGGTCTGGCGTGTGTCGTGCACTGAGTGTGCGCGAGGAGGTTTCTGACGGGGTTCTTGATGGTGGTGGGGATGGCGTCGGAGATGAAAGGCGTTGTCGTTTGGCTGGGCGGGGCTCCGGGGTCGAGGAGTGTGGGCGTTTCATGAGGGATGGGATAGATTATTGGGAGATTGAATGTGGGGTGGTTTGATGAAGAGAAAAAGCGTGCTGAAGCTGACGTTGCTGTTCATGTACTGTTCATTTTTGGTAATTGTGGCGCAGCAAGGCATACACATGCTACAGCCTAATCAACAGACAATCGTGTACAGGTATTTGTTGAGACATTGTTTAAATTTCAATTTGAGTCTGACTGCGACGACGGTCGTCAGTAACAAAATATCGTGCATATCCATCGAGTGCGTCGTCCATGCATTACTCCACCTAATTCTAGATGTTGCGCCGATATATACATGTCTTTGCCTCCATAACGCTCAATCGCTCGTACAGATGCCACGCAGTAAATCGGGATATGATAAAGCAAACAGTCGTTAACGCGCCGCTGGTAAATGAATCGCTGCTGGTATATGCAGACAACAAACTGGCAAGAAGAGAAACTCGCTACAAAACGTATAAGTGGAAACTGGAAAATATCGCGTTGCAAGAAACTTGGTGAATCGAATTGACAAGGGTATAGGCCGTAACTATCGAGAGAAAATATAATCAATGGCAAGTATGCATATGCGTTCAAACAACAGCGTCGCCAAGGTAGCCGAACTCGTCCATCAGCCTCTCGAGATGGCTGGCAGAACTCTCGCGCTGAGATCGATCGGTGGGTTCTGGTCGGAGTGTGGTTTCGGTGATGGTGGATTTCGAGTCGCCGTCGTCGGGCAGGCTGTAGCCCTGGAAGCCCTGGAAGCCCAGACCAAAGCATGCAACCTTTCGGTGAGGTGTTGGGTCTGTATGCTGAATGTCTACATTGAACAAATTGGGGCCGAATGTCGAGATGCGTAGTTGGTCTAGTTGTGGTGGAGATGCTGAGAGGTAGGCGCTACTACCCTCAGTCGATGTCATATCGTAATCAGTGTCGCACCGCTGCTCTACATATGAGAATCGCGTGGACAATCGTCGCGGCGAACTGCAGTCGCTGGTCAAAGAGCTGAAAGTAGGCGATTGAACGGCTTCGTCATCCGAGTTCGGGTAGCTGAAGGTGAGCGAGTCGCTGCTCCACGTCGAGAAATGGCTGCGTGATCTTTCTGCAAATTGAACAATAAAGTCATCTGCATCCTGGTTCTCTTGCGGTCGCTGCTCATATCGTGGCTCCTCAGCAGGCAGTTCGTGCACAGTGGAATCGTTGCAGACGAATAGCGGCTCAGGCTCGAAGTACCGGGGAAGTGCGGGCAACGCCTTGTCGAACGATGAAGATCGCAAGCTGGAACTGCAATCCTCGCCGTGACTAGACGTCGGACGCTCGCTGATGAATGGAAGCTCCAGCGAAGCCGAAGGTCGCCGGAGCACTGGTGCGGGGTGAAACTGCTGAGCAGCTTCAACCTCTGCGGCACTGACGTCGTCGAAGGAATGCTGAGGCTCCGGTGACGAAAGCCAGGGCGCGTTAGAGAAGAGGCCATGCTCTGTTCTTCTGGTGTCTGCCGAGTTGGCTCGAACACGGCCGGAACTCAGGTCAGATTCGTTGATGCCGACAGTGAAGGGCATGTGTGATTGAGGTCGCCGACGTGGGCGTTCCTGTTCGCCCGAGAGCTCAGCAATATTAGGGGTAGCGTCCCAAACGGGATCGACTGGGTGGGATCCAAGAGGCGCGAATTGTTTTCTTAGTGCGGGAAGTCGCTGGTGATCCGTAGCCAGGGGCGTATCTCTCGGCAAAGGAGATGGGGGAGGTCGGAACGACGACGGAGAGATCAAGTGGTGATGATCAATTGTAGTACTGATCAGAACAGGCAGTCCAATCTCTAGCTCTTTCGTTTCTGATCGGCTCCTAGATCTTGACCGCTTCGATACTAGCTTCTCTTTCAAGCCCTTAAACTCTCCAAGCAAAGGCGTTGAAGACAACAGTGGCGACGCAGAAGCACTTCGAGCGTGGCGCACAACATTGGGCGAGAGAAAGCGATCTGCCGGGGGGTATGAGGCCGACCTCGATGCCCAAGGCAATGCCATAAGCGTATTGTACGGCTGCGTACTCGTGTCACCGAGTTGCGGCGAAGGCAGTGGCCTTGGGGTACTGGGTGGTACCGGTGTTAGATACCTATCTCCTGGATTACGGGTAAAGACATCTGAGTTTGCGGAACTGCTGCGACGGTGCCCTTCGTGAGGGATCTCTAAGACATTAAGGCGCTGACCTGGCAGCAGGGGGCAAAAGGTAGTCGAAGGCTCTGTAGGATTATGGCTCTCTTCCTCGCCGTCGACCTTGTACTGTCTTGTGTTAGAACGTCACTTCCTGCTGATCGAGCCGCTGCCTTACATAGTACCAGTAGGTGCCTCCCATTTTCAGAGGTCCGTCTCTCTTCGGAGAAAGGTTGTCGAGATCTCCGTCGCAAATGATATCTGCAAAGGTAAAGCAACCCTTCCACAAGCAGCGTCCCCGTCGAGTGTCAAGCTTGAGTAGATACGGCTTGGCGAAGTTGTCCCACGAGCCGAGCAATACTACACTACGCAGGGCAGCTGGGCAATGACTTGAAGATATGAGTTATGAGACTGGATGGGCGGGATAAGGGGAAGACATACAACCAGAAGGTGTGGAGTGCTGTGTTGTCCATGGTCACAATCTCAGGATGGCTAAGCTATTAGGAGCAGAAAGATCCGCCGTGAAGCGCGTAGGCGTCTAATTTCCAAACAGCCTTGCCACGTTGTTGTAGGATTGTGGGTATTAGAAACAAAGACCCATGCCGAACGGTGGGTTGTGGTGTTTTAGCCTGGTCGGTTGTATGGTCGCGTAAAAGAACAGCCTTGCAGAATAGAAAAGGCGGCTGTATGATTGGAGGGCGATGCTGCTCGTTTAGAAGACGGATTTGTCTTGATGCATGCTTATGGCGAGGTTGACACGGCGCAGCAGAGTCTGAGGCTGTTGGCGCAGTGGGAAGATGACCTGAGAGAAACAAAGCAAGATGCTTATGCAGGAGGTGCGCGGAAAACGGTCGATGTTTGACGATGTAGTCCAGGTCTCTGTTATGGTCGTCCAAGATTGGTCCAGTTGGCGCCCGTATGTAATGTTGGATGTAGGTTGGGGAGAATATAGCCCGAGCGCTTAAAGACGACGTCCAAATCGCTGGAATATCAAGTATGAAACACAGTATGCGGCGCGGTCCAAAAATCACTGAATGTTGTGCAGCTCGATGCCGAGGAGGAGAAAAAAGCAAAAGCTGAGGTCGAGGTTGGCATAATATTGATCTAGGCAGGAAAGACTAGCGGACGACGACCGCCATAGCGTCCTACTAGGAAAGGAAAGGATGAACGAGAAGATGAAGCTTCGGATATACCAACGGGAGATGCCAAACACGCCAGAACCTACATGGCACTATCAGGCTTATTACGCCTTGTCCTATCGTTGGAGCCAGGTTGGCTGCGAGGGCGCCGCTCACATCCTTCATTTCCTGGGTTGTGAGACCCACTGGTGGGGAGGGAAATGGCAGCTGAGCACGTTAAAACGCCGGCAAAGGAGATGAACCATGGTTTTGCGTGGTTCCCGGCTTTGGACACCCACGTCATGCCACCAGAGTTGTCGTCCCGATAGAGACGAGCAGGATCGAGCAAGGGCCGGCCATCACCGCTCTCCCGGGTAACGGGCAGATCCTCTCTCGCACGCTTACCTGGTCGCAACTCAGTGTTGCTCCAAAACACGGCAGATTCAGCGCGCGGTTAGGTGGTGACAGTCCGTACCCGCTTACCTGACACGCGGGCCCCTGGGAGATGCAGGGGAGTTGGTCCACTCACGGCCTCTAGCGAACGACATGGGGCTAGCACCGAACGGACGCAGGACGTGCATAACGGTGCATAATTGATTCATAAGAGGTAGTTGTTGCTGTTCTTGAGCGACGTTGTCGTTGGAATACTATCAAGAATGGGTGGGGCTTGGAAAGTGGAGTCTGAATTCATAGAGTACAATCAAAATCAGCAGTGGCCTCAACCCTCGACATCCTCAGTCGACTGCCGCTTTAGGGCCGTGATTGCGGCACAGTTTGCATGCCGCTCAAGTATCGTCGACCACTCCTCCACAACTTCACACCGCCCGGAAGTTTATTTCTGTGACGACTTGTACCTTGCAGGGATGACGTCGATCCACACGACCTCCTCCGATGATTAGGGCATAGCAATAAAACCTCCAAGGCCGTGCTTAATATTCTAAATTCCAGCTTTTAGCATCGAGATCCTGCTGTCAGTGCTTCGTCTAAGTAGGGTTTATGCTCGCAGCACACCAGATGACCGGTAATTGTTCAGGCTCGGCATCACGAAAGCAGGTTATCGCTGCATGCAAGGCCGTTGGACGACAAGTTTCTTCCATGCAAGGCTATGTTGCTGCGGCGACGTGGAGCAGTTGTTGCAGCACGCCCCCAAAAGACGAGTATTACAACGAGCGCCGCGCCGTCATCCTACATCCGACACCTGGCATTGGCATGCAATCTGCCAGTCATCGCGATCATGCGGCCACACGTGCTATCCTACAAGCCAATGCGCCGCAAGCACGTGTATGTATCGGGAATGAGCGCGTGGAGTAACGTCACAGGAACGAGCAATTACACACATCGTATGATCGAATCTCCCAGTGCAACGATGTCTGTCCGCCGCACAATTACACCTCACTGGAAACTCGTCTCCAGAATCTCCGGCTTCCTCTCCTCCAAATCAAGAATCATCTGTCCAAACAGACCATTCGCCCACGAAAACCATTGTCTCGTCCAATCGCTCTGGTTGAAGCTATTGACGCTCTCGTGAATCAGACCAAGGCCGTCGGTGCTACTCACAACCTGCCTCAATTCGTTCTTGATCTCGTCGTCGTTGTCGCTCGTCAGTATGCGCATGATAGAAGCCATTGGCCATGCCATGCCTGGTCCCAGATGTGGACCACCGATGGCGTTGATTACAGGCCCACGCATAAAGTAAGAATTCGCCGCGCTGAGGATGAGAGAACGCGTGTTCGCATATGTCTCGTCGTTGACGGGGTAGCCGAGGAAGGGCGCAGAGAGAAGGGATGGGATGTTTGCGTCATCCATGATTGTCGTGGAGCCAAAGCCGTCCAGTTCGAACGCGTAGATCTTGCCATACGTTGGGTGAATGACGGTCCCGTGCGTCTCGATAGCATTTCGCAACGAGTCCGACAGATCGGACATCCTCTGCGCCAGCGATGCTGAGTTTTCGGTACTCAACTTGCCCATAATCTCCGAGGTGGATGCCAAGTAGGTGCTGAACATCATGTTGGCCGGGACGTAGAACTGGAAGATGGTGGCGTCATCACTCGGCCGGAAACCACTCCTGATGAGGCCGGTACCGTTTGCTACCGGGTTACCGAGTCCATCGTTTGCGAAGGTCTCAGTGGCGCGAGAAGTGAGGCGAGCGAATGTATACGGGCTCTGCAGGACCTCCCCCTCTGATCCATAGGTGGGCCGCATCATGTCTTGGGAGACCTTCAAGACTGCTTCAACAGCTGATGCCCACTGGAACTTTCCGAAGAATTCGTAGTCGCCCGTTGCTCTGTAATAGTCGGCGGATATTTGCAAAAAGGCCCCGAGTGAGTCGAGCTCATATTTGCATTCAAACACAGAGCTGTTGGAATAGGTAGGAAACACTGTGTCCTCGCTGGCTGCTTCGTTTGGTGCTGGTTCGATGCCGCTTTCCACGGGTGGTTGGAAGGAATTGCAGTAAGGCGATGTAAGAAGATACCGTGCCTGCAGGTTGATGACACCGCGGTAGAGACTTGCGATCGAGTTGGGGTCACTACTGGCATTCAAGAGTGGCAAGTAACTTTGTAGTTGATTTGAAGAGTCCCGCAGCCACATCGCGTTAATGTCTCCAGTGATAATGAACGTCAGCTCTTCCTCCGCGTTGTCTGCGGCATATCCTTTCCACTTGATAGCAGTGTCGAGAGTGTTTGGATATGCGTTCTGGAACAGGCGATACATATCAGGATCTTTAATGACGCCTTCCATACGGATAAGCGTATCCTCAAGACCCTGTGATTTGAACGTTTGACATTCCTCAGATGGACGCTGGCTAGCAAGCTTGTACCTGCCAGAGCTCAAGGGCTCATGAACTTCGTTTGCATAGTCGATGTACTCGGGACATTGTGCAGAGACTAGTAGTGGTAAAGCTACGGTCTTGCTGAGTAGACTGGCAAAGTACATTTTAGTAGAAGAGTTGATTGGACTTGATATGAAGACAGAAGGAGTTTACAAAGAGAAGCTCGATGACAAGAGTCATTGAATAGTGTGGGGTAAATGCATGGTCATCAGGTCACGATCTTATATTATGATGAACAGCAGACTACTTTCATCATTGCTTGACCCCGCTGTTGATCTCCTGGACGTGTGGGTAGCGGATGTAACGTTAGATGGTACCTTCATATAGTCCGACGTCATCATGTCTGACAAGAGTAACAAAATGTCAGTGAGTGGCCCGCAAATCAGAACGATTATGTTGAGAAATATGATAGACCTGTTGACAGTTTACTACAAGAACGCCCTGCTGTCAAGTGGTGAGTGGAAGAGCATTGTCCTTGATGTCAGCCTCGAAAGAAATGCGGGGTAGCTCCAACGGTCCGATTTGATATGTAGAACAACAAAATAACTCCATTTCTAGTCATGACCCTCGTCCCAAGTTGACCTCTATATCTATAACGACGTTACACGCAAATCGTCTATCAACCATATCCTCAGCAGGATGTAACAATACAGAAGGAGAAAGGCTGCGGTGATAATCCAAGTAGTCTCCAGGTGGCACGACCGCAACTAACACCCAGCAGCTCCCTCGCTGTGGTTCGAAAGATAGGTGTAGTAGCCACCAACAATATCCCTCCACTCAGCCGCCCCTACCGCCTTCCCCAACCCAATCGAAAGCTGTACGTCTGATCCGTCGACCGTGTGGTAGCTCCAGCTATAGTGGAGATCATCGAGACTGTGAGGTTCATTCGCCGCACCCACACGACACTCTACTTTCGTCAATCCAATCGCGATGACGATTTCTTGCTTGGAAGGGTCCTGAAGGTCGTGGGCTGCTGAGTCGCGCCTCACGTGTATGGGTAGACTTGTAGTCTCGGCTGTCGACTCCTGCTTCGCGGCAGCAGGTTTGAACGTTGGCTTCGTGAGCGTCTGAAGACTGGTGACGAAGTAGAGTGGCTTGTTGAGGATGGCTGCCTGGTGGAAGAAGTAGTGGTTTGTGGTGTCGTGGCGTAGGTCTCCGAAGGCGGTGTTTGGGTCGGTAAGTGAGTGACGCGACGACTGTTCCGCGTTCACCTCGACGTCGTTCGCCCACGAGTACCGTCCGCTGGGGATGAGCCGTCCTTTCTCATCTTGAGATATGGTGTCATGGTATAGTGTCTGTACTGTACAGTCCTCGCCTGCTCGCTCTGTTGGGGCATGGAAGGAAGTTGAGGTCGGATCAAGAGGATCAGTGAGCAGCTGTCCAAGCGATATCAAGCTCGGCGAACAAGGTACTGGAAGGATGAGGAGCTTAGACATGGTGACAAGAGATGGTGATGTGGGACGGAAGGAACGTTGCTGGTAAAGGATCTTTAAATGCGATCGATCATCCGATACCCAGCGATTACTCAGAGAACAGCGATACAATCGCCAGTTGACAACGTGTGGTAGAAGACGTCTCATATTTTATGATCAGATCATGCTGGTGTGACATTGTATGGGTCTCGCCCGAGCTGCTGGAATGCATTCTACACCGTACAATTGTGAAGTGAAGATAACGGGCAGTACCTCGCCGTCGATCGCCCGTCATCGGCTGGTGTTGGTTGCGTGATGATGCCCGGGTCCACCCGCATCATTGTGGACCTTTTGGTTATGTAGGGCATGTTTATGGTGGGTTGGTGCCGCTTGACGTCGCCTCAATCACATCCGAGTCTGAAGACCTTTCGCTCTGGACGCGATGGAATATGCGACGTGTACAGACGTTTGGAGCAATGATATCCGAATTCGTGGGCAAATATTGACGAGTGAGTCCTGCTCTTACATCCAGTGCTGTGTGGATGGACAACCTCAGACTGATTCGCTTCTAGTCTGAACGGGAGGAGATAAGGCCTGGCAAACGAGCTGATCTGTCGCGACAGACTCGACAGAACTTCTAGAATCACTCAACGCACAAGGCCGCAGAGGAGCAACGTAAACACGTGTGTTCCACGAGGATCAAAATCGGCGAAGCGTGAGTGGAGCCGGGGATTGAGTGTGCTAGGCCGTCGCGTATCGCGTATCGGTACGTCACATGCGCGGAACAATTCCCCTGGCAGCGACAACCGACAACCGACAATCGACAACGTCACCCTTGCAGACAGGCATATGTATACGCATGTAGGGCGTCCGACGTCTTTGTCCGTCGCTATCGGATGAAGGTATACATTGAGCCAAAGGATGCTGGTGCCGAGCGCTCCGGGTTGGGCTGACATAGCCACCCCATGAGCTGATGTCTCTTCAGCCACGTTGAATCTTCACTAATACCTACTCACACTACCATGGCAGGGACACCAGTAGACACTTTTGCCCTGCGAGACCGCCGGCAGAGCGCGCTTGCCGAGATCCAATTCGCCTCCATCATTGAGGATGATCTTACGCCCTCCGAAGACGAGACGCCTGAAGATGAATCGCTACAACTGGAGACGGCGCAGTCAGCGATTGGAGTCAGCATCGGCCATCAGCAGACACGTTTAGTTTCACCGAGGACGCCAGCTGCGGAGAAGGCGGCTGCATTGGAAGCAGGCGATGGCGGAGAGCTCTTTGATGGCTGGGAGCTCACGTCGACCACCACCATTGACCAGCGGCTGACTCCGCCCATGGCTGGTGGTGGTGATGATAGCGACGATGGTGGTGCTTCCAATAGAGCAGATGCGACACCACCCGTGCAGACAAGGGAAAACGGGCAGGCGCAACACGACGGTTCCCCAGCGCGCCTTCCTTCACCGTGGCGCACGGGGCCGAAGACGTTTGTTTCGAAAACGAGCAATCACCGGGCTTCGCTGCGACAACAACTCACCACCGGCTCGCGTCGACGGTCATCCTCGGGCGGTTCGACAATGGCAGAGACGATGCGCAAATACATGCCCTTCAACCTACCATCTATGCCCAAGGCCTCGAAGCACCTCACGTTCACCCTACCTAGCTTCTCGACATCGACCGTAGACAGCGCCGGAAAGCCGGCTAGGAGGCGGATGACGGCTGGGAACGACTCCTCATGGGCCAGCCTGCCCCAACAAGATGGTACCTACCAATCCACGCTGCAACGTCGCAGGAGCCCATCACCCACGTTGCAACGCGATGTTGCCAACGACAGCGGCTCTACACTGCCCCGCGATGACCCACCTTCACACCTTTACAGCGAACGACTGTCAGACCTCCACGACCGACCAACACCTAGACTCCGTCGATCCAACTCGGAAGGCTCGTTCCTCCTCCACCGCAGCAAGTCCCTCGCTTCCTCCCTCGGTGACGATACACGATTTGAGAGCGTGCAGGGTCAGGTGAACAGCAGGCTCAAGGCCATCAGAGACAGCCTGCAAGACTCCAATTTCAAGTTTCCAAGCCCTTCGTTACCCACTTTCAACTTTGCGTCTAGAGAAGATATGTTCAAACCGCGCAACGGCAGTGTGTTGGTGAAGTCTCGAAACTTGGACGACGGCGCTACACAGGGGGTCAGCTACAGGCCAAATGTCATGGCAGGCACGCGGAGCGCGACGACGGGACCTCCAAAAGTGAAGCGATCCTCCAAGGATGTGCCTGTGGACCAGGAAACGCACCCCTTCTTCACACAGGCTCTGCAAGAACTGGAAGGCGATCTGGTCGTCTTAGGAGGCTATCGAGGTTCTATTCTGCGTTCTGCAGAGCCTCCGAACCGCCAGCTCTGGGTGCCTATCAAGGTTGGCTTGAACCTGCGCAAAGTAGACTTGGAGGTCCCGCTGGACGCGGACGCTGATGAAAGAATGGAAGAAACTATCTACCCAGACGGCATGTTGACACACATCGGACCTGTGGATATCTCTAAGCGCCTTTTGAAGCGCTTGCGAGCATCTGAAAACGTTAAAAACGGCAAGCTGAGAGTGCACAACTATGGCTACGACTGGCGACTTTCACCGCATTTCCTCAGTCGTCGAATGATTGCGTTTCTCGAATCGCTTCCATGCAACCAACCAGGGGTACCCCGTGAGAAGCGCGGTGCTGTCATCATCGCGCACTCGCTGGGCGGCCTAATTACGCGACATGCAATCAATCAACGACCCGACCTTGTAGCTGGCGTTGTATACGCTGGGGTCCCTCAAAACTGTGTCAACATTCTCGGCCCTTTTCGGAACGGCGACGACGTCCTATTCTCTTCTCGCATCCTCACTGCACAGGTCAATTTCACCATCCGAACCTCCTACGCCTTGTTGCCCCTAGATGGGAAGTGCTTCATCAACAAGCACACCAAGGAAGAATATCGAGTCGACTTCTTCGACATCGAAACATGGAAAGAAAGACGCCTATCGCCCTGCATCGCAGCACCGCTTCCCTCGCCTCTTCAGCCCAGCAGCAGTAGCCTCAGCGTGAGTGGCCTGCTCAACGCAATGTCACAAGCCTTGCCCACCTTCCCCAACCGCAAAAACAGCATATCGAGAAGGTCTCAGCAGCCTGCTTCTGGTGCCAACGCCGGATCCTCCACCAGCGAGGTAGCCAAGGATGTCGCAGACGTAGCCCGCAACGCCGCAGACAAGGCCGCAGAGGGCGGTGCACAGACGGCTGGAATGGGGCCCCAGATGTCCCAAGGCCAGCACGCACAGACATCGAACGAACCCAACCCCGCCACAGCAGTCACGATACCATATGACAAAGCTGTCGAGTACCTCACGCGCGTGCTTGCAGAAACAAAACGCTTCAAACAAGAACTTGCGCACCACTCCCCTCACTCGGTTTCAAACTCGTATCCGCCCATCGCCCTCATATACGGCAGGTCGACACCGACAGTCTACGGCGCAAAGGTCGAGTCCCGCGAAGCCATCGCCCGCGCCGATGTGTACGATGAGCTGGCGTTTGCGAGTGGAGACGGCGTTGTGCTTGCGCGGGCGGCCATGGTGCCAGAGGGATACTCCGCGGTGAGGGGCGGTGTTGTGTCGAGCGAGCGCGGCCATGTCACGTTGCTGGGCGACTTGGAGGCCGTGGGGAGGTGTCTGTATGCTGTTCTACAGGCGAGGCGTGGGGGTGTGGGGATGGGGCTGGGGGAGCGCGAGAATAAGAGCAAGGGCCTGGGCATTGCAGGGCCAGTTGGGCTGGAGTGATTGGTGATTAGCGATACCTATAAACGCCTATATTCTTTCCTGCATTCTTCCCAGTCAAGGTCTGTGGTTCATGATGGTTTTGTTTTTGATATAGGTACCTACTCATAGAAGACCAACGCACCGCCTTCATCTGCACCGTATTCAACAACTCTTACAGATTCCCTCAGATCTTTGGATACATGACTTGACTTTTGGCCTACTCCGCCTCCGCTTCCAGCCGACGGTTTGCCATGATCATAATCCATACCGATGCATCTCACTGTCGCTTGAAGTATCCTAGAAACAAAGCACGACCAGCCTCCCTACAACAAGTCCTGTCGTATAGATTTCACTCCACCGGATCAACCCCATAGATATCCCTATACTGAACCCTCGCATCCAGCGCAGCACGCTCCTCGTCGCTACCATTTGTCCTATTCTTGCGCGTCATCAGTTCCAGCAAGACGGGCTGAGAGTGCATGACGTGCGCACTTTTGAACTCTTCCAGCTCGTCATTCTTCAGCATGACCTTCGACAGCTTCTCGCTCTGGGCCTCGACACGATCGAACAGGCCCTGGTTTTGCTTGAAGAGATTGTCAATCCGTGCTGACTGACTGTTCGTCTGCGTGGAGAGGCTCTCATTCTGTTTGGTGAGGCTGTCATTCTGACTGGCGAGGCTGCCTTTCTGCTTGGTGAGGTTATCGTTCTGTTTGGTGAGGTCCTGGATTTGTTCTTGGTAACCGGCGGCTTCGTGTTGTAGCTCGGCGATGAACTCGGCGTGGCGTTCCAGTTTTTCTTCTTTGTCATCAATGTCGGCTGCAAGCGCGGCCTTTGTCTCCTTTAGTTCACGGATCTGGTCTTCGAGTGCAGCACGTGCTGCGGCGTTGGGTTTGGGTATAGCTATACCATCCAGGTCATCGAGAAGAGACAGAGAGTTGTAGTGTGACGCTCTCTGTCTCTTGATGTTGAGTGGTCCAGCCTCATCGAAAGGACTGGTATTCTCTGTGTGGTAGCCTCGTTTTCGTCTGATACTAGACGACAGGTGTCGAGTGGTGCGCTCTTCGGTTTCCGAGTCGCTAGGTGCCCCAAAGTCGACTATGGATGTTCTGTTTGTACCGCCTGCTCTCAGAATTCGACCGGAAGTCCCCTGATCGACGGCTGTTTGATTGGCAATCCGCTCAGAAAGTTTCGCCTTGCTCGAATCGCTAGAACTGGAATCTTGGGGTACGCTTGCCATGCTCCTTGTCGTGCAGGCCAGTGGAGTCGTTGAGACAGAGGTACCAGTTCGCCTGTGCAACGTGAACGGCCTATCGGTGTTCTTCAAAGACGCTCTCGTCTTGTTCTGTGCCGCTTGCTTGCTCGCCAAATTCTTGCGTACAACATCGACGATGCTTTGAGGCTGAGCATACGGCCTACACTTGATCTTGAGTTTGTTGGCGTCCACGAAGCCAGCGTCAATCAATGCAAGTCGGACGCACGTGCGAGCCATACACTTCCAATTCCAACCCCCACCTACGTCGGCCTGATTTTCCGCCAGCAGCAGAAATACAGGCGCAATATCGACTTGCTCAGGTCTGACCGCTTCAATACTCATTTGTTCCTCGTTGTCATCGAAGATTATCACCATGCCGCACCGAACAGGCCCATCTAGCTTGACACAAGCCCATATGGAAACCATCTGGCCTGATCCGGATGGTTGACGATACTGTCCGATGAAGACTTTTCCAGGATGCGAATTTGGATCTTGCAAGTGCTCAACCTTAAACCAATGTTCTGGTGGGACGGCCAGCTTTAGCGAGGTGATGCACGTAGCTGCATCTATTAAACCTTCTTCGGACGTATTCTGAGCCCTGCCTTCGTTGTCTTCGTGGTCTGCAGCCTCGAGCATCTCCGGGACTTCAGTGAGCTCTGATGAATCAGAGAATCTATCTGTTTTGCTCGTCTCTAGGTTCTGACGTATCGTTTTCAATATGGCCGGAAGCTTTGAGTTTGTAGGCGTCTCTACGTGACCATCAAAACGCCCGTTCTCGAGCATAACAAGCTTCAGAATTGTCTTGAGCCGTTCTTCCCAAGCCACGTTGTAGCCTCCGCAGCGATATGTATCGCAGAGAAGACGGCACCACGGCGCAAGCTCCGATTCCCGAAAGTTTCTTGGATCCGCCTGTTCGCTGTTGTCGTGGAAAATCTGCACGGATGTGCTGCCTTGGGTAGTCATTCTCCTCAAGCATGCCCAAATCTTGTCGGAATCTTCCGTAGAGATAAGAACCCTCCCGGGGTAGAACGGAACTCCCTCATAGTTCACCGGGGGTGCGGCTTCTTCTCTGGGCCAGAGGTCTCCAGAGAAAACCTGGTGAAGATCCTCGAGGTCTTGCGCGTGCAAGCTCTTTGCAGCTTTGACTTTAGTCTCGTCGATACGTAGGTACTCAGTATAGTTCTGAAGACGTTAGTGAAATGGGTGACAGGCAATTTCAGGTTGTGCTCACCACGTTTTCTGTGCCTTCTGCGTCGGACATCGTGTCGGCAGTGTCCCACGTTACGTCACAGAGCCTGTCCCTCGTCGATCGGATGGACAGTAGACTGTCAACAGTTGCGGAAACCGCCGTCTAAAGCTGGTTAGCACAAGGCACTGAACTGTGTGAGAACTAGAATGTCATCATACGGTAGTGTTCTCTTACAGTAGTCCCAGAGTAAGTTAGAGCCAGTCAGTAGCTCGCGTGTATGGAGTAGAGGTGAAGACTACAAGACCATGTACCTAGACTCACAGTGTGTGCGAGGACGTGTCTAGAGGGCAATTAGATCCACGAGTTTGTTTGCCTACAATAGTGCGAGGTGAGAGGGGCTTGCGTCTGTTTGCTGCACTAACGCGATTAGAATTAGCGGCGTCGCGGTGTCAGTTTGGGAGAGCGCAGGTCGTTACACGTGTGCCACTTTGTGTCACCCACTCTTAACGTACTCAGATTAGACGAATGATATTCCTTGTTCATCTGAAATAGTTTGGTGCGGCGAGTTGAATTGTCGGCGTGGCATCCCGTTCAGAGATACGGAGAGGAAAAGAACAGTCCTTGTCTCGGCTGTGTGATACACTCAACAATGCGAATCGTAGCGGCGAATATTGAACGACAGATAGTGAATGGAACATGAGGACGTGTCGATATTCCACAATTTGGCAAAGACGGAGAAAATAAGAATTATATTTCAATTGCCATTGATATTGATATTGAAACTACCTATAGTACCAAACATTCCCAACCAACTAGTGTGCAAACCCAAAGAACTGAACATAACCCGGACCATCGAGCTGTGACAGAAAGGTTGTCCAACGTTGTTGAATGCGCTCGTGCCCTAAAAGCCCGCCTCGAAGATTAAATCTAACATATTGATGACTATTCCATATTCTCCACGGGGAGAAATACTGCTGGAGCGAAGTGTTTGGGATAATGCTACACCAAATTCGTGTTGTAATTGTCCCGGTCAACCCACTTAGACCATCATGACCAAAGCGAGAGCACCGGCCATAGCAAGACCGAAAGGTGTCGCAGCGGGCGCGGCACCAGTGTAGGTCGACACAGCTGGTTGCGTGGTCGATGGTGTCGCTGCTGGTGTGGTCGATGGGACCTTGGAGGTAGAGATCTGGGAGTAGTGGCTGCTGACAGGAGGAGCCGGGGCCGAAGACGAGGGAACAACCGGCTTAGACGAAGGAACCTGGGGAGGAACCACGGGGTAAGACGAGGGCACGACTGGCTTGGACGATGAAGGAGCCGACATGGAAGAAGAGGGAACCTGAGGAGGTACGACAGGGTAGGTCGATGGAACAGCCGGCATGGAAGAAGAGGGAACCTGAGGAGGTACGACGGGATAGGTCGATGAAACAGCCGGCTTGGAGGACGAAGGAGCCTGAGGAGGAACCACGGGGTATGACGAGGGCACGACTGGCTTGGAAGATGACGGAACCGGCACGGAAGAAGAGGGAACCTGAGGAGGAACCACGGGGTAAGAAGATGGGACGGCTGGCTTAGACGACGTAGGGACCGCAGGGTAGGTAGACGACATGACCGCCTCCGAGGACGACGGGACCTGGGGAGGGATAACCGGGTAGGTAGATGAGATGACTGGCTTGGACGAGGATGGAACCTGGGGAGGGACCACAGGGTATGACGACGGGACGGCTGGCTTCGAAGATGAAGGTACCGCGGGGTAAGAAGATGTCATGACCGACTTGGACGACGATGGAGCCTGGGGAGGGACTACGGGGTACGACGACGAAATGGCCGGCTTCGATGATGAAGGTACCGCGGGATAAGAAGACGTCATGGCCGACTTAGAAGATGAAGGTACCACGGGTGGGACCACGGGGTAAGACGAGGAGACAGCCGGCTTGGAGGATGAAGGGACGACGGGTGTCGTGCTGGGCTTCACAGACGTAGTGGTCGTTTTGGGAGGAGGCACCGAGCTGGAGACCTGCGAAGTGGAGCTCTCACAAGGAGTGCTGGATGTCTTAGGAGGGGGGACCGAAGAGTAAACAACGCTGGAGCTCGACATGGGGGGAACCGAAGAGTAAACGACGCTGGAGCTCGACTTAGGAGGCGGAATTGAAGAGTAGACGACACTGGAGCTCGACTTGGGAGGAGCCGAAGAGTACACAACGCTAGAGCTTGACATGGAGACGCTGGAGCTAGTCTTAGGGGGAGGAACAGAGTAGACGACGCTGGAGCTTGACATGGGGGGAGGAACTGAGGAGTAGACAACGCTTGAGCTAGTCTTGGGAGGGGGGACCGAAGAGTAGACAATGCTGGAGCTCGAGCTCGACTTGGAAGGAGGAGGGACGGAATAGTAGGCGCTGGAACTAGTCTTAGGGGTTGGCGTGGATAAGGTGGAGCTCTCGCAAGGCGTACTGGACGATTTTGGTGGAGGAACCGAAGAGTAGACGACGCTGGAGCTCGACATAGGGGGAGGAACTGAAGAGTAGGCAACGCTGGAGCTAGTCTTGGGAGGGGGAACCGAAGAGTAAACAACGCTTGAGCTCGACTGGGGAGGAACCGAGGAGTAGACAACGCTGGAGCTCGACTTGGGAGGAGCAGAAGAGTATACAACGCTGGAGCTCGACTGGGGAGGAACTGAAGAGTAGACAACGCTGGAGCTCGACTTGGGAGGAGGAGGGATGGAATAGTAGGCGCTGGAACTAGTCTTGGGGGTTGATGTGGACGACATGGAGCTCTCGCAAGGCGTACTGGACGATGTTGGTGGAGGAGCTGAAGAGTAGACAACGCTGGAGCTTGTCTTAGGGGGAGGAGGGACCGAAGAATAGATGCTGGAGCTAGTCTTGGGAGTTGCTGTGGACGACGTGGAGCTCTCGCAAGGCGTACTTGACGATTTCGGTGGAGGGGGGGCAGAAGAGTAGTAAGCAGTCGAGCTCGTCTTGGGAGGAGGGGTAGAGTAGATGCTGGAGCTCGTCACGGGAGTTGGCTTTGATGACGTGGAGCTAGTCTTGGGGGTTGGCTTCGAAGACGTCGAGCTCTCGCAAGGCGTGCTGGACGACTTGGGAGGGGGAGGAACAGACGCATAGTAAGCGCTGGAGCTCGTCTTGGGAGGAGGAGGAGGAGGAGGGATATAGGCGCTGGAGCTTGTCTTGGGAGTCGGAGTCGACGATGTGGAGCTCTCGCAGGGAGTGCTAGTCGTCTTGGGAGGAGGAGGAACCGAGCTGTATCCCTGTTCGGACGAGGAACTCTCATAAGGAGTGTTCGTCGACTTCTGAGGAGGAGGGTAGTAAACGCTGGAGGTCGTCTTAGGAGGAGGTGGCACCGAGCTGTACACCTTCTGGGACGAAGAGCTCTCGCAGGGAGTGCTGGACGATTCAGGAGGAGGAGGAACGGAAGCGTAGTAAGCGCTGGAGCTCGTCTTGGGAGGAGGAGGAACATAGACGCTGGAGCTACTCTTGGGAGTTGGCGTCGACGACGTCGAGCTCTCACAGGGAGTGCTGGTCGGCTTGGGGGGAACGGGGTAGTAACCGTCAGAGCTCTTCTCGGGAGGAGGAGCGGAGTAGACGCTGGAGCTCGTCACAGGATATCCGTAGCTCGGGGTGTCCTGGGACGGATAACCGTAGCCTCCAGCACCAGCGACCTCGTAGGCAGCGGGAGCGGGGGCAGCGAGGACAGCGCCCAGCAGGGAAAGAGTGGTGTAAGCGTACTTCATATTGACTCAAACGTCGAGATAGTGGGATTATCTTTTGGTATTAAGAAGCGTAATGCTAGGGGTAAACGATGGACGCAAAGCAAGCAGCCGTAACGAAAGAGCTGTTGCTGTTGCTGTATTATTAAATAGCGGGTGGTTTGATGGATGATGAAGGGAGGGGGGTTTTAATAGTCCTCTGCGGGTTGCTGTGATCAACCACCCAGCCATTTCCTGAGCAGAGTCCATGGTAACACGACGGTTGGGTTGCATACATCGAGTGGAGCACTAGATCAAGGGTCTCCGAGATCGTTCCTCGCATACCCACGGTTACCTTCCAATGCGGCAGGCTATTTCCATGGCTGGAGCCGATCCAAAGAGTTCTGAATACGAAGACCGCAGTCCGTAACCGGTATGATGCGATGACTAACCGATATAGTAAGTCGGACCCCCAGCAGAATGCAGGGACGAGCGGCGAAGTGAGCTGCGAACACTGTATTTGCTGGCGTGTCCACTCGATCCTCATACATACCTGTCGGTTTGCACTTATAATGAATCCAGAGCCTTGCTATCACTTTCAACCAGCGTCCCAGAGTTGATGAGTGGGGTTAGCCATGATGCGGTCCAGACGTTGCAACGCGTTCGAAGGCTCCATGGTACATAAGATTACTCCTCATTCCCCATCCTGAGCCCTGGTAAACGACTGCTCATCAGTCGTGAGTATTCAGCGCCGATTGATGATGTAACGGTGGCCCAGCAACCGGCCCAATTCTCCAATACGTGCGCGATACGTCGCCGGGTTAGGGCAGACGGTTACAAGCCACAAAGCGTGTTCCTATCAATAGCAACGCTAGGTCGATCCGATCAGCTGACGATCTCCCAACAACCTCGGTGACGGGATATGATCTCCGACTGTGCCTTTGTTCCCACAGGGCACAACAGACCTCATCGTGCACTTGTTGAGTCGTGCTCTCTTTGCTTGTTGTGTTTACAGCGTTCGCCTCTCAAGTACTCGCAAAGCAAGCAGAGATAAGCTTCTTTGCGCGAGAGCTCAGCGTCCCTGTAGCTACGGGACGGTGGCGCAATGGGCTTCGCACTCGACTGGACTGCATGGTGACCGCCGAACAAGCCAGTTCATCCAAAGAATCGCACCATCTTCGCGGTGGGGCGTTGTTGGTAAAGCGCGGAAGGCTGAAAAACGTCCGCTTGCACCCGCTATTCCCCCGCCTCTACGGATGCCGTGACAACGACACTTTCGTTTTATGGTTGTTATCGTCTGGCCGCAGTTGTTCTGTCGTAAGGCGAGCGCGTCTATATCCATTGGCGTTCCTGCAGAAGCTGCCGCTGCACTGGGGTGGAGACATCTTTCGTCTCCTAGCATGCGGAGCTGTGTCCGACCCGTCACAAAGGAGTGGTTGAAGCTCCACATGTACAGGAATGGCAGTGTTCTTTTCTTTCTTTTTCTCCAACCAACCAGATAAATCCCTGCGGCCGTACCCAAACTACAAGACGTTGGGCTTTGTCTAGTAGATCATGTCGTCACCAAGTTATGCACGAAACCGCACCCCCGCTTTGCTGCCAATCTTCGCGAGTGTGGATTCTGTTGACATTGCGAATTGTTTGTTGCATAGCAGATCGCGATTCCGTTTTCGAGGCGATATCGGATGGCTCGTTCTGAGATGAAGATGGTCGGTCGACCCACAGCGGTCAATTGCGAGTTCCTGAAAATCGGTCATCCATTACGCATGGCCGAAACTGCAGGCAGCTTTGACTTCGCGGTGCACCTGGAGCACCTCACTTGCATCACACCGCCGAACACAATATTGAGCACTGTGTCAGCTCGTGTTTGTTACGGTATCGATCGCGTGCAAGCATGCATGCGACCGGGATAAGGCTGTTTGGAAGGGTAACAGGCGTCCAATCTCAGGGTGCTATTGCTATCATATCGCAGGCTGGGAGTGACTTGGCTCAATCATCGCTTGTCGTCTTGTGTGTTTGCGTCGTCTTTCCAAGCAGGTCATGTGCTGCAGCCGAAAATGGTTGACACCGAAAGCAAGACTGTCGACGCAACTACTCATCGTCATCGCTATCGGTACCGCTATCCCATCCCTCATCATATTCCTCTGCTATCACTTGCAGCCCATCGCAGAGTGCCTCTCTTTCATTGACTGTTACCAACCGCTTGACAAGCTGCTCAATGGCTCGCACTTGATCCGCCACAGCCGTGCTCGTGGTCAGTCCGGCGTGGACGGCAAGTTTGCTGGCATGTCTTGATCCCACGTCGAACATTGTTTTTGGGAAGCTGTCGAGTAATGGGAACAACACGGGCCCAGGAAACCTAGGAGGGGTTAGTACGTGGCTGAAGCTCGTATTGCGCAAGAATAGCACGGCGCGCATATGAGCACGTTGCTGAGGACGCTCGAGACGAAACAACATACCTCTGCACCGCCGGTCCTTGATCAAATCGATCCCGAGGATCACGCTCGTTGTCAGGCAGATTCCATGCCCCTCGTAACGCTTCTGCTCTGCCGAAAACATGCTCTTTTCTCCCAGCTCTTGTGGCGGCTCTGTAGTCCTTTGTGAAGACGTCGATGTCGAAGCTGCTCAGCTCGTGGTCACCCTCGCTCGTCTTTCTTGATGCCATCGAACCTTGCTTTTCAGCCTGCGCAGCCTCTTCCGCAACCTTCTCTGAAAGAACCTCTGGATCAGCGACGCTCAGTTCAAGCTTGGCTATCCGCCGTTTTCCGGTGCTGTTGAAGGTGTCTTCGAGGTCTTGAAGTGTTCCTCGGCCGCCGTTGCATGTTTTCAGTCGAGACGATATTGTCATACTCTCAACTCCCATAACCTGTAGAGCGCCAATATGCCATGGCGATGTTGCGTCCATCGACAGATACCTCGCGAGCTTGGATGGTTTGTTAGATATGGGTACATAAACAGAGGAATGCTCGGCGAGGGCGTGCAGTGATCGTGCAGCATTTACGACTTGTTGTAGTCGCTTCTCCTGTGATGTGTAAGCTCAAGAGTTTTGGCCGGTTTGGAAATACTACCCTCGGGACTGTGGTGTTCGCGCCTTGGTCTCCTAGTCCCCAAGTCCATATGCTCAATTTGCCATACTCGTCCCGTAGCCGCTCTATCCACCCAGATGTCCAACCGCCCCAGGCGTCATCAACACCAGTGAAGATTTGCAGCCCTTGGATGCCGTCGCACTCTTCGACAAACGGCCGTAGATCTCTGTCGACTAAATCGACTTCCCGCTCAAGCTTTTCGAAGAGATCCATACCGACTTCCCAGCTTTCAAACGGCATAAGCTGATCGTTGACGTCGAACTCTGACAGCTGAACAATTGACTTGGGGTGATAGTACACTCGGCTGTAGTCAGACCAGTATCGAACACTCGAAGTACTCAGTGGCGGTGGGTCCAGGCCGGCGTCAAGGTGCTCCTGGAAGGCCGATTGCTGGATAGGTTGAGAGCGCTGTACGACAGGCTTCGAGGGCCACACACCGGTCTGGTCCAGTATATTCCTGTCATCCTCGTGCTCGTACAATGCGTTGGTCTTCCTCATGCTTCCGAACGCACCTTTCAGATCGTATATGAGCGTTCTGGGCGTGAAGGTGTCGGAGCCATCCGGGGCGGTTCCTGGCCGGAACAGGACATCATGGTTGACAGGAGATTCTGGCTCGGGTGGATATGTGAAATATGATTCCTTGAGAAAAGTTCAGGATATGGAACAGGTGAAGTTGGAGTAACGTGGGACGAGGTATTCTGATTAGAGGGGCAATGAGAAAACATATGCAGAAAAATTGACGACGGGTAGCTCTAATGCTCCAGGGTATCAACGTCGTTGTTAAAGGCAAATTTTGAGTGCAGTAGGAAAGCTCGCAGATGAAGAGCTTGAGATGCAGCCACTGGACTCACCTGTGCGTTCCAAAAGTGAGTACCGAGATAATTGCTCTGCCGGCCAAACTGCAGCGTGACAACCTCGCGCATTGTGTATTCTCGAACGACTGAGTTGCACGGATTAGTGGCGAGTGTGGACAGAGAATTGAATTGCGGATGGTCGACGAAAGAGTTCGGTGATGTCAGACAGGTAGATGCATGACAATTGGGTGAGGGCCAGGTTTGGATTTGCCCCACAAATAACGTCCAGAAAGGTCTTTGCTAACAGCAACATCCGCAGTGTGAAGTATACCCAGTAATTACATCCATCATTTCAGCAACATGTGCCGTAGTGGCAAACGTGAGTATTGATCCGCTGATATGCAGTATGTACTCGAACCAAACGCCTTGCTCTAACGGCCTACTACCACACCCTCCCATGCTATCACTGTAGCAAACGTGTAGCTCTCTGCACTACCAAGGTCGCCTTTGTATGAGTATTAGCTCAGACTTTCAAGTGTAGCTCATAAGAACAAGTGAGAAGTATCGCAGATGAAGGACAGATGCAGCCTACCTTATTTTATTACGGGCTACTACGTGAATCATTCAAGACGCCGAAGGAGGCATCTACTGCAGATTGGTCTCTGCGCGATTGGCACATCAATTGGCCCTACGACACTTCCTAATTCGTTTCTTGGTCGTTTTGGCCTCGCCGCGCCGCTGTGGCTTCCTGTTAGCTGACACGCTCGCACTCCGACTACCACCTTCCCCGGCCTCGTCCACGCCAGCTACCGCCGCCGCTCCCGCCTGCACTACCGCCGCCGCCTCCCCCTCTACCAAAGCCAGGCTCCCGATCTGGCGGTGCCTCGCCCCTCCTCCATTCGCCCGATGGTACTCCTCCACTGAGTCTCCTGTCGTCGAACCGTCCCCCGCGGCCTCCTCTTCCGTACCCAAAATCACCGCGCCCACCGAAGCCGTTGTCCCTTCCTCGTCCGCCGTATGGTCCAGGTGGCGGTCCTCTGCTCGGTCCCGAGATGGGCGGGGGAGCTGCTGGCACACCACCGTCCGGCAAGGGTGGCAGGATAGCGCAGGAAACAAAATCGCCAATCAAGAACTTGACGTCGCCCAGTGTCTTCTCAGGATCTCCGTCGAGCTGCTTCAAAGCCTCCTCCACCATCGTTCCGCCCTCAGCCATCTCTGTGTCTTCGTCTTCAGGATGTGCGGCGCCAACAATGACGGAGCCTATGTCCCGCGAAATAAATCGACCTGGTGCGCCTGGGCGATTCGATCCTTGGATGTCTGGGTACACGAGACGGAAGGCGATGCGGGCTCCGGCATATGGGTGTGATAGCAGCTTTGGATATGTGGCGAGGAGCAGTTTGCATAGTTCGCGCAGGTTGCAGTTAGGCCAGGTATAGATCTGGATGTGTGATGGGAGACGAGGGAGGGTTGGGTCGAATTCGTCGAGCCTGTATGAGTTGGCACGTATTTCTTGAAATAGTAGGACTATATATGGAGCTTACCTGTGATATGAGCCTTGCTTGTAGCACAGACGGAGCAAAAAAGGCGTAGTAGTGTGCCGATCGACGGTTGTGGGAGCTTCAGCAGCCATGGTTCAGCTTGCACAGTAGGCCTGCGATCCTGGGAGTATGTGTTGGAGGGCACAAAGTGACGATGACGAGTGACTTGGCTTGACGCGTGAGGTCGAATGGAGGGATCAGCTTTCGCGACAGACGCGCGCCCACTAGCGCCTCGGCCAACGCAATCCCAACATCCTTCTGCACTTCACGTTAACATACTCAACTCCCAAACATCATTCCCTCGTCGCCAACATGGATTTTGCAAAGCTCATGTCCCAGCACATCAAAAAGGGCAAGGACACAACCGCGCCCGCTGACTCTAGCGAAAAGAGATATCTGAAGCGCAGCGAGGTCGAGGCGCAACGACAGGCTGCCTATCGCGCTGAACAAGAAGCCGCAGAGCAGGCGCGCCAAGACCGCATAGCCCACAAACGCAAGGCCGAGGAAGACGAAGCTGAACGGGAAGCCGAGCGGCGGGAGAAGCGGCAACGACTGGCCGAGGAGTCGCGGCGACGCAGGGAAGACGAGGAAGAGGCGGAAGAGAGCAGGAGACGAAAGCGTCTTGGTCTGCCGGAACTTCCGCCAAAGAAGAAAGAGGGAGACGATGAGGGCACACCAATACCCAAGGACGAAGACATGCCAGACGAAGACCTGGTAGCGAAGCTGAGGGCTCTGGACGAGCCAGCAAAGTTGTTCGGGGAGACGCATAAGCAGCGCCTGAAGCGGTACAAGAAGCGCGTGGGTGCAGACAACCTCGCAGCCATCATGACGGACGGGCCAATACCCACGACGCTGCAACTGGTGCCAGAGAAGGATATGAAAGTAGAGCTCAAGGTGCCCAAGGACAAAGACGGAAGAGAATTCCTTTTCAGACAGTTGGCGAGCTACTTCACCATGGTGTTGACGGAATGGGATGCCACCCTCGCACGCAGAGACGAAGACGTGCAGACCAGCTACCAGGGCAAGCAAGCCTACGCCGCCATGGTGCAAGCCCGCGAAAACATGCGACCACTCTTCAAGAAGCTGGAGAAGCTCGACCTCGAAGCCAGTATCCTCGATCCCGTCGTCGAGATTGTGCATGCTGCGCAGGAGCGACGTTACGTCGACGCCAACGATGGGTACTTGCGACTCAGCATTGGCAAGGCAGCGTGGCCAATTGGTGTCACCATGGTGGGCATTCACGAACGCAGCGCCAGAGAGAAGCTGCACGAGAGCGACAAGAACGCGGCGCACATCATGAGCGACGAGATTACGCGGAAGTGGTTGCAGAGCATCAAGAGGTGTCTGAGTTTTGCACAGACGAGGTGGCCGCCGACAGACCAGTTACAGCTCATGGGTTAAGAATGGTGCAAGTGGTTGGTCATTGCGTGTTTGATAGACTTACTCTTCGCTGGATCGCTACATGAATTCATATTGCTAATGATGATGATGACGGCGTCAACGAATAACCCTATCCGGTATACATGCAATGCAAAACGGTTGTCCAAAAAAGGATATACTCGGTTGCCGATCAAAACAGTGGCAAGAAAAGGGTGAGAGAAGTCAAACACGACCCTTGTGAGCATTCTCAGTTCGATTTTGCCTTGTCCATGTCAATCTCGGTCTTCTCGATGATTGTGATGGCACCCACATAGCAAACCGAGCTAGCTTCCACATCTACGGACAGAAACTCTCGGCTGTGCTTATCTAGATAACCCACGCTGTTGTTCGTTAAGAGTGGCTCGACGTTGGTTCTGGCGCGTGGCAGCTCAAGATAAAGACGAGACTGCGAATGATTATTGCTTACGTTGAATGTGGGTTAGAGTCAGAGCTGAGAATGATGACAACCAACAAGGAGCTCTGCAAGCCCTTATAGTAGACAATACTGTCAACAATGTACAGATGATACTTGTTCAACATCTCGACTTTCGTGAGCTCCTGCCGCGCACCTACCTCACGTGCATGTGAAAGAGGTATGTGTCTGCGTTCTTATATCTGCATCGCTATACACAAGCTGTTTTGCTGCCTACCTTGAGGGTTGTAGCTGCACTTGTCTTTAGTCTTATTTCTCATGGGGTTGTCGTGTTTTGGGTTGAAGGTTCTCGGGGGCGTTGGCGATGAGAGAAGCTTGACAAACGAGAGTCACACGCATCGCTTGGAAAGCGGGGACTCGACGGGTTCGAGTGGAGCTGGTTAACGAACATGTGATCGTGCTTCACTGCGCATATTCTCGAGTGGATACCCCAGGGGAGGAGTTCAGCATTGGGCGTAGGACATGCCTCTCCACCCCAGCTCATCCCACACGCACAGTACAGCCGCGACTAGACTTACCGTCTCCCTTCACGGAAATCGCCATCCTAGCACTCCACAAAGCTGTCCCTCGCATCCACCTCGCCTCAACACGGACAAGGCACCATCCTCTTTCGAGTCATTCACCCACCCTCCCCGCACGTCTTACCAATCACCTACCCGGTCACCCATCCTTCAAACTCCAAAGCAATGCAAAAGAAAATAGCATAACCGCACGCTAGTACAGCTTGCCCTCAACGCAGAACAACACTACCCCGGCCATCTGATCCTAGTCCGTCACCGGCTCGTGCATTCCGCAACGTGCGCTCCACTCAAATCCTATAGTCACATCCCACGCAAGTGATGCCGACGGACGGAGTAGGCGAGTGCTCATCCTTGTGTACAACACGCAGAGGATCATATTGGAATGTGGGGCTTTGGGAGGATTCATGAGTGCGGATTGGGCTGATCTAGGGACTGGTCTTGGAGATGTACGATGGAATGCTGATCGGGCTGGATCGAGATGATCGAAGATGATCGGTCGGAGGAGGGTTCTGGCGTGTGAGATCTAGATGGCGAGTGCTGTTGCGGATGGGTTTTCTGATAGGTGTGGTTGGATGTGTGATGTGTTCGGTTGCAGCGGCTGACAATTTTGACTTCACAGTATCTGAGTTACGGCCGTGACTGGTGTGTGTCTATGATCTTCTTGGGTACATTCGCACATATTTCTGGGCTTGAAGATAGACTGGTTCAGTTCAGTGCTAAGTTAGGTTGTGTGGGCGAACTGTTCCCCTTCACTGACTGCGCTCGTTGCGAGTTGGCAAGTATCTGAAACTTGAATCAATTGTTGATCTGAACATCGTTCGCCACTGGGTCTGCAAAGTGGCAACAGGCTGCTAAATTACGGAGATACAATCACAGTCCCTGACTATTATCTACTTCTCCTGATCTCACACTCGTTGATATACATGTCTTGCTAACCTAACGCTCAACATCCTATGTTCCGGACGTAAGTGCCATCTTTATCACCTCTACGTATCTCGTAGGAACAACCATGACCCCAGAACGTGTGGTGTTGTCACCATGACCAGTGAAAGTGTGTGCGAGTGGGAGCGCTGAGTTGCATCGTTCTATCCCAAGTCTTCATATTCGTAGGTGGACTGGGTTTTCGGTGATTGCAGGACAAATGTTGAGAAACACTGAGGCGTAAATGTTTGCTGGTATTCAACCCCTGAGATGTGTCAGTATGGGCTCCTCTCAGATCTTGTATGGTGCAAAACAAACTTCTTTGCACCCCTGATATCATGTCCAGTTCATCGCTTCGCCCAACTTGCTATGGATATGTCACTGCACCGTTAAACAACATCGAGAAGGCGTGGCTCCTTGAGACTCTAGCATCTACCCCTGGTCAGAAGTGCGATGTTGGTAGTACCTATTCTTTGAGGGGAGCAAGGTAGCCAAAAGGTCCAACAGACTCTGTCCGGCTCAGTTGTTGTGGTATCCCCGAGTGTAGCTCGATCATAGCTCCCTCAGTGCTCTCCATCTCGTGAGATGGAATACGTGGTGCATATGTTTTCTCCTGAGATATGAATGGCCCAGGAATGAGGCAATGGGATACTCTGACGACGATCTATGAGGAGTCACAGTTACAAGTGGGGCGACAATCACGCCACCTGGGGCTCGTCATGAAGCAGCGAAGAGATTCTGAGAAATCGGTTGCTTGACTTCAATCAATGAGTGCCTGGACCATGGCTGTTGCAGACTTCTACCGTCTCCGTATCAATCCACAAGCACAGTGCGAAGCGGAATCGAACGAGTGCCGGATAAGACGAGAGGATCCTGCAAAGCTCCTTCATCAAACCCTTCATAGGCTCCTTCATTGGCGCAAATAGATGTGGTAACCGACCTGCACACCCATCGACACTCTCCCTACGCACTCGTAAAAGATCTCACCGCAATTGTCACCACACTTCCTTCTCGATACATTGTTCGTCGCGCCTCGCTGCAGCCACGTTTGCTACGCACGTATGTCGGTCATCATCGCTGCTTTAGAAACGCCCGCATTGCTCATGCAAGGGCATAACCGCAGTGTCTGCATGCGTCACATACCATCTTGTGACTTTCAATAGATGCATGTGCATATGTCAATCGCAGATGAAACAATTGATGTATTCTAGATGTGAGCAGGACTATTTTGGGAAGTGCGGTTAGATTGTGTGCTGCATAAACACACAAGCTGAAAATGCTGCAGAATACTGAGAAACCGTGTCTGCTTAGTTGCAATTGGACATGTGGAGATGGGTATGGACGGACTTTTGCTCTGGGCGAAGTAGCAGAGTGACGAAGAAGGCGGAAAGACTGACATACCGTGTTCATGAAGATCTATTGTATGGACGGACACAGTTCCAACATCACGAGTGTTGCCTGCGGCAAGTCAAATCTCGCATATGCAGTTGCGTAGTGGACACCGCAGATAGGCGCACCACGCACTCTTTGCGGCGAGGCGGTTATCCGGCGACGTTTAACTGAGTTGCTCTTGGCTTGAGTTGGCATGTCGTATCGAGGAGTCTGAGCGGGGGACCCCAGCCAGAGGATTGTGTGTCTAGGAGGCATCACAGAAATGAGGACGACAAGCTCTCCCGCATACTTGTTCAAGGTGAGATAACAAGCAAACATGCGCAATGAGGTTACATTGCAGCTTTACCACCAAAGAGATGAGGTATTGCGGCGGTGAGAATGCGCGACGTCCTCACGCTGATCCCTCAGACACAATGACAGTCATGCTAGGGACATGAGCGCAAAGCAGATTCCAGTCAAGTTCAACAGCCCCACCTCAGGCTGGAGTGATCAGCGATTCAGCGAAGGGGTCGGGAATAAGTGGGGGACTGTACCAAGAGACACTGAAGCTGATCCACGTGCTCGCTCCACCAAACTGTCGAACGTCGCCCTCGCAAGGACAGGCTTGGGGACTTCTCCTAAGACGTAACGTTTCCGAGGCTTCGCATGCGATTCTGGTGAATAACTGACCACTGACGGTGCAGGGGTGATTGAATCAGGGCCTTGGGCCGATCTCTGTCACGAATTCATCCATGTATCATGGTCGGTTCTGACGCAGCCACTCGGAACAGCTCTTGGCTAGTATCCCCTAAGTACTACAGCCTGGTCGATCAGACGCTTGAGAGGTCTTGCTCAGAGCGTGCCGGCCAGGGTCTGACTTGACCTTTCTGGACTTAATGCGAACGTGGGTGAGTGGACTTCTAGGGTGTGTTCCTAGCCTCTCCTGAGCCTGTTGGGGGGGCTCTAGCCTATATTGAGTCTGTCGAGCTGGCTCCTAACCCATCTTGAGACCAGCCGGATGACGGGCGGAAGTCGCGCTCAATCTAGGCGGAGGAGGCGTATGCGCCTGACGCTGTTTGGTCATCTTAAGCGCCATGACCTGTCGTCTGGAAAAAATATCTCAACCAATGAAAACAATACCATTTCAGTATTTTTTGACACCCAAAGCTTGACGTGTAGAGATGTTTTATTCATCCAAGCATCGCACCGCGTGTGTCTCGCTTGCTCACGCGCGGAAATTGCTATGGACCTCCTACGCGGCAAAGCATAATAGACGCGAGATTAGTGTGGCACTCGGGTGGATCCCTCCCCACTTGGTGCAAACCTTGAACAAACGACACCCACGGACACGACCCGACCGTTATCGAACACCTTGCGTTCACCACAAAAGACGTCACCCCCGACAGGGTCTTCCCTGATCTCCTACACGCAGCTTGCGTGACCACAAATGAGCGTCTAGGGCGGCAGCCGATCGGCATGTCCCTGCTCCCACACAGTGCAGCTCGCTTGCCCTCGATGACGGCTTCCGGTAGCAATACTGACACGAGGTGGCGGGGCAGCGAGTCACATCCGCTGCCCCTCGGTCGAACACACGATCGTTGCGATTAAAACGGCATCTTCGGCACGGCAATCATGATCGGCGACACCATTCACTGGCTGATGATGAGAAGAGCAAAGAACATAGCGACAGAGTAAATTGAATATTCACCAGAGAATAGAAAATACACAATCATCATACAGTTCATACACAAATAGGCCATACCGCTTCAACGCCGTGTATCCCATAACAAAACCGAAATTATTCAAAGTGCCTCGCCTCACGCCATCCTCAAAGCTTGGACTTGGGGGGCCACTGCTTCAGCTTTTGTACGTGAAGGCGGTGCTTTAGCCTCCGAATCAGTTTCTTCTCCTTGGGCCCCAAGATCGCCTTGAGTTCAGGCAGCGTCATCTTGTCGTTCTTTCCGGCACGGCCACCCCGAGCCAAGTGCGTCCAGTAGTGGTCTCGCAGGTTGTCGCCGCGGGAGAAGGCTCGCGTGCAGTTGGGGACCTTGCAGAAGTAGTCCTTCTGGTTTCCATGCACTGTCTTGACGTGTCTGCGGAGATGCTCAGGTCGCACAAACTTCTGCTCGCATTTCCGGCCGTTGATGTCTGCGTCCTTCGAAAAGGGGCAGATATAGTGCCGCACCTCGGGCTGGTTGTAGGTGTCGACATGCACGTCCCACTTGACAACCTTGACTAGAGGCGATCTTGGTCTGGAGCTCCTCTGCTTTGAGGAGGCAGAGTCTTTGCGTCGGCCGTCGATGGCCGCGCCATCTTCATACTCTGAGACATCACTCTCCGAGTCACTCGTGTCAGTGCTTACATCTGGACTCTCTGCATCCTCAAACGTTGGTGGTAGTGGTATGTGGAAGGCTTCACTCTCGACGTAAGGCTGGCCATGCACGGGATTTGAAAACGCTGTGAGGCTGGCGTCGTTGATAGGGGGGAAATAGTTGCACATAGATGGCAGGGGCAGACCATAGCTGTCACCGCTCCAAGCTGGAGAAGGAAGCTGCTGGGTGGTCCAGACATCGCTTTCGGCATAGTAGCATTGCCAAGCTGCCTCTGTACTGCTCATCCAGGTCGGATGGCTTGTAGAGCTGTTGGGACGGTGTGGCAGCGGCTGTTCGAGCAAATGATACAGTGGAAGCGGAGTATCGGCGTATGGTGTTGATGTGGCCTCTGGAAGGCTCATGGAAGAGTGGACTGTGGAGACTGGGCTGGCGGAAGGGTGGATCTCCATCAGCCAAGGCTCGAACGAATGCTCTGGCTCTCTTGAGGCTGGCAATTCGGCGTATCCGTGGGGAATGCTGTGGAAGTTTGTGTGCTCATCGAACGATCCTTGGCAAGACTCGGGTGTTGCCGAAGTGTGAGCGTCGCAGTGGTGTGACTCATGAGACAGAGACATCTCCATCATCCCTTGGTAGGGCGGACTTGAAGTGTATGGAGCGAGTCGTCGTTGCTCCATCATGGTGAATGTGTTGTGGAGGATTATACTGAGTTCAAGATTGCTGACCTGGTTAGATGGAACGAGATCGAAGCATTGATGGTCTTACTGAGATGATATCTATCTATGAGACGCAAGTCTTGAGGATCTGGCGAAACTCTGCGGTAAGTGTGGTCAACGTGTTGGTTGGGGTTATACGAGCAGGCACCATCCGAACTAATATATGTGGACTTTCGTACCTCACGGGGCTGACCTCCGTAGCGGGGGCTCTGAAAGAATGCGTGCTGTCGATCAGTAGACGCACCACAGAACCAACAACCCGGTACCTGACTACGCCCGTATCGGTTTCGGCACGCCACTGCCTACACAGCCTTGACCATCTTAGCACAGACAATGAATGCTCAGAGCGGGACGAACATGGGTAATTGATGCTGGTTTGCGGCGTCGCGCGATCAGATGGAGACTAGAACCGCCTTTGTTCGTTGACATTAAGATAGCGTCGTTCCCGCGTAGTTCGCTACCAGGAATGTCTCTGAGGAATCGTTTCAACCTGGAATATCGCCCCATTCCTCAACGACCAAGACACGCGAAGAACTCAGAGCTCATTTCTAGTTGGCCAATACTAGAACAAGCCACTCTCCACAATTCTTCTGACAGGGTCCTTGCCTGTATGCAGCTAGCCCTCCAACGTTCTTGCACGTGGGGCGGCCATGCATGTATTCCGCTAGCCTGAGACAAACGTTGACAGGACGCGCCAAGGGTGACGTGCGATATACACATTAGCTCCAACAGGGGTACGGTGAGGTGCATGGGATTAAGATAGAAGCTTCAACTCCGCATGGCCACCACAAGATCGTCCTCCACTGCTGCAGAGGTTACGGATTTGGCATAGCGGCGTTATTTGAGGACTGCTGCCAGGATCGTTTCATCAAGAGACGAAACGGGCGGAAACGTTGCGTTGAGCAGAGCCACCAGTGTTTCTGATATCGGATGGCAGCGGTGAGGGTCCAAGGAGTGCTAGCCAGGTGGCGTGGCAGATGTCACGTCAAGGTGCTGGTCCTCCTCCAGTTGTTCTACGCACTGACCAGCGAATCTCCATGGAATGTGGACGCGCTTGGTGTGGGGGATAATTGCAGGGCTTGTCATTTCGAATCTACTCAAGAAGGACGATCTAATCGGAGGCTCTGATCTCATCAATCGGCGTGAATCGACCTGATACGAGTTCGGAACCTGTGATCCTGATCGATCGAAAAACAGGACTTTCATCTCTCGATAAGCGAGAGGAGTACTTGAAGTTCAGGATGAAATGTATACCCGACCTCTCTCGAGATCGATGTTGGTGGAACTAGCCTAAAAGAAACTTGCTGCAGATGCGATAACCATGGCCGCTGCAACATAGCTTGCAAAGGTTCCATAACCGGGGGTTAGAGCAAGCGATCAATCTGGGCGCGCCTATAGCAACAAACGCCTAGGCGCGCACGTCTGTTTGTCAAGGCAGCCTCCCCGACTGGTGGCATGCATAGGGACAAACAGCGCCAAGGGATTCGACTTTCCGCATTCCTGGTTTACAGCTCTCCAGACGCACATGGTCTGATTCCCATGCACATGATCGAATAGGACAATGCTGTGGACCGGACTTTAACGGGGATGAATCGCTTCGTATCCGTAGTCTCGAGGCACGGAGCCAACGCTATTGGCTGATCTGCATCTTAAACCCGTCACCACTGCTGCTTCGCTTCCAGGAAGCTCGTGGGGATGCTGGCGACATGGACGGTCGCTGTTTCGAGGAGCTGACTCGTTCCGCGTTGACATGCATACCAGATGCCATCTAAACGGCCCCATCTTTATTCACATAGTTGCAAGACAACACTTGATCAAAGCACAGGCCCGTTCGTTTCAGGCAGGAATTCGAATCGCGTCTTCCCCAGCTTTGATCCAAGATCGGAACTAAAATATCGTCGAATCTAATATGACTCTAGAAAAGACTCCAACTAAAGCAGCGCGGTTGTTTTGCGAGATCCAAGTGGCGACCATATCAATGTTGGTAGCGAGATGACGCGAAAATGAGGGATAAGCGCAGCCGCAAAGGCCGACATGTCTATCGCGGTTGGTATCGCGTAGTAGTTGAGGCGTGTTAGCGCGCGGACTTTGCAATCTGCCAAGACTGGTATCAGTTTCGCTTGAAATTTGCCCAGCACTCGCGGTAGTTCCCGCGCCGCGGAGTCTCTTAGACACTCGGGGTCTCCGCAATACTCGCCCCACGGAGATCGCCAAGGAGTGCTTGAGCCTCGTTTAGAGAGTTGGTCGCGTGGGCACAAATGCTTACGTCTTTGAAGAGGAGAGAAGTGGAGCCGCTCGTGACGAAGGTTTGATCATTACTTGTAAGGTGGCCTGAAACTAGTTTCGCTCAAGCTGGACACAGCAAACAGATCATGGACTGATAGGGGTATGAGTGGCAAGATACCTCGACATGGCACACCAAATAGTCGCGATGCTACTATTTAGTTTGATAACAACACAGTGCAGAATCTCTAACAGAGCACCAGAAAAGCGATAATTCAGCAATTGAAACAAATAATCAAACAACAGCTCAATTTTAACGACGAACAAAATGGCCGAAGCAATCCATAACAACCACCACAGACACAACACCACAGCCAACAACAACCCACCCCCTCATCAACCATTCAAAGCAAGTCCAAAAAGACGCCACGAAAAGCCTCAAAGTGTCAGTCAAAAGCCTCCAAGTGTCATTCAAAAGCCTCAAAGCATCAACAAAAAGTCGCCGTGCCGATGAAAAGTCTCCGACGTCGATCAAAAAGTCTCCGGTTGTCGATGACAAGTCTAGTCTTCTCCTCTCCGCGCTTCGCTTCGCTTCTATTTCAAAGCAATCTGAACGGTGTGATACTTTCTGATTTCACCACCCCGGCATCTCCAGCCGTTCCCTTTTTTGCTCTGCGGTGAGCGCCTCGGTAGGTATTTTGTCGAAGTGTGGGTGGGTGGGTGAGTAAGTGTAGATAAGAGCGGGATGTGGTGTGTAATTTTACCGATATTTACCATGTACAAACAGGCTGGGGGTTTGGTTCCTATTCTGAGTTACGATACTGAGTTTTAACCATGTTGCCTCCACGAACTTCCATGTCAAGCATGGATTTGCTGAAATCTAAAATAATGATAAATAAGGGATATCAGTTCACGGCCATAGGAAAACTCTATAATTTTGGGTTTATAGCGTATTCATGTTTGTTGCACAAGCAGATAGACGCAACGCAGTGAATATCTGGTATAGTAGCTCAGTGTAGAAGCTGATATCCAGCCCCTTTATGCACAGTAAATATCAGTGTGATGAAAACTCTATAACAGAGCACAGCAGTGCACTACACACATCCCAAGCAAGCCCTTGCTACCTCAACCAACTTATTCCTCGCCCCTCACCCCCTGATCTAATACATCTCCCCAGCTCACACAACCGCGCATCTCCCACGAAGTAGCCATCACTGCAGACCTCCCAACGCAAAAAGCACATCCAGCCCATCTATCGTTGTGCTCGCCTTGACAACGTCGTACCACCTCACACATACGCATACGCATACATAGATCAAATTCCACACCATCCCACACCGTCCCCTCTCAAGCTCTACATACACATATACACACACATCCCGCCGAGCAAGCCGGCAGTTATCTCGCTATACAAGCTCTCGGAAGGGTGGGTGCTAGATAGTATGGTGGCTGGGTGTAGGTGGGTGGTGTAGGAGTTGGGAGATTTGAATGGTGGAGTTGTGCGGTGGATGGGGATGTCAGACCGATGGGATTGAATGCGTTGATTGTGCTGCATGCCATGATGTAGTTCTGTTGCGGTATTACTTCGTCGTGCGGTGGAGAGGTAGAGACTGACATGCTGTTCGTGTTAATGTCGAGGTGAGTTTCGTGTAAAGTACGCCATTATGCGAGAAACGATGCTTAAATTTGTTAATGGACTATGACGGATAGACTGGTATCACTTCACTACCAAGCCCACCAACCCCCTACTTCCCCCAACCACCCTCCCCAAACCCTCCTACTCCTTCGGCAGCGCATTCCCCCCCGCCCCATAAACCCCACGAAACACCATCCCAAACGCCACATGCGCAAACAGCGTACCCACCAACGCCCCAACCACAACATCAACAGGATGATGCCACCGATCCCTGACCTTACTCCCCGCAATAACCACAGCAACACACCACGGCAGCGAAAACAGCACCAACTTCCAATGGCGGCCGCGTGCCCCGTGGCCGAAACACTGGAACTTCGCGTTGAGGTACAGGGCCAGGAAGCCGAAGCCGGCGAAGGCCGCGCACGCGTGGCCGCTGGGGAACGACATCTGGGCTTCGGTGACGCGGGAGGCGGGGCCGGTGCAGATGGTGGGCGTGTAGTAGATATTTGTGTTTGTGCGAGGGCCGAGGGAGGAGAGGCCCGGTGTGACGGGGGGAATGGGCGGGGCGCAGACGGCGAGGAAATGGGGGCGCAGGCCGCCGATGAAGACCTTGATGAGGGACTGGAAGAGTGTAGCCGTTGCAAGGGCATAGCCCAGGCCCATGATCTAACGCAGTCAGTTACAACATCCCCCCTGCTGTCTCATAACGCGCGACCATACCGCTGCGTTGCCCTCCTAGAAACTGCGCACGTGCCATAGCCCAATCGTGCCCATGATTGCAGCTGGTACGGCGAAACTCACTACCGCGCTCACCGTCGTTGTGATGTACTCGCTCAGGTAGGGGTGGCCGTGCTGGAGGCCCCAGGGGCTGCGCTCGATGCCGGTGTAGAGCGGGAAGTAGCGCGGCATGACGGGCGGGACGAAGGTGTAGATGAGGAACGCGGCGAGCAGGCAGAGCAGCTGGGTCAGCACGTCGAGCCAGCAGAGGCGCAGCCACAGCATGAAGGGTGGGCGGTCGTCGAAGCCGGGGAGGAGGCGGCGGCGGAAAGAGCGTTTCTCGCGAAGGGGTTCACGGGCAAATTCAGGGTCGGTGGTGACGGTCATGTTTGCTGACGATGTTGGTTAATAGTGGTGATGTGATGTGATGTGATGTTGATGTAGATGTATGATGAATGTTTGGAGAAATGGATACGCAGGCAAGTATAGACATGGCAGGACAGCACCTTCCTCAACACACTCCTTCAAATCAGACGCGTGGTTACAGGGGAAGGCACTAACAAGCGCTCAAAATATCCTTACAGATTGCATACACATATTCTACATACCTATATACATCACTTTGTCCGCTCGCTGTGGACTTCGGGATCCTCCTCCTTGGTCGTTGTCTCATAGCGCTTCCCGCGGAAGGCATACACGCCCCAGTTACTGCACGTCACGTCGTGCGGGTCGAGATCGTTCAGATCCCACCTCAGACTGCGGAAGATGTTCTCGCCCGGCTCGAGCAGCATGTCCATCTCGTTGCCAAAGCGTTTCTGCAGGTGGTCAATGTCCTGCTGCATGTCCCACGGCGAGTAACCAGTTGCGATGATAGGGACCTTTGTCTCGAGCAGCAGCGGCAGCGTCTCCTCCCACTCGTGCATGGAGGCGGGGTTCCCGAAGCCGGGGTGGAAGACGACGAAGCAGTCAAAGTAGGGATCGTAGGGGTAGAAGTGGCCCGTCTTGTGGATGGTGTGGTAGTAGTCGACAAAGGTGCTGATCTTCATGGCGTTGGAGATGCGGTCCTCGACGACGGCGCCAAAGGGGTTGAGAGGCGTGCGCTCGGGCAGGGGCAGCTCCTTTTCACGGTTGGCCATGCTCTCGGGGCCGATGAAGTGGAGGGAGAACTGCACGCGGTGGAAGAGGTAGGCCAGCTGCATCCACGTCTCGCGCGGTAGAGACGACTCGGCCCGCGCGCCCAGGATGAACAGGCGCATCGACGGGGGCGCGAGGCGGGCGTTCTTCCAGGTGCCGTCGCCGCCCGTCCTTGGGGGGTGCAGCGTGTGGCGGAGGGCTGGGGGTGTCAGTGTTGTATATGAGTTGAAAAGGAGCGGGTTACTCACCACTAAAGCTCTTCAGCCCCTCGGGCGTCATGCGGCCGCCCTTGCGGATGTTGTAGGGGCTCAGCTCGTTGATGACGCTCGCAATAGTCATGGGATACGTCAGCAGCTTGGTGGCCTGGCGCATCTCGCGGTCCTGGTTGAGGGCGTCGTAGTCGCGCGTGTACAGGTACGTGTCCCAGCTGGTCATGTTGACGAGGATCTCCTCCATCTGGCCCTCTGCGAACTGGAACTCCTTGAAGAAGCGGCCGCTGCGCAGGTCGTGATCATCTTCGTTGGACTGGCGCAGCACGTCGCACACCTCGAGGTGGGCCTCGTAGTCGTCGGCCCAGTGCTCCTCGCAGCAGTAGACGGGGATGCCGCAGTCCGGGCACTCGAAGTCGACGTGTGCCGGCGTTGTCCCCGTCGCCGCCGACTTGCGCGCCTCGAGGTCCATGGCATTGTGCGGCGCCCGCGTCGGCTGGTGGTCGGGGTGCGGGCAGTAGGCGTGCTGGCGCATAAAGGCCGCGCGCTTGCGGATCTGCGGGATGGGCGAGTTCGTGAACGAGTTGAACAGGTTCTTCTCCGTCAGCACCCGCGTGCGCTGGATACCCTCGGGATCGACGTAGGTGTACGGCTCGAAGGGCTTGTCGATTGCCCGCCGCGCCGTCGTTGACAGGCTGCGTGTGATGGACGTCTTGGTCGGCTGGTTTTTGGTGGAGTGATATCTAGTCGATTGGCTTCGCGGGGCGCCATGTTGGACGAGTGGCCGGAGGGGCAGCTGCGGGCGCGTCCTCTTCACCAGCGAGAGGCATCGGCTGCATGTGTATGAGGGCCGCATCTTGTGCAATTGCCCGTGGGAGTCGTGGGGTGTCGTGCAGGTGTTGGACGTAGTCGGAAGATCCTCGGCCAATCAATGACGTCCAGCATATTTTCCTCCTCACACATCTACTAACACCACAACTCAATTAATTCAAATAGTTTGATATTCTAGAATACTTTTTGGTGTCTCGACAATTAAACACGGCTGAATAATGATAATGCGACGAAATACGCATATAGATTGGATGTGAATAGAGCTCAATTCCACCCAAAGCACGAGCACAGGGTAAATTGGCATATAGGACTCGGCGTTTCCAATAGTAAAAGCATATATCATCTTCAGAGAGAGAACATATACAAGGATCAAATTCATAGCATCTACGTTCCTTTGCACCTGTAATTCTCAGAGGTCAATGTCTCGAAAAGTACGAGTTACATCAACATCCTAATACCTATTCCAAACTTCAAATCAACTTCTAACACAATGAAGCCTCCAAGTTATTCTTGCCGTTCGTATTTATACTTTCCACATTGCCATCCGCCTATTTCCAGTACATCCCCAACAACTGGTGTACTGAATCAAGCTCACGTTAAGAGTACATCGCCTATATAGTATGGTGAAAGCATGGAACCATCATAATCGTCCAACCAGACATTAGATTAATACGCCATGTATCTGCGATTCGCTGACTCCGCAGTATCGCCGTTTTCCTTTTGTGACCAAAGCCGTCTACTGGCTACTCGCAATCTATATCGATTTCGCGCAAATGCGACCTCCTTTTCCGCACACCCATGCTTCCCCTCCCTTCCTCCCATCTCATTCCTCCCTCAACCTCGCATCCTCAATCGCACTATCCCAATCATAAAACTTAATATAAACCCCCTCCGTAACACTAATAAAGCTACTCCCAACCGCACACCCCGCCCAAAGCCCCACGAGTTTCAAATCCAGCGGGAAGCACAAAAAGAGCGCCAGCGGCACAGCAATAACATAGTAGACGACCAAATTGCACCAGCCGCCGATAGCCTGCCTGCCGAGGCCGCGCAGCACAGCGTTTGCGAGCGCGGTTGTCGAGTCGCAGAATTGGAAGACGGCGAGGAGGGGGAGCACTTTGGATACGATGGATATGACTTCTGGGTCGGTGCTGGGTGGGTTAGCTCGGGGTATGTGGTGTGGGGATATGGGGGGACGTACCTGAAGGCTCTGGGGAGGACGTTGCGCAGAGCTGTTAGGAGGGTGAAGTCGATGAGGCCGATTGCGAGGAAGGTTAGGATATATGTGCGCGTTGCTGTGCGAGCTGCGGTGAGAGACCCGGCGCCGATGAGGTTTCCAAGGCGTGTGCTGACGGCTACGCCGACGGAGAAGGGGACGTGGTATATGGCTACGCCTAGTGTCATTACGACGCTCTGTGCTGCCAGATGGACGGTGCTGATATAGCTCGTCGAGAAGGTTAGGATGTCAAAGGCTAGCCACTCCGTCTCGCACATGATGATTCCGGGGACTGCTAGTTGGACCATAGGCCCCCAGTTCGTGAAGACCGCGCGCGAGAACCCGCCCCAGCATTCAAGCGAGCTCGGGTTGACAAAGTACACGTAAACCCACAGAAGGAAGGGTAGGAGGTTGTTGGAAATGACTGTTGCCAGCGCCGCGCCTTCGAGATCCCACTGCAGGACGAAAACGAACAGATAGTTCAGCAGGATATTGATGGGCATAGCGATAATGAGAACGAACAGCGATGCGTTGAACAGGCCCTGCGCCTGGGTGAAGCGTTTTCCAGCTTCAAAAATGGCGTATCCCGGTGCGCCGGCAAGGAGTAGAGACAAGTACCGCCCAGCGATATGTGCCAGCTCTTTCTCCGGGACAAGGGCAGCCAGTATCCAGCCCGAACTCAGCCAAAGGCATCCAATCGGTATGGTGACCAGCAAGACAAAAAGAATCATGCGCTGTAAATGCAGTCCTACGAGTTCTCGTTTCCCAGACCCATAGGCCTGCGCGCAGAGAGTATCCAAGCTGGTAGCCAGGCCCTCGTACACAGCCAATCCCGTGATATTCGCTGTCATCGTCGCCAGACTGACGGCAGCGAGCTCATCCGTCCCAATATGTCCAACAACAAAGACCGTCACCAGACTGAAGGAGTATTGCATCAAATACGTGAGCAGAAGCGGAACGCTGTACTTGAAAAGCAACCTCGCTTCCTGCCCCGCCGTCGTGCCTATCTCTTCCACCGTCCCATCTTGACCCAGCAGGCCTTCCAATTGCGCTGGGTCTGCAATTGTGCCGTATTGTTGTTGTTTCGTGGCATTGTCGCGGGCCATCAGTAAGCGCGATCGCTCCTCACCGCTAGTAGAGAAACGACGGAGGTCAGGCGCGTCCATTGTGTAATGCAGACCGCCGGCGTTGAAGGGAAACGGAACGAAAGCCAAAGCTAAGGAAGAGATGTCATAGTCGACCACCTTTTCGAACCCGCGGTCTGACTGTGATGGACGTTCCTGTAGTGGGGCAGTCGTGTTGCCCAATGGAGCCATGTCTCGCGACTGTCGGGATGCTAGACGGAAACGAGCGTGGGGCCGCAAGACTAGCGAGACTATCTCTCCACCAACTGCGGGAGGTGGGAAGTGTTGCCCGGAAGTGGGAGCAGACGCGGAACGTAGGATCGAAGGAATGCGAGTGAGGTGGTCTTTCGACTTTTGGGTTAAAAACACTCATGCCTGCCATTATCGATGCTCATCGCAAATTACCGAACGCGTCGTAATCGACCAGACTAAGAAAGGGCGAGCGACAAGCAACATGGTACGATCGTGTAGAGCATTGTTTAGGCCGGTAGTGAGCCGATTGGATGTGGGGTTCGTGAATGTCTTGCGCATTTCCTTGGTGAGCAGACCGCTACTGTTGACAATGTTAGGATACACGATCAGCGCCGTCTATCTATTTCCTCAACCTGTCTACATATGCCTTGCAGTTCTGTAGGCATGTATCATCTAGTTCGACCTCTATCCACATCATCGCATGTCGCACGTCTACCCATTCTACCCTCTACAGTTTCTCGCGCGCACTTCAAAAGTCAGAAACGACGCCAAACACAAGCAACAGAGTGAGACATGCTACTCGAGCTGTCCATCAACCTTCGGCAGCGCCAACTTCGCAACCTCAGGATCCTTCGTAACCTGCGCATAATCCGGCCGCGGCAATTCGAAAGCCTCCGTTGAACGAGCGTACGTGATACCACCGAGTCGAGAAATGGGTTTCATGACCTATCTCTATCAGCATTCGTCGAGGAAGAAAACTCCACGCATAAGCACTTACAGCAGGATCAATCAACACCCCCGCCTCATCAATCGCATCCTCTCTCACCCAGAAGTTGACGCCTTCCACAAACACTGTAACCCCCGTCTTCTTGTCCGGCGTCTCGGGGTTCCGGCTCGTCCACTCATGCGTACTGGTCAGCTTCGCCTCGATGCTGAACACCGCTTCTTGCACGCGATCCGGCTTCACCATACTGCTCTTCGCAGGCTTCAGTCCGCTGAACGCCCACTCGCTCACACCATCCGGCGCATCGATGGACGTGTAGTTTGCAGCCTCGATGTACTCCTCCGTGATGATATTGATCACGCACTCCTTCGTAGCTATGAGGTTTGCCAGTGTATCCTTCGCCTTGTCCAGGCCGCCCGCGAAGCCAATTACGAACATCGGGGGGTCATGGGCTACCAGGTTGAAGTAGCTGAAGGGCGCAAGGTTGGTCGACTTGCCATCTGCGCTGATTGTTGATGCGAAGGCAACAGGTCGAGGCACAATGCCGGAAATAAGCAGCTTGTAGTTGTTCACCGCGGGGCGGCCGGGCGCATACGGGTCGATTTGTCTATGGCCTTTCGAGGAAGACGTGTTGGCGCCCGAGCCAGGTTTCCAGTTCGGGGAGGGAGTTTGCGTAAAGTGCCATGATGAGCCTTGATCGAAGGGGGGACGGGAGGCTTCAACGCTTTTGAAGTCCGGGTGAGGATTGCGCTTGATAGCTTTCTCTGCGTCGGTGCGGTCGGAAGCCATTATTGTAGCGGGTTTGCTGGAGCAGGATAAGTTTACCGGCGGGTTGGATGGATGGGGTGGACTTTTTATATGTTTTCGTAATGGTCAGAAATTCGATCAGATATATTTTTCTTGTCCGGCAAATGACGGTTCCAATTCCGGTTCCAATTCCGGGACTTCGAAAGACGCTCCATTGACGCGGAATGACGAGCTGGTAGGTAAGCTCACGCTTACGCTTACATACGGAAAATCGGATAATAACGTCATGCAACCCCGCCATGTCGGTGGTATCTAGCAACCTGGGTACCCCGCGTTGCTATCAGTTCGGTCGAACAACATGAATAGATAATGGGCTTGATAGCCGGGAGCTATGTGAGCCTCACTGGTACATATCTCAAGTCAGCTGCTGCCATTGCTTCATTTTTGGGAAATTGTTGTACTGCAAGAATTTTGATATCCAAACATGTCTTCACCAGAATATGAAACATATGCGCTCGGTGACTTCACGCTCAAGTCTGGCGCGAAGATACCAAATGCATTCATCGCGTACAAGACGCTCGGTGACCCTTCCTCGCCAGCCATCATCTACCCGTCGTGGTACTCCGGATGTATGTAAAGCCCTTATTCTCTCCTCCTACTTCTCGAAGCTAACCTCATCACGCCAGTAATTTCCGACAACCTCTGGCTCACAGGCGCTGGCAAGACACTCGATCCTTCAAAGTACTACATCATCATCCCAGCGTTATTTGGAAACGGGCAGTCTTCGTCACCGTCGAATACGCCAGACCTGCGTCCGTTCCCTGAAATTCTTTTTTACGACAACGTACGGGCGCAGTACGAGCTAGTGACCAAACACCTTGGTATCAAACATGCACGTGCCGTGTTGGGCTGGTCCATGGGCGCAGGACAGACTTTCCAATGGGCAACGCAGTTCCCCGACTTCATGGACATTGTTGCTCCCTTCTGTGGAAGCGCGAAGACGAGTCTGCACAACCAGGTATTCCTGGAGGGCGTCAAGTCGGCGTTGTTCGCAGCAAAGGGTACCAGCTCGGCAGGTGTTGCCAAGGCGGACCTGCAAACAGCTCAGTCTGAACATACTTCTTTTACCCCGGAGATGACAAAGGCCGGTTTGAAGGCTCTTGGACGCGTATACGCGGGCTGGGGCTTCTCGCAGGCTTTCTACCGCGAGCGACTGCATGAGAAGGCGCTCGGCTTCAAAGATCTGGACGATTTTCTGGTTGGCTTTTGGGAGGCTTGGGCGTGTTCTAAGGACCCAGAGAACATGCTGGTCATGGCGCATACATGGCAAGCTGGGGACTGCTCGCAGCAGGAGCCATATAACGGCGATTTCAAGAAAGCGATGGAAGGTATCAAGGCGAAGGCTCTCGTGCTGCCTTCAAAGACGGATTTGTATTTTCCACCAGAGGATTCTGAGATTGAAGTAGAGAGCATGAAAGCTGGGGTAGGAACACTGAAGGTCTTCCCGAGTATCTGGGGGCACTGGGCTGGTGGACCAGGACAGAGTACAGAGGATGTTAAGTGGCTTGACGATAACTTGCGGGAGTTTTTTGCTAAGAACTGAGGGGCTGAGACGCGTCTTGTTCCTTCCCTAGTTCGATCGCGCCGACGACCTTGAACCGGTCGTGGAAGCCTTTGCGTTCGATGACATAGACTGTGTCGACGTGCCAGTCTAGTGCGCCTTTGTCATGTTCAATCATATACTCAAAAACACTCTTCTTGATCTCCTCGCTCAAGACTTGCACCTCTTTGTCACTCCGGGCTTGACCTACCGATAAGTGAGGCGTGAAAGGTCGCTGGTCAGAGTCGCAATCAGTAAACTCAGTCTGCAGGGCTGCGTGCAGCTGTTGAACGGACTGCGTTGAGGGACCAAGCCAGACGGTCTGGCTCCTCTTGCTGCGAGAAAAGGTGCCAGGCGGATCCGCGTTGAGAGACACGTGGAATGGTTGAATATTCTTGGTTACTTTCTCAATTCGTACACGTATCTCTTCTTTCAAGCGCGGAGGTCCTGATTCATTTCCTTGTTCAGTGGTCTGGGATGGTGACGCAAGGAAGGGATAGATCAAGTTGAGATGAGGCGGCCAGCGAGCAAAGTGCTTGTCGTGCACGCGTCGTACTGCTTCAATTGGTGGAGTAATACTCGACGGTGGAAGCAGCGCAAGGGCGCTCTTGTGCGAGAGGTGTACTGGCAGTCGACGTGCCATAGTGACAGTCTGGGGTGGTCACGTAGGGATGGCCGAACAATGCATCGGTAATTTGACGCGTCGGCCGCACGCGCATCTTGGCGTCCGTATGTCTGCCATGGCTCGTTGCGAACTTCCTCCAACAACCCCCAAGCATGTCTCGAGGTCGCGTCGTCGCCGTGTGGGAGCGCTAACTATCTTGTCTCTCCTTTCTCCCAACGCCGCCCACGACAATCCCCCGACACCCACCAGCACGTGCAACTCGACCCGACTGCGACTTCCCCAGCACCAGCTCGCCGCAGCACCTCCGAGCCAGCGAGACGCACCCGACCCCGTCGCCCAGCCGTCAGCATGGAGGGCCAGCAGAAGCGCCAGTGGGGCATCACCAGCGCCATATCCGAGGCGCAGCCCACGGAAGCAGACAACAAGCTCAACGACGAGCTGGTTGAAGCGTTGAAGCGCCAGAACGTCTTTGAGAGCACCGAGGGCAGCAACAACAGGTACATGCATCGGCGTTGGGCGGTGCATCAGGCAGCTGACTCGGTCTAGGCTTACGGTCCTCAACCACCTGCAGAAGGTCGTCGAGGAGTTCGTCCGCCGCGTGAGCAAGAAGAAGGGCCTGGCGCAGGCGACGGTGGATGCTTCGGGCGGGAAGATCTTCTGCTTTGGCAGCTATGCCCTCGGCGTCTACGGTCCCAGTGCGTATACGCGTCGTCCTGTATTGGGTTCCACCGCTGACCGTCCCATCTAGCCTCGGATATCGACACACTGCTCGTCGCGCCCAAGCATGTCTTTCTCGACGACTTCTTCGACCATTTCCCGTCCACGTTCAAGGAGATGTCGCGCGCCGAGGACATCACCGAGTTCAACCCTGTTCGCGACGCCTTCGTGCCTATTATCAAGATGGAGTACCGCGGAGTGAGCATCGACTTGATCTTTGCGTCGCTGCCAACCATGACGCACATATCGAAGGATCTGGAGACCATCGACAAGACCATGCTGCGCAACCTCGACGACACTGCCATGCGCAGTGTCAACGGCACTCGAGTCACCAAAGAGCTCCTGCAGTCGGTGCCACAGGTCAAGAGCTTCCGTCACGCGCTGCGGGCAATCAAGCTCTGGTCGAACCGTAAGTCGGCTTGTGTATTACTGCAGCTGGAGCTAACGCATAAATAGAACGCGCCATCTACGGAGCAGTATTTGGCTACCCGGGTGGAATTGCATGGGCCATCATGGTCGCCCGCATCTGCCAGCTCTATCCGTTCGCATGCGGCGCCACTATCCTCTCCAAGTTCTTCAGTTTGATGTACAAGTACCAATGGCCAAAGCCTATTCTGCTGAAGCATATCGAAGAAGGAACACTTGGCCTCCGCGTTTGGAATCCTACGGTATGGTCCGTCTCTACCCTCGCAGGTCTTTGCTGACCTCTTTAGATATATTCTGGAGACCGACAGCATCTGATGCCCATCATCACGCCTGCGTTTCCGTCCATGTGCGCCACGCACACCATCGGCTTGTCAACTAGAGCCATCATGATGCAAGAGTTCGAGCGCGCGGACAAGATTGTTTATGAGATACATTCAGGGAAGAAATCTTGGGACGCCTTGTTTGAACGACACTCTTTCTTCACAAAAGATCACAAATACTACTTAAGTGTAGTTGCAGCAAGTCGCAGCAAGGAGGCAAATTCCACTTTCTCTGGATTGGTACAATCTAAGGTTCGCCTCCTCGTCAAGGGCATCGACGAAGGACAGGCTGGCGTCGAGGTCGCGCGCCCGTACACGAAGAGTTTTGAGCGTATCCATCGATGCGCGAACGAAGATCAGGTCGACAGGGTCATACAAGGCAACCTTGACTACATGGTCAAAGACGCATCAACTCCCCTCGAGGACAACTCTACTGATCACATCATCTATACATCGACCTTCTACATTGGGCTTACATTGCCACCAGGTACGTCTCCCATTCAACCTTCTTTCTCCGATCCCTAACTTGTATTCCAGAAGGTGCAAAATCGCTCGACATCTCCTACCCAGTGTCCGACTTCAAACGCACAGTCATGACGTCGGACATGTACAACGAAGATACGATGTCTGTTAAGGTGGTCCACACTCGCAAGTAAGACTACCCGCTACTTACTCCTCTGACTGCATGTTAACCCTCCTAGCACTCAACTTCCCGACGACGTGTTCGTACCAGGCGAGACCAGACCAAAGAAGCCAACCAAGGAAAAGAAGAAGAAAGACACTAGTAAGGGCGTGAAGCGCCCATTGGCCGAGACGGGACTCGACGTGCGTGAATCACGGCTCGCTAAAACTCCAAGACGTTCTCCGGCGTCTCAGGAGTAAAATCATACTCTCATGCTGACAATTGTGCTAATACAGGACAGCGAGCACCAAGCAGCAAAGCGCCAACAGTCCGAGCATGCCACCAATGGAGCACCGACGGTGGCATAGCCTCTCTCCCAGCTAAGCTTGCGCATGTTCGAAACCACCCCTCTCCTATTCTGTTTGGGGCCATGTGGATTCTGACATGAGTTTGTGCCAGTCATATTTGCACCATCGTGCGCTTCCGAGACGACAGCGCCTCAGCAGACCGCCTCCCTGAGAATATATTGCAGGCCTCGCCCACAGCGACTATACAACACGTTGGAGACGCACCACCGACTTCGGTTTGTATCCCAAGCCATTTTGGGGGCTCTAACAACAAAACTAGAAAAAAAGTAGGAAAAAGGAATGCTTCGTCGCGCTACTAGAAAACTACAAAAAGGTTTGCACACAAACACACAGACACACACTTCAACAGAGACGCGGTTGGGGGTTTTCATCGCTCTAATCAATTGTAATGCTTCACCTAGTTTCACTCTCAAGTTCGGCGTTTTGGGGGCAGGGTGCTCGTCAGGATGCGCATTTTCCGGCGAAAAAGGGGGCGGGCGAGTCGACCCAGGTTCCAAAAGAAGGACAAGGTGTTTGGTTTCTTTTCAAATGTCAAATGAATGCAGAATGGGTGTACGGAAGGGGAATACGTGTAATTAATTGGAGAAACAAAAAGTCAGACAGTCAAATTTACCCCTGTTTGGAGCCTTGGGGCTCCGCAAAACCGATCGTTGGCTCTTGATGTTTCGATGAACTTTATCATTTCAACTAATGGTTTTGCGTAAGATTGCTTTCAGCGCGATAGGTAATACGGGTGATGAGAATATAGAAGAGGGGAAGGAATCTTACGAGCTTTGCGCATCTTTCTGTCTATCTATTAATGTTGTAATAATATATTGTGGGTACTGCTACATCCACACGCAGAGATTGAAAACTAAAGTCTTTACAAAAGATAAATCATCCTACTTTAATAACGAATATCTAGCTACTAAGAATCGTAGTCTAGATACTAAATAGATAGAGATATGTCATGATTTTGCGATTATTACTCCTGGGCTATACGACTCGAGGTTTATCTTCGTACGTTCCAACAGATCGGTTACAAGTCAGATTATTCGTCGCGCTAATTATGCATCGTTGGGTCGTCCCCAGCCCGTACAAGGTCATCCACAGCCGACGCGGCGACAAAATCGTCGTCTTGCTCATCGGGTTATAAAACCATCCTTAGGTTGATATACCTTCACATCTCCCACCAGGTCGGGCGGAGGAACGATCCCCTCAAGCCGATCCATCTCACACACGACTGGTCCGTTCTGCGGTGTCCGCACGTACGGTCCATTCGGATAGAGGGTGGCGGAGACAGCTTTAGTGGAGCCCGGGACGACGCTGGCAGCCGTCGTCCAGTTGAAGAACGTCTGACAGCCGGGGCAAAGCATGCTGTCACAACCGCCGTCCTTCTCAATAACCAGCTGACAGTTCGGACACCGCTTGCCGTCCTTCTCCTGTAGTAGTCGCAGCGTCTCCTTCTCGGGGGCAGACATCTGCGCATCAACGTTCGCGGCCGCGTACTCGGCGCACGTCTGATCCGCATGCCAGGGCACAAGGCACACAGCGCACTGACGTAGCCTGCACGCGTGGCACGACACGTGGGGGTAGCCCTGAGCGAGGGCATCCGGGAGGCCGATTTGCGCGCATGACGGCGCGATGCACGTCATGAGCTGGGGCGTGGTGTCTTGCTTCCACACGTGCATCATGGCGAGGTTGTACTTCTCTAGCACCGCCCCGCCCGGGAGATAGTGCATCACGAACTCCCAGCTCCATGGCTCGGTGCACCCGGGCTCCAGACACCCGATGCCAACTTGGCGCGCGCCCAGGGTGTCGAGGCGCGCCGACATGCTGTGGCCTATGCAGGATTTGCATACCGGGTCGTTTTTTAGCCGTGGGTGCCGGGTTAGGTGGGCGATGCAGGGGGCGGGTATGTCAAAGGCCGTCCAGTAACCGCGGTTTGGAGAGAGGTATTTGATGAAGTCGGCGGTAGGGCGTTCTTCAATGCAGATGCGGCAGGTGAAATGGGTTGGTGGGGGTGGACGGGGTTTCGGGTTTGGGTTTGGCCTGCGCTTGCGTTTGGGTGCCCAGGGGTCTTGACGGCGACGGCGGGGACGTGGTTTGGTGACTTTCGACGTGTTTGGGGACAAGGGCTGAGAGGTAGTTTGGGAGCGGAGGACTCGCGTGGTGGGTGGTGGTAGTGCTGTATTTCGCGCGCGCACTGCTTGTGTGCAGGCTGTATCTTTGGTGCGAGCCATCTTGACGGGTAGAGAGAATGCTAATGTCAAGTTGTATTGCAAAGAGAAATAACAAAGAGAGGTTTTGAGAGAAAAGTATTGGAACAGATGTTGAGCAGCTGACCAGGATCAGGCTGACGTGCAAGAGCGGACAGGGATGTAGGAGTAGAAACGATGAACAGTGACTGGATTGGAAGCCTTGTACCTATTTTCGAGCGATTGAACGATGACTCATAGGTAGCTATTGCCCTGCATCAGCTGTATATCCGGGCATGTTGAAGGCTGGAGCCTGCCATAGCGCCGCAGTTTCAGGCAGACAATCAGGCAGAAGCCGTAGGCTGTGTGTAGACTTCCCTAGACGGTCGTAGTTCAGAGTTGCAATGTCCATGATTCGAGGATAATCGCGCAATTGTGTATCAGTGTGAGAGCCATTGGACAAGCTGTGTTTGACTTGTGAGGTTAGAGGGAGATGTCGTGTTGTTCGCAAGGCAATGTAGCCCGGGAATACGTTCCCCCTCCACCGGGGCTAACAAGCGCTCGACGCGCTAAGCTCACATCCCTGCATCGATCGCCCGAACTTTTTTCTGCCAGCAGAGTTGGTCTGCAGCATCAACCTGTCGCAAGTCTGCATCAATTGACGGACGTCTTCAGCAACATGGCACCAAACCTCGACGACGATTTTGTGTTCACAATCTCCGACCACGATGATGTATCCGACGATGGCGGTTTGGCAGAGCTCGCCGCGGCCGAGAGACTTTCTGGGCAAGGGAAGAAGAGGAAATATACAGAGGATCCGGATCTGAACGTCAAGCCGAAGGAGGCTTCATCCAAGAAGGCGAAAAAGGAAAAGAAGAAAGGAAAGAAGGGCAAGAAAGGCGAGCCTGAGCCGGATGTTGAGGCTGAAGATGAGATGGAAATCGCAGACCCCGGCGAGGACGTCGAGGCGAACGACGACATTGACAGCGACTTCGAGTTTGCAGTCGGCGACATTGACACTGGATTCGTCGAGGAGTTTGACGGCTGGGGAGTTGACAATGCTGCGACTGCGCAGGAACAGAATGGCGAGAAGAGGGGCACAGCTGTGGATGTCGACGACATCATTGAGCGCCGACGAAATCAAAAGAAGGCCGCAGAAGTTGTAGACCAAGACTCGGCAGACGAGTCCGACAAAGACAACTTCGAGGGCTTTGGCGACGACGACGAGCTACTAGCCGCAGACGGATTTGGAATGGGAGCTGGAAGTGACAGTGAGGATGAAGAGGATGAGGATGAGGAGGCCTCTGGAGAAGATGGTAGCGATGCAGAAGAAGCTGGAGCCGACTCTGACAACGACTCAACCGCACCACATGTCGCGCATCCCATGGACATCGACGCAGAAACCGATGGCGAAGACGAGAGTGACAAGGAGGATGCTGCAGAGGCGAAGAAAGCAGCTGCGTTCTTTGCGCCTGAAGACAGTGTTCAGATAAAGAAGAAGAAGGGCGCAAAATCAGGTGCTGGATCATTCCAGGGCATGTCACTCTCAAGACCGATCATGAAAGGTCTTGCGTCTGTGGGCTTCACCGAACCAACACCAATTCAAGCAAAGGCTGTCCCCATCGCCATGCAAGGAAGAGATGTTGTCGGAGGAGCCGAGACCGGTTCCGGTAAAACAGCTGCTTTCTTGATTCCCATCCTCGAACGTCTCCTATATCGACCTAAGAAAGTTCCAACCACGCGAGTTGCTATCTTCATGCCGACGCGTGAGTTGGCTGTCCAATGTTTCAACGTTGCCAAGAAGCTTGCTGCATTCACAGACATCACTTTCGCGTTGATGGCCGGTGGTTTCTCTGTCCGTGAGCAGGAGGCGGTTCTCAAGACGAGGCCTGACGTAGTCATCGCCACACCTGGTCGTTTCATTGACCACATGCATAACTCGGCTTCGTTCCAGGTCGAGCATCTCGAAATTTTGGTTCTCGATGAGGCTGATCGCATGCTCGAAGAAGGTTTCGAGACGCAATTGAACGAAATTCTGACTACGATCCCAAAGTCCCGACAGACGATGCTCTTCTCCGCCACCATGACCAGCACAGTCGATAAGTTGATTCGCGTGGGTATGGACAAGCCCGTACGACTCATGGTCGATGCGAAGAAGCAAACGGTTGCAGGACTGACGCAAGAGTTTGTGCGATTGAGGCATGGAAAGGAAGACAAACGACTCGCTTACCTTATGTATATCTGTGAAAAGATCTACACAGAGAGAGTCATTATATTCTTCAGACAAAAGAAAGACGCGCACTTGATTCGAGTCGTATTCGCTCTTTGCGGACTGAAAGCAAGCGAGCTGCATGGCAACATGAGCCAAGAACAGGTATGAGCAACGGAAAGGTGCCAGTTTTCCAATTCACTAACATGGTTCTAGCGTATACAATCCGTTGAAGCGTTCCGTTCCGGCAAATCATCCTACCTCCTTGCCACTGATGTCGCGTCCCGTGGTCTTGATATCAAAAACGTCTCCACAGTCATCAACTACGAAGCGCCTCAGAGTCACGAAATCTATCTCCATCGTGTTGGTCGTACCGCCCGTGCTGGACGAGTTGGTCGAGCATGTACGCTGGCTGCAGAGCCCGATCGTAAGGTCGTCAAGCAAGCCGTCAAGGCCTCGCGAGACCAAGGCGCGAAGGTAGTCAGCCGACAGGTCCCTGCAGAGGAGACGGACAGGTGGATGAAGAAGTTACGCGACCTTGAGGATGAAATTGAGGAAGTCCTCAAGGAAGAAAAAGAGGAGCGTGCCCTTAGCATCACCGAGCGCGACCTCAAGCGTGGCGAGAATCTGATCATGCACGAAGACGAGATCAAAGCAAGACCAAGACGTGAGTGGTTCGAGTCGGAGAAGGAGAAGACTACACAGAGAGAAAAGGGCGGCGCGGCGCTAAACAAGACTGATGGCGGGGCAGCCAAAGAAAAGAAGAAGAAGTTGAGTGGTAAAGACAAGAAGAAGCTTGAGGCGGGAGATCTCCGTAAGGAGGGCAAGGGGTGGAAGAAGGGCAAGGAGGACAGAGGGTTGAGTACGGCTAAGGCGAAGGAGAAGAATGCTGAAGCGAAGAAGAAGAGCAAGAAGATTAGCAAGTACGTGCGAAAATGAGGGGGGCGAGCGTAATAGCATTTGGGTTGTAGATGGCAGCGGCTAGGTGATGTTTGTAGAGTTAAAATGTGTACATGTTTTCGAATATGCACTGCAAATACATGTCATCAACTCTAAAATGCTCTTTCTTTGCTTTTGTCCATGGACTCGGGTGGGTGACGGGCGGAATCCAACGTCTTCGCCAAGAACCCCTGTCCAGGCCGCGCAGCCGGTAGCACTGGCTGGCGATTCTCATCTCCCAATTTCCCAAAGAACATATTTTTGACGTTCTTCTCGGCTGCTTGTTTGCCACGTACACTCCTTCACCTCGTCCTCACGTTTTCACACCCTCCGAGACTGCCCCGCGACGACCTTGCACCCCTGCGCATCCTCCTGCATCGGCTCATCAACCTCCGACTTTGAACAGCTTTCTTGGCGCACGTCCGCCATCATTGGACCCGCGTCTCTTCGGTTTCTGCGCGCATTCCGGCCGGACACGCCATCGCATAAGCGGACCAAACTTGGAGCCAAGACTGTCAGATCCCAACAACGCTCACTCTACTGCCTGAAGGACCGAAGGAAGCCGGACGTCACCAATACACATACACTCACGCGACACCAGAGGCGGTGGGGTAGAAAAGTCACAACAATCCCAAACTAAGACTGGAGTTTCGGGTGGACACCTTTCTTTCTTCTTCACAATGGTCGCGGCACTAGACACAGCCAACAGCAACGGCACTGCTGCCAGGCCCCAACTACAGGAGGAGGAAGAGGAGAATATCTTCCTTTTCATCCCCAACATTATTGGTAAATTCCTCGCGCTCACCCTGTGAAGATCACGCTGACAAAAGCCCAGGATACTCGCGCATCGTCCTCGCGCTCGCCTCGCTCTACTACATGCCCCTCCACCCCCGCACATGCTCGCTCCTCTACAGCGTATCCTGTCTCCTCGATGCCCTCGATGGCTACGCAGCCCGGCGTTTCGAACAAAGCACAAAGTTCGGCGCGGTGCTGGACATGGTCACAGACAGGTGCACAACGTCGTGTCTCCTCGTCTTCTTGGCGCAAGCTTTCCCGCGGTGGAGCATCGTGTTCCAGGGTCTAATCTCACTTGATCTGGCGAGCCACTACATCCACATGTTCGCAACGCTGAGCATGGGCGGCGTTGGGCAGAGCCATAAGAACGTCGATCAGAGCCGGAGCTGGATCTTGAAGATGTACTACTCAAACAACGTACGCCTGCCTTCCATACACATTTCCTCACACACATCTGCTAGTCCTGCTGTGTAGAGATCTGGTCGAATCGTGCTGACTCTCCCACAGAAAGTTCTCTTCACCTTCTGCGCCATGAACGAGATCTTCTTCATCGCGCTTTACCTGCTATCCTTCTCATCGCCGCTCCTCTCCCCCACCCTCTTCTCCGCCAGCAACGAGCCCTCTACTCTCCTCCCCGGCACACCCGCAGCTCCCAAAGCCTCCATGTTCTTCGCCAGCCCGTGGTCGGCGGGTGCTATGGAGATGGCCCGCGCGAACAAGATGGACTCGACCGTGCCATGGGTTCTAGCTATCGTCTCGTTCCCCGTCATGTTCGGCAAGCAGCTGATCAACGTCGTGCAGCTTGTGAAGGCGAGCAGGTGGCTTGCCGAGGGAGATCGCGAGATGAGGAGGAAGGCGGGATTGCCAAGAAACAATGGAAAGAAGAGTCTATGAAGGTGAGGCCCCTAGTGACAGGACGGGACAGGCATAATGGGATTAATTCTTCACTTTTTTACTGCGGCTAGTGACTGGACATGGCGTTGCGTTGCGTTGCGTTGCGTTGCGTGGTGGATTGACGATGGGACATCTGCACTTGCAGATATATCGAGGGGTAGCACTTTATGGGAACGAGCGGTACTGGGAAAGAGAGGCGCGTGAGCTACTTCCAATCTCTTCCTTGCCGTTCTCATACTCGTTTTGTAGTTTTTGGCGACCTTTTTGCTGCGCTCTTCTTCATTCGTTTGTTCGTTCGTACTCCCTTCCTCCATTTGGTTGCGGATCTTTTTTTTTTCTCTCATAGAAGGCATTGGCTCGGGTCCAGAAAGCTATGGCGTTTGAGCATAATTTATCATGTAATAATCTTTCGAGTGTGTGTTTTTGGTTGTATGCGCTTTGACTGCTACTTTTATACTGCTACATATGCCCAAATAATTGTGTAGTTCACTTTAACAGGCACTGTGATGTACCCTAGTGTTGAAATTTTGGCAGTATGGGTTACTGTCCTCCTGAACGATAATCGAAGCTATCAAGGCTGGTAACAATACCATCGGTTGTTTATCAGTTGAACCTATATTCGTGTAGAACAGTCGCATTTTCATTGTATGTCGATCCAGTCTATGTTGTAAAAAGCCTCACCAATCAACTCCTCCCCTCTTCGGAGATTTAAATAGCAACAAGCCACTCCACAGCCCTATCCCATCCACCACTACTCGCGAAACAACCACATGTAACAACCACCATCCCCAAACGAAACACCCCACCAGCACAAAAAGTTTCAAACACCACGGCGCATCTATACTTAGCCACCCCAGAAACGAAACACCACCAACGACTCATTCCCGCGAAGTAAACTTTCCGCACCCACAATGTAACACAACGCCAAACATGCGTCAAACAACCACGACCACAACCACAACTTTTGCATACAGCGCAACAAAAATATCCCGCAGTGCGTGCTTACCCTACTCCCCAGTAAAAAAAACCTCGGCACGATCCCAAAGCGAAACCATCCCGCCCGACAACACGGATCACGCGACCAAACGGGCCATACCAATACTCCGTCGTTACTCGAAGGAGGCGGCGTCCAGGAACCGGTCAGCTGTATTGGGGGTCGGGCAGGGGTGTGTGTGGTTTAGAGATGGGGGGCCTGAATTTGTGGGCTAGGCTGCAGTGGGGAATACGAGGTGGTTTGGTGCTTGGGTAATTAATTTTTCTTGTGTTTGGAGGATGGGCGAAGGGATGGGATGGGTTGGGTTGGGGGTATTTAAGGTTTGGGGTGGGAGGGTGTGTTTCGACGGGACGCGACTCGACTTGACTTGACTGCTGAGTTGAAACAGAGACTTGGATTGAGAGTTGAGGAAGATATATAAATCAATTCGCCTTTTTTCATACACTTACTTCGCATCATCACACCAAAGTACACCACACCACACCACACCACCGCATCAAAATGCCATCCACCCCCCTCCTCACCCTCACCCTCGCGCTCCTCACCCCCTCCACCCTCGCAGGTTTCATAATCCTAAAACCCACATCCTCCTCCTCCCTCACCCTCAACGCCCAACAAGCAAGTTCCATCTCCGCGAAATTCGACTCCGCCATATCCTCCTACGCAGCACAAGTCACCACCCAGCCCGCCTACAACAGCGCCTGGAACGAATTATACGCATACGAGTCGACGGGCAAGAAAGATATACCCGAGGGTGTGACGGCGACGAATACGGTTGTTACGTATACTACGACGCCGGAGTGGTGAGTTTCTTTCCCTTGAGATTGTTGGGATTGTTGGGCTGATGTGTGGGGATAGGTTTGCGGCTCTGCCGACGGATGCGCAGAAGTATTTTGCGAGTATACATGCTAAGGAGGAGGATATTGAGGCGAGTGTTATTCGGGATGTGGCGGGTGGGGCTGGGAGGTTGATGGGTAGGGGGGCGTTTGTTTGTGGGGCGGTGGCGGCTGTGGTGGTGGGTGTGGTGGTTGCTTTGTAGGGGGGTTGATGGGTGGGGTGTTTGGAGTGACGATTTATGGTTAAGGATGGATACCCTGTTGTTTGTTAGCGAGAGTCTGGTAATGTTAAGGCGTACCTGGGAGGTTGAGATGCTACTCTAAATGTGTAAGGCGCAGCTTGTTGTGAGAGTAAATTATAGTTTGAGAAGATGTATTAGCCTGTCCTTGTGGTTGGAGCAATGCGTAGGCCTTGTTCATCTACGAGCCATTGCACAGCACGGCAGTACTGAACCTAATCTCGAGTATCCCACGTCATCTCACCAGCTCCGTTCGGGCTACATCGAACCCTCCGCCTCAAGCTTCTCTCGCCCATAATGTTCAATCCACAAGATCGCCTCAATATAGCCCTGGCGCTTCACCTGTGGGACATACTTCGCTAGGGACATAAGGTAGCCTATCTTACTCGTAAGACATGAGGCTGTCATGTTCCTTGGCTTCTCTCCAGTCTTCATCTCCCGCACCAGCTGCACCAATATCGCAGCTTATTTTGCGAGTAATGTTCTTCGTCGTGACAGTTGTATTCGCACTTGATGAAGCCTGACCATCCTCGGTAGGCGGAACGATATTGAAAGCAAGGTTTGGAAGTGGTCCGCAGTAGTGTTCTCATTCGTAGAGCCACGGTCGTCAGATTCTGCTTCGTCCTTTAACTCGGCCACTTCCATGAATTCCTCGGAGTCGATTCTGGTTGTGTTCTTGAGTTCTAACTCCGCCATAACGTCTCTAGTTGCATCCATATGAACGTCGGCCTCGTGACCATCAAACTGTTTGAGGCTGCTGGAAAACCTGCTTCTGATGGGGCCTTCCTGGAATGGGGTCCGATATCGTGGCTTGTGATGGCTGTTTCGACGTTGGCGGTAGAAGAGCGTGTAGAAGAATGAAGATGAGAATCCGGAGTTAGAGCGTCGTGTTATCGGCAAATGGTTGTCGTGCTAGCAAATGTGGTGAAGAAGACCACGCTAAGGCTATCACCATACCAAAGGAGAAGGAGACAACAGATACGAACTGGAAAAGTATAAGAATCGATGAGATCCAAATTCTTATTCACATTTCCATTTCTTCCCCCAATTCCAACACAACTTTTCCTCACCTAATCACACTGCCCACAATCCTCCCATCACACTCCCCTCACGCCTCATCCCAATAATAACTCCACATATCCAACCCATTAATCTCATCCGAATACTTCCTCCCCCGCGTCTCGCCCGCCGCGCCCGCACAAACAATCAGCGGCAAAAAGTGCTCCGCACCACCTCTAGGATGCATCTGCCAGGCATTAGGCCAATTTCTCCAGTCCTCAAACTTACGCGCTCTTTCTTCCACGTCGTCTGTCATCGCTGCATCGGTAACCGCATCGCTCCATTTCACGTTCTCCTGCTTGAACTGTGGCGTCGATGAGACGGGCGAGAACATAAGGCGCAGGTTATGAAACGTTGCGTATCCGGAACCAACGATGGCGATGTTCTGCGCGCGGAGAGCGTGTAGAGCGCGTCCGATGGCGTAGCTTTGAGCGGGGTTTTCCGAGGCGAGCACGCTGACTTGGATGAGGGGGATTGAGGCTTTGGGGTCGATGAGCATCACTGTAGCGTTTGTTAGTTTCTGCATCGTCGTGCGAGTTGGCGGTACGTACTGGGGATGAAAACGCCGTGGTCCCAGTCTGTGTTTGTCAGCTGTCATGTTCTTTTCTTTTCGGAATTCAACTCACCTCTCTCCCCGTCTAATGCACACTCCACGCCCTTCTCTTTCAAGGCTTTCTCTACCTCCTTCGCTATTTCTGCACTCCCTGGCGCATCGTGCTTCAGCTCGTACGATTCAGGTGGAAAGCCGTAGTAATCGTAGAGTAGCCCAGGTTTCTCCTTGTTACTTATCGTAACTTTCGCCGTCGACCAGTGCGCTGTCACCAAGACGATAGCTCGGGGTTGCTGCGGGGTGCCGAGTTTGAGTATCGCGGGCACCTTTTTCTTGAGCGAGGCGGTGATGTTGCGGTGTGAAGGTTCGCCAAGAATGGGCAGCGGGCCTCCGCCGTGAGAGATACTCAGTACGGGGGCGAGGCGGGACATGGCGGTGTTATTATTCGTACTGTTATTATTTGAGGTGGGTGTGCTGTTGTTGGAGGAGAAGAATTGCTGGATTTGGTGCAAGGGGGAGAATGTCATGTTCTCCGCTGATGCTCGTTGGAGGATTGAGAAGAGGGCAAAGTTGCGTGCTAGTCTCATGGTCCTGGGAGATGGAACATGCAAGGTATATGTATTCTCGACGTGTGAGAAGACATGGTGGCTTCTGGGACTTGCTTTGAATGGTTGGAATTGCGTGATGTGCGAGTCGTTGGTGATGTTAGTCAGGATGTTTTGTGAGCGCGGAATTGAGCCGTCGGGCGTTCGGAAGATGACATTCGGGAGTCCGACATCACACGTGCACGCAACCTCGACTAGACAATTATCTTCGCTTACTCTTGTCATTTTCCAAGCCACAGTGTATGCAGGCAATCATGTAAGTGACGTAACAGTATGTAGAAAATTTAGAAATGTTGAGAAGTGGTATATTAGCTTTGTATTAGAACCGACTCTCGAGATGTGTAGATACATATCTAAACCTCAGAAGGCCCCAAACTCCATACCCAGGGTATCATTCCGAACGCCTCACTACCCAAGGAACATCTGAGCTGGTAGATGCAACACCTCCAAGCTAGTGACGATAAGCGGTGCCAGCGAAGACAAGCAAGAAGGTAAGAATACACGTGACAAAGCGCGCATCACACCCATGCCACTCCGGAAGATGCTAGACCTCCATCTCCATCTCAGGCTCTCCCTTCGTACCTACTGCTCCGTCAGTGCTATCCATCCATTTCAAGATATTAGTTTTGAACGCATACTCACCAAGGCCGTCGCCGCCGTCAGCAGAGTTCTCACCGCCCTCAGAGTCAGACTTGATTTCAGTCTTGACCTTCTTCGCACGAGGCTTCTTCTCCTTGGCGGGAGTCTTCTCCTTGGCAGGCGTCTTCTTCGGAGTGTCGGATTTGGCTCTAGCGGATCTAAGCTCAGGGTCCTTGACGTCTTCGTCGGCTTCGCCATCAGGGGAGTCGGTAGTCTTGCGCTTCTTGCCCGCACTGGCCTTGGGAGCAGGACTAGCTTTGGCTACTCCCCCGCCAATAGTCGCACCTGTGTTGTTGAGAACTGTATTTGTTAATTAGCAAGCGTTCCAAAGGATTTGGAGCACGATGGCTCACAGATACCGAAGGACTCGTGAGTGTCGATGGCCTTCTTCTTGATCGGAGGCCACCTATAAGGCGATTAGTGTTAATTTCTAGAAAGGTTACATCTGTAAGTCTGTACTAACATCTTCTTGAGCGAGCCGGCGGTGTTGCCCGTGAGCTTGGCGAAAAGGTCATAGTCGTACTGTGTTGTGGTTAGTCTCATCTGCATGTAAAGGTGTTGAAGTGTGATGAGTGGGCGATGAAAGTCGATAGACTCCATTCGAGCATATGGTAGGTGCTAGGGATAACCATGGTTAACTGCATGTACTCACCTTATCTGGACCGATCGAGCTGATGAACGCGGCAGCGAGGAGCTTGCAATCGCGACTATCAAAGCCCTGGATCAGGTTGGCTGGGGCTGCACCGTCCGCGTCGGCAACCTTCTTGGGAGGCATGTTGACGAAATGTTGTTGGATGAGGGGCTGAGTTGTGTGCGATGTGTTTGAGAAATTATGTGTTGGAAAGAGAGGAGAGGGTCGTGGGGAACGTGAGGCACTGCTTTTATGCGTGGGGTACTGCTCTCAAGGTGAAGCTGGAAGTGGGAAACTTGCTCATGGAACACAGGAGACGCGATCAGGCAGCAATCCCAGGTGACTGGGACTTTCGAATGCGTCGATCCTCTCTGATAAGCATTGTAATCTGATTTTACCTTCTGAACGTCAAGCAGCTGCAGACCACGTTGTCTATGAGGATTCTGCGCTTGTTATGGGAAAGTCAGTAAAACAGTTTTGCTAAGTAACAATAACATCGTCCAGGTTTTGCGTTATCGGAGTGTTTGTTGTGCCTACGCACCATGCTATGTTCATAGCAGCTGTCGTGGAGGAATTTATGAGTACATCACTGCGAGACTGAACACATACCATCAACAATAGAGACTACCCATGTGGAAGCAATGGCTGTTCAAAACCGATCGGCAGCTAAAAGGCACTCAAATACACACAGCTATTTGAACTTCTTTAACTATTGAAGTGCGTTCAAGAATCAAGTGCTTTTCAGCCAGAGTTCCCCCATACCGCCAGCTCTTCGGTGCTAGGTGTGAACCAGAAAGTAAGAGAGTTCATCACGTCATGCAACAATCACTCTAATCTTATCTTTCCGATAGTTTGCTCAATGTACAATTCTGGAAATCAAGCATCCAATACCAATACTCTCTTATCGTGTAGGGCGTTATTGGGGGAAAAGCAATACTGAACTTGCTAAGATAGATGCTTGTTGAGCCCGCCGTTTCCTATGCAGAGAGTATACGGAGAGCCACATATTTAGAATATGCGTTATCGATCTAAAGGGGTTGCAAAGAAAAGGGCCGGAGTATCTACTCATAGCACAGATATGGTGGAGCTCCTCGAATAGTGGAATGGTGAAGCCGAGAGTGTATACGAATAGGAGAGCTCGCCGCCTCTGCTGACGAAACCATACACCATCTCTCAAACTAATGCTCTGTCCATGGGTCGTGCGATTGGCCAGAAGACATAGAGGGCTCGAAATAGCAGCGTCTACAGCTTGCGCGGAGAAGAGAGCTTGCTCAGTCTAACGACATGAGAATGTTACCCTACCGCGGAGCGAAGCGTCCCGTCCCGACGCAGTGGACCGCAGAGCACTAACGCTGAGGAGATGTACCGTATAAGTTTGCCCACTTCGTCGAATGCTAGCCAGGGGTCAATCGGGCCGAATTATAAGCGATCTAATGCAATAGTATACTAAGCTGTGTCTCAGCACAGACAATATTAAATTCTATTAAACTAATCTCTATTCTATACACTAAAGTTTTTCTAGTTTAGTAAACAGCTCTATTACTTACTATTTATCTATATTTACTATAACGTAAACGCCCTTTATTAAAATTAACCCTAATACTCTTTAAGCTCTAAGTTCTTAGCAGTAGAAGCTAGGCCTAGTAGCAAAACTCCTTAGTAGCTAAACGCTTAGTGTAGGAGTATATAAACTTCTGCCTCTAAAGATTTGCAATTATAACAAAGTTTCTTTACAGAAAAAGTACTAACTAATCTTATATTTCCTCTACTATTAAATTTAGAAGAAGGAAGTCTTTAAAGGTACCTAACAAAAGTATAGATACCTTACAGGCCTTAAGTAGGATAGCGCGTAGAGACCTCTAATAGCTAAAGAAGCTACCTAGCACTTTAAAATACCCCCTACTATATATAAAACTATATAGGCAAAGAGGTATAAGATAGTAAGCCTTGCTTATAGGCGTCTACAGGCGTTATTAGTAATAAGGCAGGTAAGGTAGGCTAACTTAGAGCTTAAGTTATTTAGGCAGTTTATTAAGTAGTAGAAGATAAGATAGAAAGTTTTAAGGTTTTAGTTTATATAGAGAGTAAAGATATTATTTAAAACGCTTTATAGTAATAACCTTAGAGCTAATAAGAAGGTTAGTATAACTTAACTTTACTAGTTAAAACGTATGTATAGAGAGTAAAGGCTTACCTTAAGTAGTAATTAGAGTTTAAAGTTTTAGATAGGTAGTTCTACAACTTCTACTAAAGATAGGATATATCCTAGAGATATCTTACCTACTAGTCTTAGAAACTCTCTTCTAAGTATGTTAACTTAATAAACTAGTTCTTATAATTTGTAAGAAGGAACTCTAGTAACTTATTTACTAATACGTTAATAGAGGAAAGCTCTCTACTAAGGATAGACCTAAATAGTAACTAGATAACTAGTAATAGAGGTAGTAACTAATTCTTATCTTCTAATATCTTAAATATAGATAAAGTGCTAATTCCTTTTAAGTTCTTTAATAGGTATACTTACTACCTTAAAGGCAAAAGAATAATTACTAGCTTAGTAAGTAATAGTAGCTAGTCTAAGCAGTAGGCAATATTAGTATTATATATATTTACTAATAGGAAGCCCTAATTAAAGCCTAAGCTAATCTTCTATAGGACTCTAAGTAGGCTAATTAATATAGCAGAACGTTTCTAGTAGAATTCTTAAGTAACTATTAAGGTAAACAAGTTAGTATATAATAATAAGACCTTATTCTAAAAATAGTTAGATTTAAAGCTTATACTAGTATTAGAGGAAAGAGAGAGCTTACTTATAATAGACTACACTTTCTTCTATAAAACTAATTAGGTTTTAACCTAGTGTAAGAAGCTAGCGCGTAGGATTATACTAGCGTTAATCCTACCTAGATGTATAGAAATACTCTAGCTACTAGACGTAGCTATTAATAAACCTTTTAAGGTATACCTAAGAGAAGAGATAGAACTTATCTTAGATTAAGATAAACCTACCTTAGGTTAAGTAGTAATCTTTAAACAGAGAATAGCTATTACTAAAGCTATTAGTAACGCCTAGAATTATTTCTGCTATAACTTATAAAAGATTATAGTTAACTTCTTTATATATACTAGAATAGCTATTAGCCTAAGTAAATTATAAGACAGCTTAATTAGGATAAAAGATATACTAAGTAATCTTATTAACTTTAATAGATAGGAGACTACTAAGCCTATTATTAAGCCTAAGATTAAGGATAACCTATAGGACAGCTTTTAATAGGCTCTGCTAACTAATAAGCCTTATAATAAAAGTAAATAGTTAGTAGAGCGTATAGCTATATATAACCTACCTAGCGTTAACGTTAACGTACTTAAACTTATGTATAAATTAAGGAGACTTATAGGTTATAGTTAATTAAAAAGATTAGAGCTTATCTAACAATTATGTAAGGCTAACGCAGAGGGCTTAACTGCTACTAAGGTAATTATTATAAAGGAACTTAGAGCTCTATTAGGCTTATTTACTGTACTAAAATTAGTAGAGTTTCCTAGTTAAATAGAGTAGATAACTTCCTATTAAGCGTACACAGCAGTAGAGCTTAAGCAGGAGGATAAGATTACTAAGCTACTTAAGCTAAGTAGGAGGGCGTTAAGTATACTAGCTTATTAATTAAAGTTGTAGTATTATTTAGATAATTTAATAAGTCTAAAAGTTTAAAGTTCTGTAAAGTTCCTAGCGCTGCGCTAGTAACTTAGCACTGCCTAATCTAGTAAAGTATTAGCTTTTTTAGGTACTTTTTAGTATTATAGTAAAGAATTAGGAAGGTTTAGAGTAACTACTTTATAGTATATTACTAGTCTGTAAGTTTATTAATAGACTTTACAAAAACGCGTATATAGCTAGTAAAATAGTAAAGCTTAGCGCTCTAAATTAGATATTAACAGTACTTTAAAACATTGCTGTAATTACTTAATTAACTCTATATATTTAAACGCTCTATATTTTAACGTAATAGCTTAAAATACCTAACGCATGTGCCTAACACTAAGTCTAATTATAACGTAAGCTACTTAAAAATTATAATACTAAAGTTCTATTATAACTCTTAAATTTAGATAATTTTTAAGCTTTATACATGCGTTTTTAGAGTAAATAGATAGAATTAAAGTAATACTAAGTTATGCAATTTAATAAGTAAGGTCTATTAGCGCAGATATTGTATTAGATTGTTTAAATTCGGCCTAATTGACCCCTAGCTAGCATTCGACGAAGTGGGTAAACTTATACGGTATCTTGACGCTCGATATAGAGATCGGCATCGCCGTGTAGGAATCTAGTGGTATGCAGCATCTCCGGTGAATATGTAGTACCCTGGCCGAGGTACTACGAGTGGGCAGACGCCACACGTCCGCGAGCTGCAGGTACCAGTGCGGCACGGTCGGTATCGGACTATCGAACCCTGGACGTTAGCAGGGTTGATATTGTGGCATCGAGGATTACAGGTGAGGATCCACGACGTCTCCGAGCCGAGGTACGATAGGAGAGATGCTGGAACTGGCGTTGACTACAATGCGGGTTGCACAGCAAGAGGGCAGAGAAAGAGACAGTCTGGAGGGCCAGATGCTTAGTGTTGAGATGAGATGACAGGGCTTGGCGATACGAGACAACTTGTAAAGGAGACGGTGAAGAAGTGCAACGAAGGAGGAAACCAACGTCGCAATCAGACTCAGGTCTCGACGCCCAGGATCTTGCGGTCCCCCCGCTGACGCGTATTAGGCGTACAGGAGGTCGGCCCAGATGTATGTAGGCTTAGCGAGCCGTAGGCAGGGCGGAATATGATTGGCGGAGATATGGAGACTGCGGTGTCGGCCCGACTGCAACGCTGATCGACGATGCGCTAGAGACAGGCACCGTGCAACGATTCTCCTTCACGTGCGTCAGAGTTGTCACGATATTGCTGTTCAGCTGCGCGCTTTCTTGACCGGGAGATGACCTTTACTTGGTAGTACCTGTATCTCTCCGGAATATCTTGGCTTTCTCCTGCACTTCTCCTGTGGCTTTTTCTGGGACGCAGATTTAAATTCTCCAGACGCTATTTGTTCTGGGCCATCGCTCCTTGGTCCGCCGACAACGCTGCCCCTCACCCCTCGTCCCTGCATGTTGCCTTGACAGCCGCGTCCACAGCACCGATTTCTCAGCGCACACACGCGTCACTTTTGCAAACCACCACCAAACTCGACTGCTTCGCAAGTCACCATGTCGTCGCATCCAACCCTCACCAGCTCATACCGCACACGCGCCAACCTCCCTACCACGGGACCCCTGGCTTCGTACCTGCTAAACCTGATCACAATCAAGCAAACAAATCTGTGCCTATCTGCCGACGTCGAGACATCTGCCGAACTGCTGCAACTCGCCGAGGATGTTGGCGACTCGATATGCCTGCTCAAGACGCACTGCGACATTGTCATCGACTGGACCGACAGGACAGCACAAGCCCTGAGAGAGATTGCCAGGCGGAGGCATTTCCTGATATTCGAGGACCGGAAGTTTGCTGACATTGGCGGTATGTCTCTGCTGGAGCACTCGTGAGGGGAACTTTTCAGGACAGTGTCTGACTAAGGCGCAACAGAAACTGTGCAGAAGCAGTACACATCGGGATACCACCGCATCGCACTGTGGGCCGACATCACGAACGCACATGTCATCCCTGGCCCAGCCATCGTCTCCGCCCTGGAAAAGGCTGCGGAAGCCACCATTGCGAAATACAACACAGCCGTACACACCGAGATCTCTGCCTCTCCGCGCACGCAGCTGATCAACGGGATCGACGAGGATGAGGATGACGACGAGGACGAAGACGCAAACGACACATTGGGAAACCCAACGATCGAATCGCCCATTGAAGCATACGACGAGGAGAGGCGGCTCAGCATCAAGACAATCAACCAGCGAAAACAAAGCGTTGTGAGCGTGAGCACCACCATCTCGACCCGCACAGAGAGCATATCACCCCATCCTGGGCCCAACGTGTCTAGTGAAGATGGTCTCGGTCTGGACACAACCGCTAAACTCGCACGTCTCGGCGAAGCACCATTCCTCCGCTCTCTCCTCCTCCTCGCCGAGATGAGTTCTGAAGGCCATCTTATGACACCAGAATACCAGAAAGCGACCGTGGACATTGCAAGAAACAAGCGAAGCTTTGTCATGGGCTTTATTGCGCAACGAAGCCTGAATACAGAACCAGAAGACAACTTCATCACAATGACCCCAGGTTGTCAATTACCACCTCCTGGCCAGGAAGGTAAGAAGTTGGGCGACAACCTCGGTCAGCAGTATAACACTCCTCACAAATTGATCTTGGAACAAGGCTGCGACATCATCATCGTTGGACGAGGCATCGTGCGTGCGGCAGACCGCAAAGCGGAAGCTGAGCTATACAAGGCAGCGGGATGGGCAGCTTACCAAGAGAGAATTGGAGCCACACATTGAGCTTCTCTCAACTTCGCAGGTCGTCTGGAGAACTGGACTGGTCCTTGATCGAGAGGACTCTTCCATCATCGAGGCATCGATGTGCCTTTGATTGTACACGATACGACATGGGCGTTTTGGACAGGAGAAATACATCTAAACGAAATTATTACGCGGCGTTGTAAACATAAGGCTTACTCACTGGCTTAGCAAACGGTATGGAGGATTGTATTTTGAGCTTGCATAGCAAAATCTTGGTACTTTTATTCACACCAAAGCACCATATTTTCTCCTCCCCATGATCATCGCAGATCTGCGGAGCCAATCGTGGTCCAGGCCTTCGATCCAGCTCAGCAAACGCCCGGGGAGAAAACCCGAGATTATGGGTCCGTGAAGTGGAGTGCCGAGACGTGAAACGAACGGGCACTATACCCAGCTGAGTTGTATTGTATTCCCAAGGGATGAGATAACCGAAATGAGATGACTGCGTAAGCTGTACACGAATCCGAGGGCATGGGTTGTAGATGGGGAGAGGGATCTTCCTGTTTATGTTCTACGAAGCTTTGCTCTGTCGTTCATCCCTTCATTCGTTCGTTCGTTCATCCATTCATTTATCCATCTTTTTGTGAAATACACTTCGATACACTCTTTCAACACCACGTTCATAACATCTCACAAGCTCAAAATCGCAGCCATGTACATCAAGAACCTTGCCCTCCTCACCGCCGCCCTCAGCGCAGGAGCAGCCGCAGACTTTGTCGTTATAACCACGACCCCGACCCCCACGAACCTCGCTGTCCTCGCGAACGTACGCCCCCCACACACCATCCACACACTATCTCCCCCTCTCTAACCCACCGCCTAGTTGAGCTCCTGGGTCTCCAGCATAGAATCCTACGTAACCTCCAACCTCTACTCGCTCACCGCCTCCGTCGCGCCCTCCGCCGCCTCCCATGCCGCCTCCATGCAATCCAAGTTCGTTGAGTTTGCTGCGACGGCGTCGTACAGCATCCCCGCCGCGGTCACCCAGATGAGCGGCGCGTATGAGACGTTTACTACCGTGCCAGCGTGGTACAGCGCTCTGCCTAGTGATGTTAAGAGCTACTATGATACGAACAATAAGGTCGTTGAGAGCTTGGTTTTGGAGGCTGTCAATGGAAAGACGACTGGGAGCGCGAGTGTGACGGGTGCAAGCGCGACGGCGGCGCAGACTACGGCGCAGGCTACTGGGGCGGGGAGTGTGGTGAAGGCGGTTGGGGCTGGGGTTGCGGCTATGGTTGCGGGGGTTATGGTTTTGTAGGGTGGGATTGTTGGGCGTTGAGTGGATGGCATGGTGGAGAGAGACAGGGGGTTGGAGACAGTGCGTTGATTGGATTTTGATATTTTGTTCTTTTTGTTCCTTTGCATGTTAACATGTACCAGGCAAGCAAATGTATGTACCCTTTTAATCCCATGAGGATATCTTCGTGGCGGTGGATGTGACCCACTACTTGACTTCCCTCACTGCTGTCGTGCCAACCACGATTTGCTCTCCACTTGTCTTCTTTCCCGCCAGCACTTCATGCCCGCTGGACGTCTCGGAATCACTTCCCACTTCTGCTTGATGAGCCGCAGTCTCCTTGCTCTCTTTCCAGCCAAGGAACACAAATCCGATGATGACCGCGACCCAGTAGAGGTTGTACGAGATGACCGAGCCGTACGTAGCGCTACTCTGCCAGCCGAACAACGAGTTGAAGATTCCCCAGCCCCCAGAGCCGTTATCTTGGGGTGAGCAGCACTGTCCAACAGATTAGCCCCTGATGTCTTGAAATGCGAATGGTCGACTCACGCTAAGGTGCCAAACGCTCTTCCTGATGTCGTAGCTCCCTGGTCCTGCGCCAGCTTCTACGGCTCCTTCTCCAGCGAGCTTGACCCATGCGTTCTGCTCGAGGTTCCAGACACCCTTCGAGAACAGCCCCGCAGCAACGAGGTACAGAAAGCATGTTGAGATGACGAGGAAGATCTGCAGCGATGTCTTGTTGCCGCCCTTGTAGATCAGGTAGCCGACCAGTGCGCCAGCCCCGAGTCCGCAGATGACAGCGAGAGGGAAGGACGTCGCAGGGAGTCCAAGGCCTACACCCGCGATAAATCTGGCATACCGTTAATGTCAAGCATTTCGATTGTATGGAATTGTGAGAGAGACTTACAGCACGGCTTCGATCCCTTCCCTCAACACTGTAACAAATGGCAAGATGAACATGGCGTACTTCTCCATCCATCTCTTCACTCGTCCGCCAACGGGTAATCCTGAATCTTTGTCCTCCAGCGTCTTCGCGATCTTGACCCGCCATTTGTCCTGCAATTTACTCACGCGGAGGAGCGCTGCGCCCATGACAGTGATGATGATACTGGCCAGGATGCCAAAAACACCTTCCCAGATGTATTCAGCCTTCTCAAAGACGTTTTTGCCCGCCGTGTAGAATGTGCCAATTACGGCAGCGCAGATGATTAAGCAGATGAGAGCACCGAGACCTACGCCCCACCAGATCTGTGCTACATGTTAGGTGCAGTCGAAGAAAAAGGCCGAACATTGGTACCTGGCGAACGAGTCTCTTGTGTGCGGCGGCATTCTGCTCCGGGTCCAGGGTTTGCTTGAGGAAAGCGAGGAGCACGGAAACGATTATGCTGGTCTCGAGGCACTCGCGGAAGCAGATGAAGAACACTGGTGGTGGGGTGAGTGGAAGTGTGATGTGTGGTTACGTGGGAACTTACCGGAGACGGCGAAGACGTTTGGCATCTTGACGTGTTCACCAGGACTACGCTTCAACTGGAGCAGATGAATTGATCAGATAAAAGAGTGAAGAGACGAGTAACAGGATCTAATCATGGAGAGATGGTCAGGAACGGGATCTAATCAGATGCTCCGGGCCTTGCCCAACCATCCTCTTCAGCAAACTACAGCCCGCACTTCGGACCACCTCCACGTCCTGCCTGTAAATCTGCATTTGGCCGGTGGCAAGCACCATACCATACGGGACCACTGCTCCAGCCATTCACCATCCAACGATCGCCGCAGCCAAGAACGCCAAACGAGAACAAGGTTTTTTATCACGCAGGCTAGCGCCCACTTAGCCCACTCGCCTACCCCAAACCCGCATCGACGAGGGTCCAGATTATCAGATGGCTCGATAACAGCACGAGGGTGACATGCTCCAGCGAGCGTTATTGGGCCGTTGATCAACACCGAAGGTTTCGATCGTGCACCGTCTGGCTCTAGTCTGGCTATCGCGACCGAACCCCACTTTGATGGCAGCTCTGGATCCGCGGGATACGAGCAGATGATCTGATATTTTTGCTCATCGTTCACGGCTGTGGCTTGGGGGGAAGGGCGGCATCGGGCTTATCTGATCTTTCGCGGCTCTTGCAATCCATCTTATCTTTTTCATCGGTTTTCCTCTCAGTACGACGCAAGGTGTGCTTGTTATACAGGTTGTTACGAATTGACTCAGTCGAGAAGTGTTTCCGTTGTTGGTTTGTGGAATTGGTATCTCTCTCATCGGACGTCAAGATGGCATTCTCGCTGTCAAGACTGCTCGTTCAGGCTTCGCTGCTTGCCTCAGTCGCCTACTCTGCAACTGTCACATACGATTTCGATGTAGGGTGGACGTACGCAAATCCGGATGGTATGCAAAACCGCCCGGTCATGGGCATCAACGGACAATGGCCCATACCGCCTATCGTTGCGACGAAAGGAGACCAGGTCATCGTTAACGTCAAGAACTCTCTTGGAAATGAGAGCACATCACTCCATTTCCATGGGTTGTACATGAATGGGACGACTCACATGGATGGACCCATTGCTGTCTCGCAGTGTGCAATCCTTCCGGGCAGTTCGTTCACGTACAACTTCACAGTGAGTTGACCCAGATACTCGAGACTGTGGGTACTAATAGCTACAGGTCGATCAACCAGGCACATATTGGTATCATAGCCATCAGCGTGCTCAGTATCCTGATGGACTAAGAGGCCCCTTGATCGTTCATGACCCTGAAGATCCTTACAAGGACAAATACGATGAAGAGATAGTCCTCACCTTCTCCGACTGGTACCATGACCTCATGCTCCCCCTCCTAGCAGGCTTTCTCAACATTGCCAACCCATCTGGCGCGGAGCCTGTTCCTCAAGCTGCGTTGGTCAACGACACTCAGAACTTGACTGTTAACATTGAGCCTGGAAAGACGTACTTGTTCAGGATGGTTAACATGGGCGCGTTTGCTGCGCAGTATGTGTGGTTCGAAGATCATACCATGCAAGTTGTAGAGGTGGATGGAATCTATACTGAGCCGATGGATGCGGACATGCTCTACATGACAGCCGCACAGAGATACAGCGTCTTGATCACGGCGAAGAACGATACAAGCTCCAACTTTGCTTTTGTGGCGAGTATGGATGAGGTACGTTATTGTCCATGGGATATGTCAGCTACGAGCCTGCAATACTGACGATATGTGATCAGGACCTTTTCGACGTCGTACCCGATGGTCTGAATGCAAACGCAACTGGCTGGCTTGTGTACGACGACGCAAAGGACAAACCTGCTCCAAAGGAGATCGATGCCTTTGAGCCGTTCGATGATTTCCTCCTGGTGCCGTACGACAAGGAAGAGGTTCTCGATAAAGTCGACCACTCAATTACTCTAGATCTTAAGATGGACAATTTGAATGATGGATTGAACTAGTGAGTATCACGCCCATGCTCACCGAACGATAGTTGACACATACCAGCGCCTTCTTCAACGACGTCACATACGTTCCTCCCAAGGTTCCAACGCTATACACTGTTCTCTCCACTGGACAGAATGCCACAGACGTAGCCATCTACGGCGACAACACAAACGCCTTCATCCTGAAAGAGAACGAAGTCGTCGAAATCATCGTGAACAACGACGACCCAGGAAAGTAAGCAGTCCCTCCTTCCCTCTCATCAAACATACCCTGACCTCATCCAAGACACCCCTTCCATCTCCACGGCCACGCCTTCCAAGTAGTAGTCCGCAGCGACGACGATACCGGCTTCTACGACCCCAACAACGTCACCTCCCTCCCCACAACCCCCATGCGCCGCGACACCATCCTCGTCCGCCCCAACGGCCACACCGTCCTGCGCTTCCGCTCCGACAACCCCGGCGTCTGGCTCTTCCACTGCCACATCGAGTGGCACGTCGCCTCAGGCCTGATAGCCACTATCATCGAGTCCCCACTCTCCATCCAATCGCAGCTTTCAGGCAAAATCCCCGACGATCATTGGAACGTCTGCAAAGAAGGGAACGTACCAACGCAGGGCAATGCTGCCGGGAATACGGTGGATCTGCTGGATTTGACCGGCGAGAATAGGAGTCCGGGGGAGATCCCCGACGGCTTTACCGCGAGGGGGATTGTCGCGTTGGTGTTTAGCTGCGTGGCGGCGTTTGCGGGTATGGGCGTTATCTCGTGGTATGGCTTGAAGCCTGTCAAGTCTAAGACTGGCTGAGTGAGGTGTTGGGGAAAAGTTCGATTTTGTATATTTATTGCCTCTTCTTTTTCTTAGCGATGTAGTTATGTGTCTATGACTTCTTATCACTTTTACTCGGCTATCAATGGCTGTTTACTCTTCGTTATTCCCAATCCGTCCTCCCTCACACACTCAGTGACGCCCATCTGCCCAGCCCGCCCTCCCTTCCATCGCCGAGTCCCCGGCAAACTGTCGCGGGACCCAAATACGCATTGAAACACACGATACCAGATACCCATCAACGGCCTACGACCAAACGACCAAAAATCAAAAACACGCTCATGAATGGGAAGCGTGGATACCTCATTGCCTGCAGCCTAAGCTAGCCCAGCTCGGACGCCCAAATCCATCGTCCCAGAGTTCACGATATTTTTCTCGACGACCAAGAATCTTGATTTTTTTGTCGACGTATCAGCGGCTTTGCATTGGAGGTTGTGGGGCGTCACGATGCGGAAGTGAGGCTTGGGCGTGGTGAAACGTTTTTTTGCTGCATGGGGTGAGTGCGGTAGGATTTGGGTATTGGGGTTTTATTTGTGTCATGAGTCCTGGCCTGGTGGTCTACGGTGGGGGACTGGTGTTGTTTTGATTTGTTTTGAATGCGTTGTATTCTGCAAAAGCGATGGAGGAGGACTTTTCTTTTCGTCACTTGCTCGCTCACTCGTGAGCGCAGCTAGGAGTGAGCTGTAGTGAAATCCTACAGTTGGACAAATACATATCAAGTTGCTGTGATGGTTTTACGTGATGATTACTCTTGGTATACGCCAGATCTCACTTGCTCACGGCACTTTTTCCTGTGTTTTTTCGTCCCAGATGCAATGCCTAGGCGCATACAGCGTCCCAGAGTTGCTGCTTGAAAACGACTCCCACCCCTATGGGCTCCTACGAACCTGAGCCCTGGAGATCGTTGTAACCGGGTCTCATCCAAAGGCAACATGAACGAACCATGGTTGCTCAAATATTAGTATAGGGAGATTTATATATGAACTCTTCCCCAGAATGCGAAGAAACAGTATCCATCCCATCTCACTTGCAACTACCATCCCATCCCATCCCAAATCAAACCAAAACAAACCAACCAACCCACCCCACCCCAAACCAACCAACCAAAATGGCCACCTCCCAAGAACCCGCCAAGTCCCTCCCCCCTCCAGCCTCATCCTCATCCTCATCCTCCTCCTGGGGCCCCACACCCTGGAACCAAGACAACGGCGCCTACGAGCGCCGCCGCCAAGCCGCGCGCAACCTGCCCTCCGACGTGATCGAGGGCCCGCTCCCGCGTGACTGCGTCTACGGCGTTATCGGCGGCCCGGTGCGTCGCCCCGGGGACGCTCCCGAGCCGGAGCCGCAGCCGCAGCCGAAGGAGACTTGAAGACTACGATGAGTGTGCCGACGGAGAAGTGAGTGTGGATGGATTGCCGAGGGGACTACGGGGCTGGGAAGCTGGGGGCTAGATGGGGGGTTTGTGTTGTTGTGTTCACCTGGTGTGTGTTTGGCTGCGAGGTTTTTGCTAGGTCGTGGTTGTTTTGTGCGGTGTTTTAGGGGGTTCGTCGGCACTTGCTGTTAGGAATTCTTATAGTGGACTTCGAGATACCATCGCGTAAATGTAACTAGCAATACACATATTGATTATTCCCTCATTCTTCTGGTGTATTCGCTATATTCTTTGTCATAAGTCTGTCATTATAAAAAACTGCGTTACTTTACCCTTCAGAACCAAAAGTCCAATACTTGGTAATCATATGCTTAGGCAGGACGCCCGTTGCATTCTTCATCTTGAAGATCTGGAGAGGCCCGCCCTTGTCAAGCACCGTAAGTATTGCGGCCCCCCTATCCATTCCCTGCACGATACGCTTCAAATCTGTAAGCAGAGTGACCATCTTGCGCAAGGCTTCCTGGTTGTCTGTCTCCCAGGCTTTGAATTGAAGTTGAACATGAGAACAGCTGATGGAGCCGAAAACACCATTTTCGTGTCTGCCAGTCAGTAGATAAGGCGTGCGCCCAAACCAGAGTTGCGGCAACGCGTCGTTGATGTTAACTTGTTTGCGCGTTTTTATCTCGGCTAGCTTTGCTGGATCGACGGGGTTACCTTTGACGATGACTTGCGTATTGCCCTTTTTCGTCGTGCTCGGCTGTGGCTCGTTGATTTGAAGCTGCGCCATCGTGGTGGCAATTTGGTCAAGTGATTGCTGGGCGGGATCTGTAGGATCTGGAAGATCAGGGTCTTCGTAGTACGCATCTACTTCAAACCTTACGGCACACTCGAGGCTACCAAAACGATATCGAATAACCCTATGATGGCTGCTCGAGCCGTCCAATCCCGGTTCGGGTTTGGTGAAGGCCTTTTCGAAGTTATGTCCATACCCAGAATTGCCGTTACCACGAACCATAGCTCGAGCGCTCATCTCCTTGCGGCTAATGAAGAGGGTGTTCTTGACCAAATGCAAGTCCATACGCCATGGATCTCGCCGTCGTCCGGCAGCAAAGTCGAGTAGTTTGCGCAGACTGTTACGATTGACAATGATATCGATATCATCTAGTTTTGCCTCTGGCTTCACAATTGACAGTGCTTGGAAAGCGGGCTCGAACGGAAACTGCGGGACACGGAAGGCATTCTGATCCACGAACTGGTGACCAGCATCTGGAAGTAAAGTGATCGGCAGTGGTTGATATACCCATTTAGGAGGTCCACCTGAGATCGTTGTAAGTTGAGATACTGATCTACACAGGCTTACACATCGAACACGAGGCATACCTGGAACAACGATGCTTCCGTTTTCTTGCCAATTATAGCTGCAGAGGTCCTCAAAGCCGAACTCTGAGGACACTGTGGCAGTGGCAACTACAAGCGAGTTTGACGGGATGGTTTGTATAACCTCGCCGGCGTCTCTCGTCATCCACGCCGTCTTCCAGTTTGCATTCTTTTGCTTCTTCTGCGACCTTCGTGGTGGACATAGTCAACAGGTGCATACGATACAGTGTCAGATTACAACTCACTGTACGATGGGGGTTTCAGATACTTTTGCGACATCTGCATTAGGCTTCAAGTTCTGGGAACTTTCGGGCACAATCCGAGCTACCACTGTTGTTGGAGTAGGCTCTTTTTGGATCGATATGCTTGGTGCAGCAGAAGATGGTGCATCTGCATTGGCCTTCTGACGTTGTTTCCACGAGCTTTTAGGTACGTTTGGAACACTTTTCGTCGGCTTCAGAGCCTTGGAAACTCCCAAAACGGGGTGGTTTGCTGTGGTTGAAGAAGCAACACCCTGTTGAGCGGATGCACGTGGTGTAAAAGGAGGTGTAGCTTTTACAGACTTCTGAGATTTCTGGGGCTGCGTTTCGACTTGTAGTGTTGATGCCGTGCTGGCCTTTGCTTTCTCGCGCTGCCTCCTCGACGCCCTAGGCATATTTGGGACACTTACTTTGGGCGTCGAAACTTTGGGGTCTCCTGATGCTGTCTGATTTTCCGGGTTTATCACAGCAATGCTGTTTTTACACGGTGTTAGTGGTGAGTCGTGGGATGAAGTGACTATTGTTGACTGCTGAGCTGTCTTGGGCTGTATGTTGTTTGGAGGGTTTGTTGCCGTAGTGGCCTGAGGTTTTCTGCGTTGCTTCCGCACTTTCTCAGGTTTACTTTGGACACCTGAGGTAGCCTCCATAGCCTTCGAGTCGCCATGGTGAGCCTGACTTGCTAGTGCTTTGGAACCGTTACTCTCTGGAGCAGATGCAGGTGGTGTATTGGAAGCGCGCATGGACGGTGTCAAATCCTGGGGTACCTTGACTTGCGTATCACTCAAGGGCGGATCTACAGTCCCAATCTTGGCCTTCCTGCCACGCGCCATGGCAGCTATTTGGCGTGGAAATAATCGACGGTGGGGCAAGGGATGATGATGGTCCAGGAACGCGCTGCGGAGGATCCGCGGGGAAGGCGCGGGCCCACTTTAACTTTAGCTCCAAGCTCAACGCCAAAAAAATATTCAGCCTCATGCAGTCGCAATGTCTCTCTATTATGAGGCCGCAGCGATCCTCGCGAACCCTGACAAGACCGGTGGCTCTCTGGTGTCGCGGATCTACAAGAAGAAGGATCTAAAGAGTTCGCCGGGTCAGGTCTTCGCGCTTGTCGCTGAAGCTTCGAAATGGTCGCTTGTGTTGAAGGACGTAATTGAGAAGTGCAGGCTGTTGGCTGAGGAGAGGAAGGTACGCGATCAGTGTATTAAAACAGTACGATTCACCTGAAAGTTGCTAACCTTTGTCTCTCCTCTTAGCTCACCCCAATCCTCGCGCTTCTCCTCACCCACGACCTGCTCCTGGCCAAGAACGGTGTCGCTGCACCCGCAACCCACGTCCTCAAGCTTGCCGTTACGAGACACAAAGCCCGCCTAGGTGCCGAGTTCACCAAAGCTCGCATACGCTATGGACACGCTACGTTGGCCGCGTTCAGGGAAGCCGTGAACAATGGCGAGCTCGATACTGAAGAGGACGCAACACAAAAGGCCGTTCGACATCCGCGATGGGTACGAGTCAACGCCCTCAAGACGACACTGGAGCAGCAGCTGTCGACTACTTTTGCAGGATTCAAAGAGGCGAAAACCCTCTCAGAGGTTCTCTTAGCACCAAGAGCGTCGAAGATGTACTTTAGAGATCCAAACATCCCCAATCTTCTCGCGCTCCCGTCGAAAATTGAGTTGGGCAGGTCATCTGCGTACACCAGTGGCCAGATCATCTTCCAGGATAAGGCATCCTGCTTCCCAGCATACCTGTTAGATCTGTCGCAAGATGACGGAGACGTGATCGACGGCTGTGCAGCGCCCGGAAACAAGACGACACACCTAGCGGCAATAGTCTCTAGCCAGAGTAATTCACGACAAAATCAGAGGGTCATTGCCTTCGAACGCGACAAGGTCCGGACTGGAACATTGCAGAAGATGGTTAAACTTGCATCAGCGGACAAGGTCGTCTCTGTGAAAGGTAGCAGCGACTTCATAGCTGCTAAGCCTGGATCGGATGAGTTTGCCAACGTCGGCGCCATATTACTGGATCCCAGCTGTTCAGGAACCGGCATCGTTGGGCGAGATGACGCGCTCAAGATGCACCTGCCCATTCCCCAGGCCGGTGCAGACCACGCGCAGAAGACAAGCAAGAACAAGAAGCGAAAACGGGGCGACGAAACAGACACAGCATCCGAGCCTGCTGCGGTTTTGGATTTGGATCTGGACGACTCGACACCGGAAGAAACACTCATGGATGGAAAGCTGTCCGAACGACTCACCGCTTTATCAAAATTCCAACTCCACATCCTCAATCATGCCATGCGTTTTGACGCAGCACGCAAGATCACCTACTCTACATGCTCAATCCACTTTGAAGAAAATGAAGGTGTTGTCTTCCAGGCCCTCGCGTCTACCGTTGCCAGGGAGCGCGGATGGAAAATCTTGAAGCGAGAGCGTCAGGTGGAGGGTCTGAAGAAGTGGAACGTTCGGGGAGTTTGGGAAGAGGATAAGTTGAGTTGTGTCGTAGACGAAGAGACAAAGAAAGAGGTTCTGCAATCATGCATTCGATGCGACAAGGGAACTGAGGAGGGCACAATGGGTTTCTTCGTCGCAGCACTTGTTCGAGATGATGTACCTACGTCGAACGGATCAACCGAAGTAGCAGTTAGCAAAGATGACGAGTGGAAAGGCTTCAGTGAAGATGAAGCGGTACAAGAGATGGCGAGCACAACCACGTCTGTAGAGAATGATACAAAGGAGCGAAAGAAAAAGAGGAGAAAAGAGCACAAATGATTTGGTCATAGAGGTTTGTACGTCAAGTCAAGCGACCATGGTTGTCGTGGTCGGAAAGGTGCACCTGGCCGGAATAGCATCGAGGTTGCAGGAGCAATAGATACCAGCAATTGCGCGCAACTACCTCACTACCTCTTTCAAATTCGATCTCAACGCATGGCAGTTGCGTCTACCCGTCGAGTAAAGAAGATGGCTGCGATATCCACTCTGTCACCTATGAAACCCTTTTCGGCCCCTGATACACTTTTCTCAACATTTTCATTGCCCGAATCCCCTTGACTCACCAAGGAATCTACGATGTATGCAAAGACCCCTCCAGCTAATATCGACCTGTCTCGATTCAGACTCAGACACATTGCTACGTGGATTCGCGATGACCTTGACCCGGAAGTTGCCCGCGAAGGACCTGATGTCCTGCGGCCTGACGACGTCGTGATCTTGCACGGAACCTTTGTAGCTCTTCGACACGCAACTAATATGACATCATCGGACTTGCGAGCGACAGGCATTTACAAAGCTATTATGGACATCTCAGGTGTTGCCACCCGGTGGCCTGGACGACTATGCGATGAATGCGACAAGATTATCCTGATCTGGGCAGCAAAATTCGGCCCACTCAGTAACCTACATCCATTCTTGTATGGGAGAGGTGGACGGCTCGAGGGTATCGCTAGTGTTACTGAGTATTCCAAAGAGGTAAGTTTTGATAATGACTTTGGCTTATGTTTGGTGACTAAAAGTAACCCAGGCACTTCTCAAGCGATGGCAGAAAACCTGTCCCGAAAAGATTCAACACAAGCGTTCTCACAGACTCGGCAACTTGGGCTTTCGAGCTGGAGCGTGAGTTTGTCAAGAATTCCCTACACAACTTCCAAACTCACTATTCTTCTTGTAGATGGTGGATCAACTCGCTCTTTGCGTACCATGCTGGCATCATCGGCCTCGAATCGGTCGAAGGTGGCACGACGTTTGATAAACATGGCGCCTATGCTCTTGTTCTCAAAGATACTGGCAGAGTCGAGGCTTATTCAGCGGATTCCTTTACGTACCGCGTACCGCAGAACGACAAGGGGAAATACCGCCTCACCGCTGCCACAAGGAAAAGCAGAGACCCGATCAGGGTACTCCGTAGTCACAGAAACAACAATGGATGGGGCCCAAAGGCTGGCATACGATATGAGGGCTTGTAAGAAACCAATCCATGCGTCGTGTTATATGTTAAATGCAATCAGATATGCAGTCAAAGGCTGGTCCATATGCCAGGCTAAGGAAGCCGATCTATTCGTGGGTGAGTGGAGCCGAGGAGATATCATCTTTGAGATCAGGTTCGAGCGGCAGGATCCTGTGCCTACAGATGAGGTCAACAGGCGCCCGACAGCTGTAGAAGTGGACGACTATCTGGAGTACAAGCGCCTTCGTCGAGTGTATCGCGAGAGCAAACGCAGCGGACCGACGGCGGACTCTGTCAAAATGGGTGTTCACTGGATTACCAAGGCAGCACCTCCGATTTCGCCTTCACTGCCACAACTGAGGAAGGTCACTACACCGAAAGCACTTGTCGAGAGCTCTCCCATATCAAACTTTCGCAAGACGACTTTCAAACACCCTCGCTTCAGTATTCCTGAGGAGAATCCTGCCGAGTCAGCAGATGTGATCTCTCCCATGACTACCAAAGACCTAGAGCTGAATCCTTTCACGTGGGATAGTAACAACAAGCTCGAAGTCCCGACGCAAACACAGTACACACATGACCCATCCTCGGATGATCCGTATCCATTGGCGGACGCAGACTCAACCGACAGCAGCAACCGCAGCAATACGTCTAACATCCGGGATGTCGCACCTTGGATTGACTTCGATATCGAACTATCTGCGCCATCTCTCCTCAACAGCCCTCGGATTGTGCTCGAACATATCGATTCGCGAGCTTCAGTAACATCAGTGAAAAAGGCCGATGTAAAGAGCGCTGAGCCAAGTGGAAGAGACACACCCAGTCCGGTATCCGCACTGTACAACAGAAAGAGGGGCCGTGACGCCGCAAAAGGGACGCCCCCTACTCTCACAAAGTCGGATAGTCGCAAGTCAGTTTTCGTGCGCAGTCGGAACCCCATGGCCAAGCTCTTCGACGGTGCTAATGGCGGAGTCGGGGACGGCTTCGAGGACGCCGCAGGACCAATAACACCGCCAATACCGTGTCATGAATCTTCAGACTATAGTACGCATGTCCACTCTCCCATTCCTCTCCGGCCATTCAGTCCCGACAACCCCTTTGCGGCGCAAAAACGCAATGCCATCCCCTTTGAAACCAATATCGAGCAATTCGACAGCGCGTCACCATCTCACGTCAAAAGGCTTTTCCCCTTCCCCTCGCAACGATCATCAGACGACATGATATCACCACTCTCCCTTTCCGCTTCGCAAGAGCATCCTTTTGTGGGTAGACTTGTCTCACCATCGCCTCGCTCGCTGCCGTTTAGTCTTGGTCAGTTTATCTCCCATCCCAGAGCGGCATTGCCGGTCAGCAGCCCTACATCGACATGTGTGCTCGAGCGGTTGAGGGAGTTGGATGGTGAGGACTCTGGGGCAGCGGCGAGGCTGAGGAGAATGGTGCGTGGTGAGGTTGTGTTCAAAGATTCATTTGCTAGCTTGCCTGGGATTGGTGGTGAGGGGAGCGACAGTGAGGGTGTTATGCTGGATTTTGCTGTGTAGATGGGGAGATGACTGGATAGGGGGGCTTCTGTGGGGATAATGGTATTGGTATGGTATTGCGCTGTCTGATAGTCTAGTGGACTGTGTCATTCTGTTTCCACCTTCCTTATCAATTTCACATGTAGAAACGTCTGAAACTTGTGTCTGTGTTCGCTTCACAAACGCAATGGGTATCTGGGCGATGTAACCAAATCATGTAACTTTAGGTGAAATAAGCAATATCCTTATCAACTCGCCGCAGGAGTATCATGTCAGTCGACACATGTACATATGTAATAACTTTATGATGGCTAGAATCAGGGTGATACCAGGGGTAAGGTACAAGATCGCGCGCTTCACATAGTGATCCAGCTCGTGGCGTTGTACCTGTAATTGATAATCTCATATGGTTGTGGGACGGCAATGAGCGCGGCAAAGCATGTCTGGATGCACATCACGACTCATGTCCCCGACACCGTGTGGGTTGTCTTCCCATTGATCAATAACGCCTAGCCACCGCCCTGCCCCTATGCGTGTGTCGTCTATTCTCTCCAATGCCATGGGATCCCCAAAGTGTAAACTGCTCGCCACCCCGTCTTTCAGCGGGATATTATTGCCGCTTTGATGTGGCAAATGGGGTACCTCGGGGCGTCGGACCACAGTACGATCATAAGATACAGACAAGAGATACAGACTCATGGTACATGTAGCAGAGTAGAGATAGAGGATTAGAGAGGCTCAACCCAGGAGATAAGTGATCGCCTAGTGCACATCTGTATCCATGCACACTGCCACATCTTGGTGGATTCTTCCTGTCTGCGCCTCACCGCAGAATTCAAGGGTCCAAAATCGCGTCGAGGTTTTCGTTGAATGTTTCGTGACGCGGGACTTTGTGCCGTGGTTTGTGGTCGTGACAGGGTCTGTCCTTGCTAACATCACGTAACGTAGTCTTTGGCGTTACGCGACTGTGGAGCGCTTTAGTGGAGGTCTCCATGCTGGAAAAACCATTGCGGGTGCAGTTGTGGGGCTTTGAGCGTCGTGCTGCCGTCTTGGAAGAGAGGCGGATGATGGGCTTGTATTTGCAACGGACGGAAGAGGCTCTTTAAGGTAATAGTCGATGAGACGGCACGGGAGCAATGTTATACTTCTTGGCGTTTCTTTGAACGCGTTGTAAATCGCGACTTCGTGTTCTACCTTGCAGGACGTGCTTACACAGGACGAGGGGAAGAGCAATCAGGACCTCGCGTTCTTCCCCACTTCGCGATGAAGCTTTGATACCTCTCCATTGTTTCATCTTCGTCTCTATCTCTGTCTCTATCTCTGTCCCCATCTCTATCTCTGTGATTAGGTACTCGTCGCTTTGCCTCATTCAACCGGTTCGCGCGTGCTCCCGCGATTAGACGCAGGATCTTTATGACACTTAGGGACACCAAAGCCGGGTCGTCGGGGTCGATAATCACTCAAACCCTCATACGCCAATACGCCAATCATGACCGCCTCGGCAACTCCCATTGGTTGGCTGCGATGATGTTCGCAATCTACCAACACCCGGACACCCCACGAACGCTTGGGAGCTTGACCCTCACCACCCACTTGACGCGTACAAATCGCTCATTTAAAACGCGATCCGCTCGCCTCAAACGATGCCAGGAAGCACCGTCATCATACATCGACTGGCATCAAATTTTCGCTCTTTAGTTCTGCTTCTAGAAAAGCTCGGGAACCAGGCGCGGCTGCACCAGAACAGATCTAGTGTTTCGGTGTTTTTTTCGGTGCACCAAAACCGCCCTACCCGACTCGAGCCCCAGCAGCGACACACGCCAAGCGCGGAGTGCCTGTCATTGAGAGGCGCGAGTGGATAGTTTACTGGTAAGGCTTGCAACTCCTGGTTAGTGTACCTGGACCATGCGTTGTCTGACGTGCCGCAGCAGCATTCAAAAGCGTGGGCCCGCGCTCCGGATTGTCGCAACGCCCAGCTTCGCGACTCCAAAGGACTTTTTCTCTCTCCGGCCACTCCCGTCAAGACGAGACCTCGCCCCTCATGGCTGAATACCGCTATGGCACGCAGTCCGATGCGTTTGCGGCCGAGAATGACCTGCACCACGCTCCCAGTCACGAGAAAAAGAGCAGGAAACTGAGCATAGGGAGGGATCCCTCGAGCGAAGACCCGAACGATGCCGACGACGTCCTGGCCGCCATGGGCTACAAGTCTGAGCTGGTGCGATCACGGTCAACGCTGCAGGTGGCCTTCATGTCATTCGTCTTAGCGTCCATACCGTACGGTCTAGCCACAACTCTGTACTACCCTGTAGTCTGTGGTGGGCCCACCAACATCATCTGGGGTTGGCTCGGTGTGTCCTGCATCATCGTCTGTGTTGCTGCATCCCTGGGTGAGATCACGAGCGTCTTCCCGACAAGCGGCGGTGTTTACTACCAGACGTTCATGCTGGCGCCGCCGTCTTATCGAAAAATCGCATCCTGGATCTGCGGGTGGTCTTTCGTAGTTGGCAACATAACCATCACCCTCTCGGTCAATTTCGCTACCTCGCTCTTTCTCGTGGCTTGCATCAACGTCTTCGAAAGCTCACCTGGCGTCGGCATCCTCTCCGGTGAACCCTACCAAATCTACCTGATCTTCCTTGGTATCACGCTCATTTGCAATCTTGTGTCCTCCCTTGGAAACAAATGGCTGCCATGGCTCGATGTGAGCACCCCTTCCAAAAAAAAACTCCTGGATGCGTTACTTATTGAAAACAGACTTTTGCCATCTTCTGGACTTTTGCCGGTGTCATCGCCATCATTGTGTGTGTGCTAGCCATTGCGAAAAACGGCCGCCATAGCGCCACTTACGTCTTCACCGAGTTCGATGCCTCTAACTCTGGATGGGTACCTGGATGGTCTTTCTGTGTTGGGTTACTCCACGCAGCCTATGCGACCTCGTCGACTGGAATGATCATCTCGTGAGCACGCCCTTTTTTCTGCCAAAGCGACACAAGCAATTCTTGCCCAAGCAATCTTCCCAAGCAAAAGAATTTCCAAGCGGCAAAACTTTCATATTCCCACGCGACTCGTACTCCCTTGCGACATGTGCTGTGTTCAGGCGCGGTAATGGCTTTTCAATGATTGCGCATATGCTAACTCGTATGTAGGATGTGTGAAGAGGTTGAACACCCTGCGACACAGGTTCCCAAGGCCATGGTCGCCACAGTTGTGCTCAACACTATCTGCGGCCTTGTGTTCCTCATTCCTCTTGTCTTCGTCTTGCCCGACCAAGCGATGCTCGCGGGTCTTCTCTCAGGCCAACCGACCCCAGTCATCATCAGGGATGCCGTCGGTTCCCCGGGTGCAGCGATCGGTCTGCTCGCCCCGCTCCTCGTTCTCGGATTCTTCTGCGGTATTGGATGCACGACTGCTGCGTCCCGAGCCACTTGGGCGTTTGCTCGCGATGGTGCTATCCCAGGGTACAAGCTGTGGAAGGTCATCAACACGAAGCTCGATGTTCCTCTGAATGCCATGATGCTCAGCATGGTCGTCCAGCTTCTGCTTGGTCTCCTCTACTTCGGAGCCGCCGCTGCTTTCAACGCTTTCTCCGGTGTCGGCGTCATTTGCCTGACTGTGAGCTACGCTATTCCAATCATTGTTTCCTTGATTGGCGGACGCAAGCAGGTCAAGACGGGTAGCTTCCATCTCGGAGCTCTGGGAACCTTCTGCAACGTCATTGCCATTGGTAAGTAGTCCTCCACCTGAGTACAGAAACATCCAGCTAATCCGTGTGACAGCCTGGTCTCTCCTCGCCACACCCCTTTTCTCCATGCCGACTTATCTTCCTGTCACTCCTACGTCAATGAACTACGCCTCTGTGGTTTTCGCAGCTTTCTTCCTCATCGCCACCGTGTGGTACTTCGTCTGGGGCAAGAAGAACTACGAGGGTCCTCCCACGCATGAGGATGCCGTTCTGGTAGCCAGGAGAGCCAGCACGATCAGTGCTCGAAGCAAATAAGCAACATATCCGCGTTTTGTATATGCAGGTTAGGAACGGGCTTCGCGGACCTTGACAGCGTCACCTGACGCTGTCTTTGGAGAAGCGAACAACGGTTCTTCCCATCTCTATTCTGTCTCGAGCGTTGTACAAATTAGATTCATTTTGTGTGTCGTAGACGTTTTGTCGAATATACCCCTTCACGGAGCTTGGCTCCGCAACTTTACTTGTGTCTGTTTCTGGAGTGATCTGCTGTGAACTGGTTGATTGCTACTAAAACGTCGATTCTAACATACTGCTCCTGTAGTGTGTCGAGATTACGAAGGGGTATGGGCGATGACTGTCCAATGGGAAGTGTTCCACCTAAGAGGCACGATTGTAGATCTCGGGAAGATTGATACTTTCTGTTGATGTTTGGCTAATCCGGATGTGTACGCACCTATTTCTCCACCTATGCAAGTTAGCTATACCTTATTAGGTGTAGAGGAGATGCTTGTATTTCAAGACGCCCACTCCCTTTCTCTCCATATAGGTGGGCTGAACAACTGAACCCGGACCAATGAACCAAGTCTCACCGCCGCTACATGGCTTCGCATCAGTATCCTTCCAAGGTCGTCCCTTGGCACATCTGCCATCAGAGCCGTCTCACCGCACAAAAATACGACTGTGCGGCCCTGAGACAGAAGCAACCCGTTCTCAATGCACAATGTCCAAACGTTTTTCACAGGAGATCTCACCACGATTGCGTTCAAGCTCCATGTCTGTATATGGGACACAGGATTCATCGTGGTCAAAGACGCTATAATCTCCTCTCTGCTGTTTCTATGTAGTTTTGTGTTTCTGTTGCTTTGTGTATTACTATTGGTGAGTCGTGCTTCGCGCCCGCGAAAGATTGACTGCAGTTCGATCAAGTTAGCCAGAATATGAGTGGGTGTTAGAAACGTATATGTTCAGGCTACTGATGACTCTTGTAGCTGTGACTCATCGTCCAGGGCGAACCTTTCTGGTTCGTCTCTTGATGTTTGGCACGGATTCTTAGTTGTTACTAGATAAGACAATGAATTTTTGTCTCCATTCATGACAAGTAAGACTGTTACTTGCTTTCTCTCCAATCTATGTATATAAACCGTATCTAGATTTCTCCAAAATTTCAGCCAGGCTTGGGCATTGCAAATTCTAGGAAGCAACGCGTCAGTGAACTCTGGTATTACAATGACCACACATGATTCATCCATGAAGCCAATTACCAGCCCTCTAGGACCCCCGAGCAATACAACCGCAATATCAAACTCGACCCCTGCGAACCACGCCACCCGTCACGCCCACCTAGTCTACGTAGGAAGGGATCTAGGTAGGCCACTGAAACTGTACATCTACCTCCACCAAAAGATGACCAGTACGCACATCTGTGATTCTTATTATCCCCAACTTACAACCGGCATAACACGCCGTGGGAGGGCTGTACGCTCACCCGAGTTCATGTTGGAGGAACTTGGCTGGTTCTCTAATCCAGTTGATTTCGTACCTATATGCAAGAGTCAGCCCGTTCAAGAGGCTCCTTCGAGTCAACCAGATCAGGACGTGACATTCAATGCTTGGAAATTGGCTCTGCTGAACGATTTGGAGCAGAATTATGGACACCTTTGGTCCCGGAATGAGGATAATGTATTGTGAGTTGGGGTTGGAACTTAGGCAAACGTATGGAAGTATCAAATCGATTATTAGGTTCAATGTTAACTTATTTACAGATTCTGGCCACCGAGGGATTCTTCAAAAGTTCTGTGTCATGCTTGCGGAGATTTTGCACGCTGGGTGCAGGGCCTGTGATGTTCTACCTCGACAATACTGTTCTGAGAGTACGGTTTGCTCTCATGTAGATGATGAAAGTTGTCCTTATTAGAGCCCTTATCTTTACGGTTTAGTTATTGCATTTTATCGCGACAAAATGTCAACTACTCAAACCCTTTCAGCTTATCTGGTTTTTGTAGATCGTTTTGTCGGGAGAAATCATCTTTGAACTGTTAATCAAAATGCATATGTTTTCGATGTAAGAAGTCCGTTACATAGAGCTAGTACAATGAGTATAGTGACCATATTGCATATTGCTTCCAACAATTATTCGTGACAAGCTATGGATTACAATATTCTCCACAATACAAAATTCTTTCCACTCTACATGAATGAGTAAAACCCATCGATATCCATTTCCCGGAGATAGGCCAGCTCGGCTGGATATGAATCCTCAAAATTGACAAATACTCTCTCCTTAAACTTCTTCTTATCCTCGGATTCCAAGCTGATACGGCTGTCTAGTGATGCCACTTGTACAAAGGCTGGTAGCCATGCAAGGGTATCCCAATCGATGAGGGTAACTTCCCAATCGACAATCTTCTCTCCATCTTTGACTGGTCGAACAATAAAATTCTCCCACTTGGGGTCCAGGTGGGTAAGTACAGGCCGACGACCTTTGCTTACACCCAAGACAGGTTTGAGCCGCGAAAGCAACTCCAGTTCGCACTCCAGGAATTCAGGAATATATGCTGTGTCTGCCATGCGTAGCTCAGCTGAGCGATATATGGCTGAGATGAAATCCTCGAAGGTGTTGTATGGGCCATTCATTCCTTTGCCAGCGAGACGAAAGATGGAAGTCATGGGGTCCACACCTTGGTAATACACTCGGCCATAGTATCCCTCTGATGGAACTGATCGAAGAAGCATAAATTGCTCTGAAATCCTTGCGCATAAAGCTTCCTGTTCCTCATCTCCCAAGCTTGAATATAATTTATGCGTTAGAGTAGCGCCTTCAAGATACTCTGTGATGATATAGTAAATCGGCACAGGATCATCAGGGAGGTGGTGGAGAAAAGCGGCGTAGAGCTTAGGCGTTCGGACCTGGGAGTGTTCTTGTAGATATAGCAGATTCTCTGCCTCCTTCTCATTGTCAGCTTTTTCTCTATAAATTGCCGCGGAGGTTTACCTGGAAGATGTCCCCTTCTCGTCCTTGTTTGACAACGCAATCTCCAAGTCTGCATACTGGGTGGAGCCCAACGTTTTGTGCTATAGAACTGTGCACCATTCCGTGTGAAATCTCTTCCATGGAAGGCAAGGGCGGGTGCTCAGGAGCTTCATATGGAAATTTCATCTTTACCCAATGCTCGAGAGGCGGATCGATGGGGCGGTCTTTCATTCTTTCGTTGAACCATTTCACATGGTATTCATAGCTTTGAAATTCCTCGTAATCTACACCATAGTGTTCGAGCAAGACGTCCGATTTTGCGCGCATCTCGGCAGGATGTTGGTACAAGAATCCGATTGAGAATATAAGTCGAGATTTGAACTCATATTGGGGTTGTAAGAAGCAGTTTAAGTACTTCTCGCAGAGTTTATAGAGCTCCTTTGTACTGACGCTACTTAAACGCTAACCTTTGAACATATTTTTTAGAATACACCCTTAGACGATCAATTCCTGTCGGGACGGAGCACTATGCAGAAAGCGAGGACAGGGAACAAGGCATGTCAGATGCTATTTAAAGCCTTTGTTGAGGAGATATACAAAAGACGTTTATTTCAGACGATGCACATATAAAGCCTGCTTTGTTGCCTCTGCTTCACACTAGCCGCCGCGATACACATATCTGACAGCCGGCATCAAACCCAGTAACCTCTTTCCCTGTACGCTGAAAGAAATAGACCAGGTGTGCTACTACTTCTGACTATTGACAGTGTCGTAGGCGGCTTCTAATTGGGAATGCTTCGTCGCACAGGGAAGGAAGCTATTCATTGAGGATATGGATTTTTGGGATGAAGAAGCTCGACAAAGAGTTGGTCCTGGAGATAGTGGTTGCATTGAGTCTTTTGAATTAACTATACACTTTGTGTTTCAGAATTTGTGGGAGCACAAGAGAAGCCATCCATATATACACTGACATTGCAGTGTAGGACGAGACCAAATTAATCAATTTGGCGGACTCTGAGGAAGCAGATGACTTTGGTGAGTTAGAGAAAATACACGCAACGACGATTCACGACCAATCGATAAATATAGGTATTCCGCAGGTCGGTATAGAAGATATCGACTTCATCCGACACTTCAGCCTCTCGTTACTATGTTTTCATTTCCACTCTGATCCCTCGGTACGAAATCATAACCCTCGCCTGGCTCTTGTGATCGTCATCAATGATCGAAATGCTGTCTTGATCTATCGATCCATCATAAATTCTGCTCTAAACATTCTTGTCTTTTCCAATCTATTCATTGCGCCTTTGGAGCTCCAAGTATTGACTCGAGTTCGACGAAGGCGCCTCGACATCATTTTTGGACTTGTTGCGAGATGGTATCGCCGTGATGCTAACGAGGACTCTTTCGAGCAACGGTCGAAGAGCGGGCAGATTGGTTGCGACGGTTCCAATCGCGGGTTCAGTATCTGTGATATCTTTATTTCGATACTGAAGCACTGACCAAGTCATGATAGGATCGAGTGTATACAGGTAGTTGAGGCCGGTAGCAATTTCTGGCGTTTGCGTAGGCTATATGGCGGGCACAGGCTTGTACGAGTGTATTCAGAGGGAGATGGCGCATGTTGTGCACCTGCTTCTTAGTAACTCGCCGCTGTCGGCGGTGAAATCTGGGATCGATTCGCAGGAGGTGGTTGACGCGGCGAAGGAGCTTGGTGGCAATCCTGCGTAAGTCGATGAAGCGGCCGCGGTTGTGAGTATGGTTTGTTCCGCAGAATCGGCATGAATGACGGGATCTGTGGTGTCGGCGAACGGCGGTGGTGTGATGGCTAAGGTGTAGTGTATGAAAGTGTCGATGAGCATGGTGTTTGCCTGTCTGCTCCAGTGAGCGGCTCTTCGAAACACTGCAAGCTAATCTGGAGAACTCGAGGACTGGTATCAAGATGAGTAAAATTCTTTATCCATACTTCATACTACAACAATTCAGCGCACGAGGCTGCTTACATTCTTGACGTTACGATATCGAATGGCGGATAATGGAGAAAAACTCCATCTTTGTTCTCCACAAGCACTATCTTCGTTAAAGGCCATCCATTTTGATCCTTGTATCTGCAGCACATCAGCATCAGTCACCCACAATACTTCGGACAAAAAGTCTGCCAGAATAGCGAAACAACCAACTCACCCATCAAAATCAAACCAATCACACACATCTAACCCCGGAAAATTCATCCTAAACACTTGCGCCCCTTCACCAAACTGCGCAGTCTCACCAGCTCCCTCAGCAGGCTCAAGAACAACGCCACTAGGTGTAGAAAAGTACTGTGGCTGCGCATCTGTAGTCCAGCTCAACCGATCCACTGCTTCTAATGCACTCGTTCCATTGACGACGAGATCACGGAGATACAATACCTGATCTTCAATTTCCAGCTTCGCATATGTAGTCGTGTTCCTTCCACTATGACTAACTTGGTCAGTCGTAATTCCAGTATCATACCCGCCAGCGTAATATCCCGCAAATCTTCCTCCCATCCTTCCACTTAACGCTTCGGCAAACGCAGGCATCAGAATCTCATGCGCCGCACTGTACACCTGCGACGGCGATATCGACACGTACTCATCTAGCCCCGCCGTTTGAGCTAGGACAACAAGTCCATAGCCTAGATTCGGAACCACGTCAATCCAAGACTGGTATCCGCCACCATTTCCGGACTTCCCGTATACAGAGTAGGTCTTGGTGAGCTCCGGCAAAGTAAGATTGCTACGAGTGGAGATGGCGAGGAGGTTGATTTCCCAACCTGGCCCCACGTGCTGTTTTCCGTCTGGAGAGACGTATATGGGCTTGAGGACGCGGCGGCGGTGGTAGGGACTTATCAACGAGGGGTTGGATTGGAGCCAGACGCCGTGAATATATTTTGCCAGGTCGTTTGCAGAGCTCTAGGGGAACACAAATCGTTAGAGTGGGGACAATGAAATGAAATAGTTACGACCTACAAACATGCCAGCTGCTGGGTCATATCCGAGGCCCACAACAAGATCGGCCCAATTCTCCCCACCTGGCACAGCAATGTGCGGGATAAGGTCTATCGAAATAGCGCCGACGAAACTGTGTGTCATGTTAAGCGGGTATAGTAGCTCCTGCGTTACTACGTCATTCCACGTCCATTTCAACCCTACAAGGTTGCTGTAGTAAGCTGCGACTGCAGATCCAAGCACAGCTACACCGGCATTCGAATACGCCGCTCTCTGCCCAGGAGCAAACATCAGATTTGACTTCCCGACTCCGTCCATAACATCTTCAATCGAAGCTTCAGCCCATGCCGCTCCAATGGTCGTCGCGTCTGCGCGGCCGGTAGACAGGACCATGTTAAACCCCGTGCTATAACTCTCTCGCGGTAGTCCCGATGTATGGCTTGCGAGCATCTCCAACGTGATCTCGCTACCGCCATCATTCCAATCTTTTTCTGGTAGCTTGAACCCCGGTAGCACAAGACGGACAGGCGTATCCAAGGATAATGGGGCAAAACTGCTGTTCGCATAGTCTCTTTTGCTTTTCTCGGAGACGACGAGGGCGGATGCCATTGCAAAGTTCTTAGACACAGACATGACACGGAAAATGGAGTCACTTGTTATCTCATTCTCAGCGTCTTCATATAGCGACGTCTCGTTCATCTTGAGCGAGCCATTGTTGAAGACAAAGGCCGCTTCCGGGCTTGAAGCATGTACCTACAATATCAAGTCAGCGAAGCATTTCGATGCACAAAGTGCTATCGATATGTTCTCGATACCTTCCAGATTTGGTGATTAGACCGAAGGAATATGCCAAGGATAGCCAATCAAACGCAATGTAAAGATTTGGGGTAAGGTAATCAACTATGCAACACCAATCACAATCGGCACCATGATCCTGCCCAGATAGAGAAAACACCTACAATCGCAAAGCTCAATCCATCGCGCGATGTGTTGAAGAGAGCCGAAAGGTTCTTTTCTACCTCTTTGAACGCTGCCAGCACAGACGGATGTTGCAACACAAGCGGGTCTGCTAGCAACTTTGCCGGCACGTCGGGTATGCATGCTGCTCTGGCGCTCTCGAGGAAAAGCCCACTGGCAAGGAGGAGATATCTCATCCACGAGATGATCGCCATCTCAAAAACACTCACGGAAAGGAAGGCAGAGATCAGGATGCGTAGCGGTGTAGATTTGTGGGTGGGATGGGTATATGAAGGAGCAGGATGTATCTCGGCCGATCAACAGCGCTAGAGGGCACCTATGGTGGGATGAGTTGTTGCATAATATGATAAGCTTAATTAAGTTGAACACCATGTAACCGTGGTACCTACATGTTCTAGGGTTATTTTAGCTGGTTTGTCAGCGTTTCCGAGCTCTATTTCACAGTAAAAGCTAGATTCTTCAACCTTGATAAACACATACTTTATCAAAGTTTGTTATCATTGTGATGGTCGAATGAGCTTTTCGATGGTAAGTTCAGGTCAGAATGGCTAGGCGAGCTTTTAGTGTGGTCTCCCGAACTACCCGCATGGTCGGCCGAGCCGTGCCCTTGCCTAACTGGAAGCAGACCAACACGAGATACATGATCTCCGCTAAGATAACGGTGAGTTGGCAGCCTTTCTCGCTGCAGATTCACCTTACAATTGGAAGGAGAAAAAGAAAACAGAGTTGAATTAAAGTTGTGCAGGAACGGAGAGTGGCGTGTTCATCTTAATCAAGTTATTTGCTTTGGTCCAGTGTCACATTGGATTTCCACCTGCACTTTGGTCGCAATATTTTGTTACAAAATGTATTGGAAATGCCCCCGTGTCGCTAGATACCATACACCTGCAAATGCGGTTCTACTCCAGTCCATGCATGTTGTTATCAAGGCCCCTTTCGGATGAAGCCAAGTCCCGTTCCTCAGCCGCATGTAGCCCTTCCTGATCGTCTATTTCCAAGTTCTGGCCGTCAGCGCTTTGGTTCTACTCCCGTGACTTTCGCCAGAGTTCGTCCTCATTCATACACCGCATCGTAGACGAGCCGTTTTCCAGGTGAGAGGCTGAATACTCAACGCCACAAGAACCGCGGTCTAAGGCAAGAGAGTTGAGGTTCCAGTGAAGTTGCTCTGACGCATCAGTCGGCAAGCTAACGCGATTGCGAACTTGCGACTGAAGCTGAACCCCAGAGGCCTCATTCGAAGCCATGAGCGAAAACGAGAGCGAGTCTAGTTCAGCGGCGAACTCCTTCTCCTCTTGACTAGCTTCGAGGGCAGAGCAAACATTGCTAGGTCGCGTCCTCGTCCTGAGATCTTTTTCGTACTCCTTGTGGTCGCGAGCATATTCGGTTTCCAGCGTTTGGTGCTCGTTGTACCACTGGTCGGATTGTTCCTTGGTCATCTGTTCCATGGGAGGGTATGTCGCGTTGTGTTCGGCTTGCCGCAATGTCCAGATCTTGGCCGCTTCGCCTTGTATGCATTCGTTGCAGAAATACGGTAGACCGGCCGCGTCTCCGAGAGGTTCGACGCAATTTGTACCACAGTCTTCAACCAGGTCTGTTCGGATGCGGTGTGAGCAAAGGAGTTGATGATAAAGACGGCCTTGACAGGGCGCGAAACGTTTTGTCCGCACATTGTTGAAGGTACTCGAGGCTGTTCGAGGAGTAGATGATGTGTATAGAGGTGTTTGCGTATTTGCGTTGTCTGAACCGGGCGTACTCGTCCAACCCCAACGACACGCCATTACCAAATTGGCGTGAGACATGGCGTCATCAGATACCTTGGAAGTAGAGGGCGGAACACGAAAAGCGTTGTTGGAGAAGTCCATGTTGGATGAAGTTATTATAATCAATATTTGGCGGAATATGGTGTCAGCTGACGGGTCGTGCTGCTGCCTTCTCTTGTGGTCTAGCGCGCCGAAAGTTCTAGTTCGGAGAGGCAAGTTGTGAAGCGGAAGACGAGAGTTGAGCGGGTGTGGGTTGCGTTGTACAATTATCAAGGTGCGGTCTCGTGATTGGCATTATATGTGCACAGGGCGCTTTGACGGACGTACGTGTAACACTATGAGGCGTTACGGGTGCTTTCAACGGTGTTGTAAGAGAACGAAAAGCAAATTTCCGGAGAGTGAATGTGATGGAGTGCCTGGATGAATGCGAATATGAAGAGTCCTGGGCACACAATGTGCTGGGATAAGATGTAGATGAGTGAGGCTGTGGATCTCGAAAGCGTGACGATCTCAGCGCGTCAATTAGCGCTAGCCAGATAGGGTGGCGCAAAGAAGGTTCGAGCACCGGCCAACCACCAACCACCTCGTTTCACCCTCGTCTTCAACACTAAGATCGCCGTTAAAGGGGCATTAGATCTACTCCATTCGAGCAGGGAGAACAACATCAGTTCTTTAATATCAACCATCCATAACATACACTTCTCATCCCTGACAGTGGCGAAAAGACGAACCAAGGCCAAACCTTGATTGCCGCTTCTCAACATCCAAAACGAATCCACAGAAATCTGATCGCTGACAGGTTACTGTTCGATTTGCAAAATTGGCGTTATTGTGAATGTTTCGATGGTGTTTGGTCAACAGAGGTTCGGAAAACTTAGGCGGTACCGTGGCGTCCCCATGAGCACAAGCCATCAGCCACCATTAGGTACATCTCAGGACATTCACAGACTGACAAGACGTGTTGCATTAATAGATTTGAAGGAAGCGTAGACGTACGATATCCTTAGCACATATATCTTGACATGGCTACACTTCAGAAGGATCTCCTCCGCCAATATCCTACATAACTTTCAGGTTGTGCTATTCTCGGTTCAAAGCATGTTATAACACCATCAGAAAGACTGTTCAAGATCTGTTTATTGATGGGGTATTTCATGGGTTCAATTGTTTGAATAGTTGTGCAACTCCAAAGCTGGAACGGTATTGCTCCGTCTTGCTCCAAACACCTCGACCCCAGGTTGTTCTCCCCCAGAACCATGACGCCTCGGCAGATCATCACCCCGCACTTCATTCGTGTCATGCACATTCGCGCCACCATATCATCAACGCTTCTTCCAGCCAATCTGCGACCTGCTCACAGACCTATTGACCATTCGATCGACATCACTAACCGATGTCATATAGTTAAGACCTAGGATAAGGCACTAACGCTATCTTAGTTGGAGAAATTTCGTCTAGATGACATGCCTCCCTGCAGAAGCGTCGGGGACGCGTAGTATAAGTAAAGCTTGGATGCGCTGGACGTGAGCTTATCCTGCCCTTGGCTTTTGCCCATTTTACTTGGAAAATTCGGAGAGCAACCTTCTGACCAGCCAACAGCTTGACGTACAGTGTTTTGCATCTCAATCGTCGCCTGTCATGGCTACAACGATTGATTTCGATCAGAAAGGCACAACGGACCGCCTATCAAATGACGTCGGTTCTAGAGCTACAGATACAGGCCACGCGCCTTCGAGCTCCAAACTCACACCTCCGCCGCTTGTTGCCGCCATGTCGCACGAGCAACGACAGCAGGCTGAAGCTAGGATGAGGAAGAAAATCGACACAAGGCTGCTTCCCATGATCATTTTGATGTACATCATGAACTATCTGGATAGAAACAACATCGCAGCGGTTCGCTTGGCCGGTCTCCAGGATGAGTTGAATCTCAGTAGTGTGCAGTACCAGGTATGTGTCCGTGCACGATCAGGTTGTCAACGAGAACCACTAACAAACTTCAGACCATAGTGTCCATTCTGTTCGTCGGATACGTGCTTTTCCAAGTCCCATCCAACCTCTTTCTCAACAAGACTGGCAAACCCGCGATCTACCTCCCCTCGTGCATGATTGTATGGGGCATCATCAGCGGCGCAACAGGAGCATGTCAGAACTTTGGCGGTCTACTCGCATGCCGTTTCTTCCTGGGATTTGTGGAAGCAGCATACTTCCCGGGCTGCTTGTTCTATCTGTCGGCATGGTACACGAGAAAAGAGCTGGGCTTCAGGACGGCCATTCTCTACTCCGGTTCTCTCATTTCCGGGGCATTTGGCGGACTTATAACAGCTGGTATTACAAGTAATATGGACGGTTTGCATGGGCTAAGGGCATGGCGTTACGTATTTTTAATCGAGGGCGCAATTACGATCGGAATAGCGTTCGCGGCGTTCTTCATCCTACCGAATTTCCCACGCACTACGTCCTGGCTCACCGAAGAGGAACGACAACTTGCCGTGTACCGACTACAAGAAGATATTGGAGAAGACGACTGGACTTCAGCTGAGTCACAAACCTTCTTCCACGGACTGAAGCTTGCGCTGGTGGATATCAAGACCTGGGTTTTTACTGTCCTTCTACTTTCGATCGTGTCCTCCGCCTCAGTAACAAACTTCTTCCCGACGGTGGTGAAGACACTAGGCTACGACAACATCCATACGCTCCTCCTTACGGCTCCACCATATGTCCTCGCCGTCATTACGACATACATAAACGCCTGGCACGCGGACCGAACCGGCGAGCGATTCTTCCACATTGTGTTACCCCTGTGTGTCGGCGTTGCGTCATTCATCATTGCCGCAGCCACGACATCGATCGGTCCTCGTTATTTTGCCATGATGCTTATGATTCCTGGCGTCTATACCGGATATGTCGTAGTATTGGCCTGGGTTTCCAATTCCATGCCACGGCCTCCTGCAAAGCGCGCCGCAGCACTTGCTTTCATCAACGCGATATCGAACACGAGCAGCATATATGCATCTTATATGTATCCCCAAACCAAAGGAAACAAGCAGCCGAACCTCGTGCTGCCGCTTAGTGTGGACTGTGGGACGGCAGCATTGGCGATTATTATGACTGTGGTGATGAGAATCATCCTGGGGCGGTTGAATAAGAAGTTAGACAAGGGGGAGCATGTTGAAGGAGCGATCAATGCAGTTCCTGGCGCAGGACAGGATCGTGCGTTTAGATTTTTGGTGTAGATGCAGCATGCTTGGCAGTTGATAGCAGTTGTAAACGAAAGAGCCTTCCCATTAGTCGAAATACCAGGAGTTAGGCTACTTCCTTCTTTGCAGATAACATAACCAATCTACACGGTTGATGGCTTCAAAAAACGTAGGCCCGGCGTATACCATCAATGCTTACAGTATACAAGTTTTACACAAAGTTCGCGTGTAGTTGCCCAGCTATTAAGAAATTTCGCTAAACCCTAATTTCGACTAACCGAGAGAGAGCTTGTTCTTTTCAAGTGACCCGCTCCTACTTCTAACAAGTGCGTTACTCAGAGTTTGTCTCCTTCACTTTAATGGAAGTGAAAGCGGAGTGCACCTTCCGCGCTCCATACGAGTTTTTCCATGTTTAGCCTCGCCGCCCCGCTTTGCTCCTCTGTAGCGTTCGCGCCTTCTACTTCTCAGTCACTAACTTTCCGGCACGAACAGCTGCGGTCAACTTCCACCAGGAGCCGATACGCCACCTCTACCAGGGCAACTACCCCCTCACCCGCACAAGCGGCCCGGTCAGGCTAAGCCTCATGAAGATGGATACGATGTGTTTTCTGATCAACGCTCACTCTTCTCAACGATCTTCGTCTTCTCCAACCTTCTCACTTCCAATCTCTCAATCGCTGAACTTCGTCACAACAACCACCCTCAACATAGCGACCACCTTCGAGCAATTACTGGAAAACAAGGTTCAATGCGGAGTCGCTACCAGGGACGTTATCAATCACACACATACATACCAGATCGGTATGAAGTGGACGAGCTGCCTGCTCGGTATGCAGGCAGCCGTTTATACCAGAACTCTTGTCGCGAAGGCGTCAGCTTGAATCCACGAACGTTTGCCGCGTTTGATAGGCTGCCAAGCACGGTATACAGTTATCTACTCGAGGGTATTGTCATGATAATCTTTGGTACCTACCAAGACATTGGCATAGACCACATGTACTGCAGTCCAGCTTCATACAACTTAACGGCCAAGATCAGAGCTTCATTGAATCTACCGGAGGTTTCGTGGTGTGGGTTGAACGGAGCCTGGACTATGTACCAGGGCATCCCGAGTATTGTTCGAAAATTTGATGCCCCATGCGGCAACCCTTTGTGTGGCAGAATTATCTACTACAAAATCGATGGAAAAGTACAGAGTCGAATCCTAATGGACTCTTCTGATCCTCTTGGACCGCACCTGTGCAAACCGTGCTGGAGATGGAGATTCAACCACAACCGTCTCCCCAACGTCGAAGATCTCGCGCTCCGTGCGACGCGTGCGGCGAGGAAGCAGACCGTGAGTGAACTTCGTGCTGCTTTCCCGCCAAACGAGGCTCCATGCGCACACTGTGGCAGACCGGAATGTTGCTTCTGGAAGCCAACTGGAGAAAAGATCTAGTTCTGGCACATAGCGCCACCGCAGTACCCTGGCAAGCTTATATGCCACAACTGCATCGGCAAACTGAGGTCACAAAATTGGCCATCTCTTCCCGCGATCCCTCCACCTATGAAGCCTCAGATGCAGGCCTTCGTGCAATCGCAACTCCAAGCCATCGCAAACTGGGATGGCGTCCGGTACTCCAAAACCAAGGGGGTGAAGCCGGGCGAGACGGTAAAGCCTCGCGGGCGACCCCAAGGTCTCGAGGACTTATCTGAGGAAGACTACAAGGTAGCACAGAAGCAGAGGAAGGCAGTTCTACAGAAAGCAGGTGTACAACTGGACAGGCTTCGGAAGTACGAACAAGAAGTGGTTTGCATCGGCTGTGACGAGACTGAGACTCTGGAAGAGGCCAACTCTAAGGACACCAAGTACAGGCCAAACTTCCGCGATACATCGAAGGGCATCTGCCTTTCTTGCTACCAATCGGGTGTGAGGCAGTGAGGATCTCGGTATATGTTCACCAACATTTAGTACAATACCATAGACAGGTAGCACATACTCGTAATATACATCTCATTCTCGCCTGACTCTCGCCTGACTCTCACTGGAGGCTCACTGGAGGCTCACTGGAGCCTGGTATTTGAATCGAAAGAGACTCTGGCAAGCACCCACACTTGCCACCCCTACATCTATCAGTAACCACGTACATCTTATCATGATCACACAATCGAGTAGTGAGAGAACACGGACGTGATCTTGGAAGATCAGAGCGCGAGTTGAGCTGGAGCCTAGTAATACGTACGCTTGACTTGAAATTCACCTCTTTTACCTGTAGCCAGAAGTGAAAGCGGGCTCCACTTTTCGTAGCCCACACGAGCTCATATATATTGAGCCTCACCTCCCGTTTTCTTCTCCTCCAGCTCTTCTTGCTCTCAATACTCCAACTCTTCTTGCTCTTAGCACTCCGACCCTCCCCTTCGACATGGCTCCCAAATTTGACCCAGTACTCGAGACTGAGATGGAGAAGATCAACACCCCGCCTCTTCCCGAACGGCTACCCCCTCGCCCCCACAAGCAACTCAGTCAGGCCAAGTTCGCCGGAGAAGGATACAATCCATTCTCCGCCCAAGGCGGATGGCCCACCTCTCGACCACCCAAGATGCAGTCAACCGCAATGGTACGCCGACGCGCAGACCTCGAGATGCTACGTCATGGACACATCTACGATCTTGATCCATTCGTGTGTGTCGGTCCAAACACGGACAATACCGAGTGGGAGGCGAAGCGGAAAGCCATGAGACAAGAAGTCTACAACATGAACTACAAGTTCGTAGGCAGCCCAGAATCGTTTCTCAGGGTGACAATCGAGTCGGAGATCCGCATCGAGAACATCAAGGACCTCGCCCATAACTACTATCGAGAAGGCCGGCGTCTCAAAGCACTGAGTCCCCCGGAAGAGACAGCAGCTGAAAAAGCGGCCCGTGAGCTCCAGGCTCGGGCTTATATAGCCAAGGGTGAGCGCGCGGCTCTCGTACTGGAACATTGGGCCGACCAGCAACTACAAGATGCTATTGCTCAGCTTTCAAAACTGAACGCAGATCCGAAGGCGTCGAAGGCAAAAAAGCAAGCGCAGACTCTGGACGTTGAATGGGCTCGTGGCTACGCTCAACCCTACCTGAACGACCTGCGTGCGGTATTTGTAGCAGCTGACCACGGCCTACCTCTGGAGAAGACACTGTTTGGCTGGCGGGGCTACGAATCCAGGTGCGACTTCTACGACCAGGTTTTCGATACTAAAGACAGGATCTTTTCTGCGTATGGTTGTTTCGAGGCGTGCAACCACTTCGCGTAAGTAATGTGATTTCCACAAATGAAAAACAGAACTAACGTTGCGCAGGGCGAACATGAAGAAGGGCAAGGCCCGAACGCTGCTCATGAACAAACTATATGTAGCGTGCGAACAGCTCTGGCGCCACGTTGTTTCGCCACGCATACGCATGTGGAACATCCTTTGTCTCTCAGATCCTGTACTGCGCTTGTCAATAAACATCAAGACCGATGTTCCGGCTATATACGCGGCTTTGGCATCGCTGGATATCACGGCAGGCTTTGACAAGCGTACGTTCGGCGGCGTGGAGGTTATCAAGGTGCCGTTGGCTCGGTAGTGTAGTGGAGGCGTCTCCTGAAGTGGAGTCATAGAAGTCCGGGGCTTCTTCAATATTGCAGAATACAAGCAGGCCAAACGATAACTTATTTCAAATAATTTATACCTTGTATTTGCCAGGGATCATTCAGAAAGGCGGCGGGTCCATGTTCAACCCCTCAACACTCAACCTGAAACTATCCATACGCGAGTAACTACCTGCAGAATCAAAGTCCAACCGTCCCCTCTCGCAGTCCTCGAAATCGACCTCAGTGACGAGCAACTCGTCTTCTTCTTCCCATAGTGGCCCAGCGAGAACTTCGCCCAGTGGCGAGACGATGCAAGACCCCCCGCGGGAGACAAACTCCTCATCTTCGCTCGTTGATGCTTGGGGTGCTGAAGAAGTCTGCGTGGGCATGTCCGTGGGAGTCTGCTTGGGGCTTAGGAGGAGTTCGGAGCCCAGCGGCGAGGAATCGATGGCTGACGTGTCGTCGTTGGACGCGGAAGAATCTTGATCATTCTTTGCGTTTATGACGGGCCAGCAGATTTCATGCTTGTCTTCCGTGACGGTGATTGTGCTCCTTCTTCTTCCGGTACCTCTTTCACGGGGTGTATACTCCCCGCCACTGCTTTGACCCTCTCCTTGTTCTGATCCCTTCCCACCCGCTATCCACTCCGGCAGATGTTTCTTCCTCACACACTGGTTTGCACTCAACACGAAACAGCGTCCCTCACACCCAACTGTCCGCATCAACGACTCCCAGGTATCCCTCGCGTCTGCCGTTGGTGCGAACCACAAGTTCACGTTTTGAGCATACAAGCTCTGTCTCAGTAGTGGCATGTAGTTCTCCCAGCAGATTGCAGACCCCATGCACAGCCTCACGCCCTTGATCTCCGTCGTCACAGCGCGCAGCGTTGACGCGCTTCCCTGGCCCCAGATCAAACGCTCCGAGCCTGTGGGCATGACTTTCCGCCTCTTGCCCAGGATACCGAACCTTGGGCAAACGAAGACAACGCCGCAGTACAACGTACCTCCGCTTCGTTCGACAAGGCCGGTTACAACGAATATGCCCGTCTCTCGCGCTATGCGTTCCAGTTCCTCCCTAGTTCCATCGCCTCTGTACTCCTTCCCGCGCGGGAGTTCGAGCTTCCTGTCTACCCATGCTTGTCCTGCGCCCGTGGGGGTGTCGCCCAGATCAACAGCCGCATGGAAGTATTGGAGAAACTGCTCGCGGCCCTCCGGCGCACGCGCGCCAACAGCAGCCCCGAAGCTGCAGGTTCGCGGGTAGCCGCCAAGGTAGGCTTCTGGGAAGAGAATGATATCAATGCCTTGGGCTACGGCCCGTTTGGTGGTTTCTTCGAGAGCAGAGAGCGTGTCTGCGGTCGTGGAGAGGGTTCGAGCTTGCGCTGATGCGAGCTTGAGCTTCTGAGGCATTGCAAGGAGTGAGACCCTTTATCGACGCTGAGTATGGAGGAGAAGTATATTCTTTAGGTCATCAATAGCCTCAATTGAATAAAACTCGAAACGAGATGCGTAAAAAGGTTGATGTGTGAGTTGCACCTGAGGCTAGTAACGGCTGCTGGAGCTTCCCCGCATTCCCCTCTTCGAACTCCTTAGAGCTTTAAATCTTGGAAAACCATCGTCACTGAGATTTAGCTCCGCAAAACCAACACGAGATTAGAGTGACATTGCGCAAATGTGGAAATGACAAAGGCTTTGCTGACAAATTGAATATGCATCGAGTCGAGATGAGCGCAGATCATGGCAGCATAAAAGTATGCGTTCAGTTTGAAAGCTAACGAATTCCAAAAATTGCCTACATAGCGTGTCCGGGTATTTCCTATATGTTCCAATCACAAAAACAAATCCACAAAATCCAACAAAAAAAGGCAATGCCATACATGCGGCTCAAGATATCCAAAACGCCTTATGCGCCTTGCTGATGTAACGGAAGTGATCCTCCAATCGTATAACATTATAAGAAAAAGCTTGCGGTACATTGTGTACATGTGAATGTCTGGGACATGAACCGCAAAAGCATGGACGAGAAAACCAAGCTTCCCAAGCTCATGATGTGCTGATCTTAACGGCTCCAAGGGCCACTTTCAAGATCCGTGTCTTCGCTTCTGCTTCTTGACTGATCCGGGCTACTCGGTTTCCACGCCTCACAAACCGTTCGACATCCCTCAGGCCACTTTCCAGTCGCGTTGTGTTGAAGCGTGAGGTTTCTCAAACTCGAGTCGCTCTTCTGGTCCCAGTTGTCTTCGACCAGTATATCCAAGCCCTGGCTGACTTTGATGCTAGTCATAGGTACATCAGAGTCGTTTGAATCGCCGGTAACAACGCGTGGTTTTCCTACTGAGCGTGCTGAATGTAGGTGCGAGCCTTTGGGGTATGTTTGCGATCCGATCCCGGGCGTTTTGCGGCCGCTAGCATTGTAATAACTAGAACCAGGGTTGCGGAAATAGCGGAGGAAGAACATCTTGAGCGCCGGTCCAGAAGCGCAGATCACGCCCAGATCGGCTTCAAGCGAAGTCCATACCCAGCCATGGTATCCCCACCAGGTGATGTCGTATGAAACTTGACGTCAAAGTCAGCTCACGGTGTTTGAAAAGAATCATGGGTGAGTACTCACAGTAGTAAACTTTAATCGCATAATATGTGCGCATGATGCCGCAAACGCAGGTCCTGATGATATTAGCCTTTGTGGAAGCAAAGCCTTGCCGACCGAACTTACACCACGCCTACACCAAAGATACCACAAAGAGCGAGCTTCTGACGCTTGGATATTTGAATCTTCCAGACCAGGGAGACAGGAAGCAAGCCGACCATAAAATCTATGACGGTACTGATGGTCGTAGCGGCTACGACAAGTGCGCCTTCGTCGCGGCAATGCACTTCGTGCTGTGCCACCCAGACGGGATTGTAGAGGTTGAAGAACCCTGCTGCCGGGGTGCAATTGAATGCAATAAGGAGGATGAACAAGACACAGTAGACGACGCAGAAGATGATTGCTCCCCAGACCCAATACACGAAGCTGTTTGTGAGTGCTCCAGTGATGCGGCGGTAGAAGCAAAGAATGGAGACCTTGACTAGAGTTGTGCATATCATGTAGTTCATCTCTATCGCCATTGTGATCTACAAAGTCAGCAACTGTCATGGAAGAACTGTAAGAGACGTACCTTTCGTGATGTGATCCTAGTCTCTGCAGTCTGATCCCACACATGCCATTGAAACCCGTATTTTCTTATAGCTAAAGGTTGTCAGCATGTCGTGTAACATTGATGTGCGATATGTTACTTACCAAGTATTACAGATATGGTAAGCCCAGCCAGTGGGAGCATGGCAAGGGTCATCAGTACGTCGTCCAATCCTGCGTTTCTACCCACTGATAGTCGTGCCCACATGCGAGCGAAGTATATGACGAATGTAAGTCCCATGAGAACCATAAGTGCGATTGGTCCACCCCAACCCCGTTCTTCAGGATTGATATGGTTCGGTAGCGGCCAGCTCTTCACAACCTCCGGAGTGGGATGTCCTCCACCTCGAACGAAGAGTTGAATCGCCCTCGAATGTAGACCCTCGATAATCGCCATATTGAGGTGTTCCGGTGGGATGAATGTTGTACGGAGTTTTGGAGTAGTCGAGAAGCATTGAACTGAACAGGTAGACGAGAGGCCAGGATCTAAAGCATTATCTATCCCTTGTGAGAACAAGTTCATCTGCTAGTGATACCATTAGCGGGAAGTGGATCGTAGTCATTTCACACGATTTTAGCGGGCACAATGGACGGGAAGACAACGCCACAAGTGAGAGTCCACGCACTGCAGGAGAATTAAGTTCAGTCCCGACAGTGGTACCAAGCTAACGTAGACAGTAACCGAGTCGCAAAGTGTGCGAAAGATCGCCAGGTTCTGCTCATGTGCAAACTCAAATGTTGCTGTGAGCTCCGTAAGCAAATGTCAGACACGGCAGACGTAGAAAGTAGCAACCATGTCCGGGATCACCCCGGACATGGTTGCTACTTTCAGGTACCGGCAAGTAGGCCAAGAAGGGTTTCATCAATCGTCTCTATTCGCGGCTCTAGTCCGTGCAGACACCCTTGCGTACTGAGATCTTATCAGAAGGATCCAGTGCCGGTAGTGGAGCCTGCAAGATCCAAGAGACTAGCGCACGTGTTTGCCGCATGAACCTGCAGGTTATTCAGGTCACTTACTCGCCTCCATGGTTGACATGACTTAGCAACACCAGTCAGACCATCTTTGTCTTGGTTGGTAATATGCCACATCATGACACGAATACTGGCCTTGTCGCTGCTGAAGATCCGAACGCGAAAATGATAGGGAGGGACGGTAAAAATGTGCGGGTTGCGTTTTCTATGCAGACATCTTCGATGGCGCTGGACACGTTTGCATGTGGCTTGTTGAACCCAATGTGAGCAGACCAGCTCATAGGGTTATTCCCGAGTGACATCGTAGGAATGAGTGCTGCATGCTAGAGACGATCGCGGGTGATCTGCATGTGGTTTCGCCGAATTGTTCGGCGTTCCGTGGTCGCACATACGAGTGTAGTCTTGAAGGTTGCACAGTTAGACCGACATCCACGTTTATGGCGATGCCTAGTATTCCCGACACGCTGCAGCCGGTAAAGTTCGGAAGCAGTTTCCGAAGAACGTGCTCACCTTTGTCAATCAAAATAGTGCATAACTCTCAGAAAGGATTTTGAGAGTGGGTCGGCGGAACTCAGTTTTGTTCCGATGATGACTCGGTAACCCACGACTCCTACGTGTAATGACTTGGAAAGTTGAGCGCTCACCACCCACCAGCTAGGTATGCCTGCTTCACAGGACGTTGCCAAGATCATGGCGCAATATTCCCCACTAGTCATCTCCTGTAGATCCCCTTGTGCTCGGTTCCTGCAAAGCGGGTCGTGATACTAGAGTTTCGCGTGTCACAGAACTGTATCATGTAGTCAGAGTGTATGAGAGAACTCAAGGATATGCAAGAGAAGAAAATGTGATCCGGAGAGTCGGCTAAGACAGGGCCATAAGAAAGATGAGTGATGAGCGACATGTCTTCGAACTCCATTGAGGTTAAGCGGAGGAATTTTAGCGCGTCTGTGCGTTCTGCACGCGCCCTCTTCCTTCCTCTCGCTGTCTCGTCGAGGAAACGTTCACTTTGCACCCATCTACATTATCGTATCTACCCCAGATCCGTCGCGTCGTGCCGTCGGTTATGTGTGGCCGCGTAAGCGCCGGCCGCTATCTCTGGAATAGTTGTATTGTCTTGGCTGCTCTCTGAAATCCCAACGCGAATGTACCTGTTCACCAAGTGCAGTAGGTCGGGGACATGTCAAAGAGCCATTATCATCCAGAAGTTTATTGAGGATCACCGTCTGTCACGCGTTTCGGGTGCTCCTCAAAGTTGAGCTCGTTGATGGAGACCGAACGACGAACTCACCGGACAAGCCAGTCCGCCACATGCAACTAGGGTCCAACTATCCAGTTCGAACAACATTCTACAGTAGTGTGGTGCGCTTTGACGTAGAACATGCCCACGGATTGTTTCTCGGATTCGGTACTCGCTTAACCAGATAACTTCTCCGACCCATATCATAGGCTCTCTGGAATAACTTTAGCGAGGGGTGACCAAGCTAACAAGAATCGTGTTAACTAGCTGGACATGCCATCGCTTAGATGAAAGATTGGAGTCGTTAAACCTTCCATGGCCTAGCACCTGAGCTGAGTTCCCAACTGGCGTTGTCCCAAGGAGCACAGGTCAGTACGGCACTTCGACTCGCGAACGAGGTTTGTTGTGCCGAATACTTACGTTCATAATGTTGCTACCGTCATCCTGGTATCGATGCGCCTCTGTGGCTTGTTTGTGTCGATGTGGAACGAATACGGGTGACATCCACGTTCCGGCAGTTGCGCCAGGAAGTGCACAACCGGGATCCGAGGGGTGGGCAAATACTCGATACATTGTCCTCTGACTTGGAAGCAAAGTTCAGTGTTTGCATGCATTAGGGGTGCTCGAAAACATGTTACTTTCCATCGTTGACACTGTCGTACATCGATGGAACAAACCGAATTATCCAACCCCCCATCAAACAATCATCGTGTGTCAGCAGACCGGAATTGCAGGATGGCTAACAATCAATTCAGTAATACCTCCCCACCAAGGTTTATTTGATCTGCATCTCGGTGGTGACATACCACTGCACGACATCAACGAACGGTTAGCACGTCCTCCCCAGACGGCAGACCAACATGCAGGTCACCGCGTCGATCGATAAACTCCACCTCCAACGCAAGGCTGCTGCCGACATGTCATAAACTAGTCACGACGGCCAGACTGTCGATCTGAGCCCTCCATTTGTTTAAAGGATATCCAGCTACCTGTCTATCCGAGCCATCCGTTTATTCGTAAGGTTATCAAGTAGCTCTGCCGCTCTTCGCCGTAAATATTCCCTATTCCGTCAATAGTCCATACTCGCGCTGCAGATCATGGTAAAAGAAGAGTATGACAGAGATGATCAGAGGGGCTCGTAAGGACAGCTCGCTGTTACATCTTGCTCAGGACTAGTCGGGCGAGTGTAGTGGGTTTTGGGTTGTACATGGAGAACGACGATCTCGGGATATGCCACGAGAGTTGAGTCAGGTGAGCATGTCGATCTCCCACTGCATCGTAAAGTATTTGCGCAGAGTTTTTATTCGCCGTACTATCTTGCGTCATTGCAAGTGGCCGGGGTTGTCCGCATTGTGTTAACGAGGTTTGATTGAGGTGAGAGGGTTTGGATAGTCTTCTTTTGGGTTCATGTGTAAATGCAAGGTGACTTGAAGATGGGAGGTCTACTTTGACACTGCATCAATCCGTCAAACCTTCTTCCAGTCATCCTCCTCATTCCCTTCATTCCACTCGTTCTCCTCATCCCCTTCTTCCCATTCTTCTCCCCATTCTTTTTCCCCTCCACTGTAAAGACTCGTCCTTCCAACCCCGCTCTTTCCGACCACCCTCCTCTCCTCTCCTCTTCTTTCTATTGATTCCTCGCAAAACCAACCTAACGCCGTCCCTGACTTCCCAACTCCCAAATAACGCACTACCAGTTGCTATCCCCATCCCCATCCCCATCCCCAACACAGTACCCTCAAGCCCTTCACCTAATCTTTTCAAGCCCCAGCAAAATCACCCCAACCCCCATATCTCCACTTGAACAGCATTGCCACCCAACACCTACATCCCCTCACAAACCTCCACAAAGATACAAGAAAAAGTCACATCACGAACCCAACTAGGACCACGCGAAGAATCTGTAACATTGTCCTTGGACAGTACATTGTACTGGGAGAGCAGAGTGCATAATAAATAGAGTTTTGATGCATGATTTACAAAAGATTAGAGAATATCTAGTTTGTTTGCCATTGCAGTCTTGTAACTAAATAAAAAGACTATGTTTTATGAATGTAGAGGGCGAGCTTTCCGTTGCCTGTGCAGGCGTTGGATGGTAGCTTGACAGGAGCAGACTTTTGCCCGGATGTGTACGGTCGTTCGATGGATGTCTTGATGTGTATGTGTTATATTGGCTGTCGTTTTTTTGTGATTCATCTCACTTCTTCGACTAAGGAGTTGTTTGATGTCGGTGCCGTGTGGATGGGATGAATCTATTGCAACGTGAGATAACACGATGTTGCTGCAAGGTTGTGGAGAAGAAACACGTAACGAGGTGGCCAAAGCATCAACTCTAGTGAAGAAGACGGCAGGTGACGAGGATGAATAGATATTTGAATATAAAGCCACTCGTAGCTGTCCTGGGCATAATCGCTCAAATGTCGAAAGGCATTTATATAGAAACAGCACCGAGCTCTCTCGGTATCAGATTTCACCAACAGCTTACAACAAGAATAGTGGGTATAATTCAACACCAAATGCAAAAGAAAAACAGTCTGATCACGAAATAGCCGCAGCAGCAGCAATCTTGACCCTCTTCCTCTCCTCCTCCTTGCGCGCCTCCACGCCAGCCAAAAAGTCCATCCTGCCCAGGTACGCCTCCTTGGTCTTGCCATGTGTATCCAGTTCTTCGGCGATGCCCTCTTTGTCCACGAAACCCGTCCAATCCATGCGTGACTTGTCGACGACATTGAGCTTTTGCGCCTTTTCGACCCTGGCTTTTGCCGCTTCTGGTGGTGGCATATTTGCGTGTGATGCGGGAAGTGTGGTTCGCGGCCATGAGAGTTGAAATTCGGGGGCTAGGGCGCGGACGTAGCCTGTTGGGTTGGGGTCGAAGCGTGAGGGGCGGCGAAGAGGACGTCGGATCCTGGAGTGGGTGCTTTTTTCGGCGTCGCTGGGCTTTGTGGGAGCGTCTGCGGTTTTCCATCCGTCAGAGAGGTGTTTGTCGAGGGATGATCGCGGGACTTGTTTTTCCTCGGTTGTGTTCTGCCCGGCGAATGTGTAGACCTTGGTGACTGTGACTTGCTCCTCCTCGTCGACTGCGATGGTTGGTGCAGCGATGGTATGCGCAACTTGGTCTTTCGGTGCGTTCGGTTCTTGTGGCTCGGTGGAGTGTGTAGGCGCGACGGGCGCTGCAATCATCTGTGCCCATAGCGCGTCGACATCGACGGTCGCGCCTTCTGTCCTGGCGAGTGGTCTCCGTTCCTTTTGCCTAGTCACAGGTCAGACTTGACTGTCATACGGATATCTTATGCCAGAGACATGGACATACTCGACCCGCCTCTGCGCCCTCGTCTTGACCAATCCGCCCTCGCCGCCTTCGTCTGACAGCAGCAGGTCTGCATCATCGTCGTCCTTGGCGCCCTTCTTCCTCTTTCTTGCCTTCCTCTTCTTTGCAGCCTCTATTGTCACCTCATCGCCGGAATCAAGTTCATCTTCAACAGGCGCCTTCCGCTTGCCCTTGGCCTTGCGCTGTGTGGGTTTCGAGGTTGCGTCTTCGTCGTCGGAAGAGCTGGATGCGTCCTCTACGGGGGCTTCGTTGGGATTGAAGTCTTCATCTGACGACTCGTGGTATTTGTCGTTTGCATCTTCAATGTCTTCTTCGTAGTGAATAGGCGCCATGGTGGGATGATGACATGTTGAGTGGTAGACGCGTTGCGATCGCGAAAGGCCAAAACCAACGTGCATAAGATCGGCAGTGACTAGTGTGACAGGGATGGGAGCTGTAGATTTGGGCCATGACGTGGGCGGGGCAGCACCAGACAGGGCAGACAGACGCGTTCCAGAATGTGATGAAACAAAACAAACTGGCATTTACCCTTGCTGAGCTCACACTCTCACTCTCACTCTCACCATCACTGCTCGCTCATAATGCGCAGACATTCCTACTGCTAAACATCGCACCACATATTGCATACCCATCATGGCGCCAGTAGACACGGCCGCCGCCGCCCTTACCAACGCGCTTCCTATCGCCCTCTTTGCTGGCCACGCGCTTCTTGTTACTGGCCTTAGCGCAAACGTGCTGCGTACTGCGCGTCGAGCCGCCAAGTCTCTTCCTCCGTCCACGCGTACGCGCTCGCAAAGCCCTTTGCGCCGACGCAATGCTACCATCTTCTCCGCTCTCGCATTCGTCTCGTTGGCGTCAGTGACGACGTTTGCAGTGATATGGCGCGCTATTTCCTATATACAGTGGGCTGAGCAGGGCAATCACGAGACGCCAGGCAGCTTGTGGACCGGCTGGTACGGTACTGGTGAAGAGGGACTTGGACGCTGGCATTTAGGTGATTGGATCAAAGACATTGATTTGACGCACGAGTTGGATACTGTCGCCGTACTGAGGCCCGAGGGCTTCTTGTACACGAGCCAGCACTTTGTTGGACTTATAGCGAGCGCCATCTTCATGGGCATTGAAGGTATTTAGTCATGCACAGAGTGTGTAACATCGCTAACCTTGACAACTACAGGACACCGCCGTAGCCTATCCTCTTCCACCATTGCTTCTTTTGTTATTTTGAGCGCCACGGGAAGTCTGGGATACGCACTGAGTCTGTTTTTCGTCACCATTCTCTACACGCCTTTGACGGTACACAAAAGCGACGCACCACTGCGTGACGCACTATTTACGCCGAGGCCTGCAGTATACGATATCTTGATTGTCACCTCGCTTTTGTCTCTCAACGCGTTTCCTGGTTTCCTGAAGCAAGGTGGCGACGTACGCTTCCTACGCCTCGGATATCTTGCCATTCCGTTGCTGTTCGCGTATGCCCCAAAGGTATGCACAAGCTTGCTTGATAGTAACTACCATCACTGACTTGCGACAGATCGTGCCCCTGCGCCTTGGGATTCAACACAACACCAAGGCATCCGCTCATCGTTCGTACACAAAGGTCTATCACGCACTCTCAATAGCCTCCTTTCTGCTCTACTGGCGTCTGGTAACTACCAACATCTTCGCGAATACTCCACCCGAGCCTTCATATATCTGGGACGTCTTCACGAACGCTATTGGAAAGAACGACGCCTCCAGGACAAATAGGGTTCTGTCTGGCCTCAGTATCACCGGCCAGAAGTTGAAGCACATCAGCGCACACCCAGCCGTCAGCGTAACCAGTCTCGATGTGCTCTTCACCACGATCAGCCTACTCGCTTGGACGTTTACCCGTAACCTCGACGTCGATGATGTCCTGGAAAGCAGTGTTCTGTCCTTCTTAGTCCCCAAACATGAGAAACATGTGTCTTTTGAGAACGACACAACCCCAAGCCAGAACCACGAATCCGAATCCGAGGCACCTGTAAAGACTACGCCGAGGAAAGGTGGACGGTCCAATAAGAGCTCTACTACCGCGTCTTCCCCTCTACCGTCAGCTCTGACCAGCCGTCTCAGGCGGGGTACGCGTGGACAGGGACGCAACGCTGACTACGGATCGGATAATGACTCAACCTACCAGCCCTCCCCTGCGACGAAGCGTGATGTGGCGGAAATGGAGACGGACGGAGCGTCAACTACCGGTGATCTCGTTCATGCGGGCGAGTCGACTGCGCTGACTCTTTTCCTTGCATTTCTGGGCGGATTGGGTCAGTTGGCTGCTGGGGCTCTTGGAGCAGAGGTTGCAGGTCCGAGGGAGTAGGCTGATACCTCGTTGATGTCTTGTGAGGCAGAACATAGTGTGCAGTATCTTCTTATCGCGACTGGGGGCGTTTCTTCCTTCTATCCGCCTGGCTGTTAATTTCAATATCCCCTTGTTCAAGGTGCCAGGGGCGTACATGGCGAATAACTTTTCGTAGTGCTTGGCTGTACCATATTCAGAGTGACATCTAAGCCTGATATTGACATTTTTTACGATTTCAGCATATCTGATGATGTGTGCCTGACGCCGTGCGAGGGTGTTGTGATCAGGAATGCGGAATGAGAACGACTATTCAACACGTGGACTCTGACCTGACGCTCCCAAGGCGATCTTTGGAATATAGGAGGATATCCCTACTTGTGAAATAGCAGCAAACGTAAAGTCCAGGAATCAAAGCATAATTGAAGTTCTAACTAGCCAACAACAATGCAACAAATCCAACCTAACATTAAAACAACACACAAACCCATCCCATATCCACTCCCAAACAACAGACGGATTTCTCTCCCATGTACATATTCCCCGGTGCCTGAAGATCATCCATGGGTCTAAGCGACATGCAAGCCATGCACGCGCGCGCGACCGCAAACATTTACGAACAGGCAGGAAATCGTGCCACTATCTCTTACATATTTCCCAACGCTTTACCAGCCCCCCCAGGCCCCAGCCCAGCCCTCGCTCACTCGCTCGCTCGCTGCTGCACTGCCAGCGACTCGCGTCGTGGTGTGTCGATTTGCGACTCCCGTCCTCCGGCCAGGAAATCCCTGCGGCGTTTCTCGTTGGTTCCGCACCGAGTTTCGCTTTCTCGAGCCCAAACAGACGGACGGATACACAGGGGATCTATCCTGTGGGTAGACGCTGACTGGGGCTTTTGTATTTTTTTCTACTGCTCTGGCGCGTCTGCGTGTTGAGGGTTCGGGGTCGTGGGTGTAGTGATATCGTCGGCGGCGACGGCGGCGACGGCCCAAAGGGCATAGTCTTTTCCCTACCTACTGCAGCAGCGCAGCGCAGGCCAGTGCGCGGGAAAAACGCAGAGACTATTACTACATCGCGAAAAGACCTGGTCATGGAGGTGAGCTGCCCGCATCCTTCCCTTTCCCCTTGCTTGCTTGCTTGCTTGTTTTCTTATCTTCCGTTTCGCTTGCCCTGCTTTCCCCCTTCCCGCTTCCCCCCCCCTTTTTTTTCTCCCCTTCCGTCGCGCCGCCGCCGTCTGTAGATAGTTTCCTTGTCTTGTCGTGCGTGCGTGGTATGCGACGCGAGCGAGCTCCTTCCTCAGCCCTACAGCCCACCTGCAGCGTCGCCATGGCTTGACCACCGTTTCTCGTGTGCGTGTGCCTGGTTTTGTTTGCGCGTGGGAGCGCCTCCCCCCCGTCCGTTCTTGTAGAACGCAGCTGCTCGGGCTGATTTGCCTCGTCATCTTTTCACACACAAAAAATTTACTCAGGAGTCGTTATCTTCGTGGGTTTTTTCCTGCCACCTGTACAACAACGTCATTTTTTGGCTGGCCTGACAGAGCGTGGTTTGCGGGCCCGATCCGAAGGGACGGTACACAACACGCATTACACTTGTTCGCGCACCATATCAATGTGAAGAAAAGATTGTACTCTCCATTTCGTTTCACACGCTTTTTTATTTGCTTGTCGCGGTTTTCTGCTCGTCTCTCGTCTCGGTTTTGTTTTTAGCGTTATACCCTGTGTTTCCTACGCGTTGTCATGGACCGTCAGCTTTCGCGGCGTAGGCCGGGCGTGGATGCAGAGTTGCGAGATGATCAGCAGCCTTTGGCTAGCCCGTCGAATTTGAAACCGGGAGCTCTGTTGACCATGGAGCGCTTTTTGCAGGACCTCCCCAATGCCGAACAACCGCCTGTCGAGCACCAACCGCAATACCATACTGGCAGGATGCCGAATAGCAGGGCTGGAGAGGGCAAGCCGAGACTTCTACTCATGGGTCAGAAGAGGTGAGCGATGTTGTGTTGGAGTGTAAATTGCATTGCTGACTGCAATTATAGGAGTGGCAAGTCGTCGATATCTAGTGTAGTCTTTCACAAGCTGCCGCCGAGCGAGACGCTGTACATTGAGACCACACACCGAATTAAGAAAGACTCGATGCAGTATGTGCTCAGTCTCTGCCAAAGCATACCCTCACTGATAACTCGCGTAGCTCGTTCATGGACTTTGGAATCTGGGATCTCCCCGGCCATGTCGATTACTTCGAAAGCGACTTCGACACGGACAAGATCTTCAGCGAAATCGGCGCGTTGATCTGGGTCATCGACGCCCAAGACGAATACCTCGATGCCATCGCACGCCTCAACCTGACGATACTCAACCTGCAGGAACACTACCCCAGCATCAACATTGAGGTCTTCGTACACAAGGTCGACGGCCTCTCGGACGACTTCCGCGCAGACACATACCGCGACATTATCCAGCGCGTGCAAGACGAGCTCGCAGACCACGGCTTCGACAACGCGCCCATTTCCTTCCACCAAACGAGCATCTACGACCACTCCATCTTCGAGGGCTTCAGCAAAGTGATTCAGAAGCTGATCCCGCAGCTGCCCACGCTAGAAGCCATGTTGAACAACCTGTGCATGACGTGTAATATCGAGAAGGCGTATCTCTTCGACATTATGAGTAAGATCTATATCGCAACAGACACCAGCCCGACGGACATTGCCAACTACGAAATCTGCTCCGATTACATCGACGTGGTTATCGACGTTAGTGAGATCTACGGGTGGGACCGCCCCGATGAAGGGGACGGGACGGAGACGGGAAATAACGAGGCGGAGAGCTTGATCACTATGGAGAAGAAGGGGTCGCGGTACTTGTACCTTCGCGAGATCAACAAGTACGTATTTCAGCAGTCATTGTAAGGGTTGTATGTATGTGTGCAGGGTTGCTAACGATGTTCCATAGATATCTCGCTCTGGTGTGCATCATGGGTGAAGACAGCCCGGCGGAGAAAAAAGCCCTCATCGACTACAATGTCGGCGTCTTCCAGGCGGGACTGAAGAAAGTGTTCCCTAAGAGTGAGCGGGACGCGCAGATAGAGATTCGTGCTGCAAACGGCAGTATGGACTCATGATGGTGATGCATGTATTTGTCCGTTTTGTTCTGTCTGTCTGTCTGTCCGTAACTACCTCGATGTATATTCTTACCCACACGACGGATGGAAAGTTTCGGGTTGAGGGACATGCTGTATCCATTGGTAGTGAAGACCAGACAGGGCATTCG